TTATTCTATCTTTGGAAAATAACAAAAATATAAAAAAATGAAAAACTTTCTTTTCAAATAAATTCATTAATCCTACCAAACTATTAGAGGATTTTTCATGAATTAAATTTTATGAATTTTATTAAATTATTGAAGAATTTTATAAATCAATTTTCAAAAGAAAAATAATTCTTTAATGAAGTTTTTATTTTATTCTACCAAACTATTGGAGGATTGCATTTGATAAAATAACAAAAATATATTATTCTATCTTTGGAAAATAACAAAAATATAAAAAAATGAAAAACTTTCTTTTCAAATAAATTCATTAATCCTACCAAACTATTGGAGGATTTTTCATGAATTAAATTTTATGAATTTTATCAAATTATTGAAGAATTTTATAAATCAATTTTCAAAAGAAAAATAATTCTTTAATGAAGTTTTTATTTTATTCTACCAAACTATTGGAGGATTGCATTTTAAGTTAAATCTTACCAAATTATTAAGAGATTTAATGAATTTTTCTCAAAAATAAAATTTTATTAATATTTTTACAATAAAATCTCACCAAACTATTGGGAGATTTACATCAACATAAATCCTATCAAACTATTGAAGGACTTTACTAATTATTTTTTTGAGCAAAACACATTAATAACTTCGATGACAGAGCCTCTTTAGGGTGAGATACTACTATCTATGAATATTCTTGAGGTGAGAGAATTATCTTAAATTGCTACCAAATTATTAGAATAATTTTAGGGTTAATTCTCAATATTAAATATTTTGATAAATTATAAATCTATTTAAAGCTTGGATAATTTGAAATTAAACTGATACTATCTTTTATATTGGTGTTGTGGAATTTTATAACTAATCTCATGTATAACCGTACTCCAAAACCTAAAATCTGATTTCGTAGATTGAAATATACTATTTAAAGACAATTAAGTCAATCTTGAGACTCCTATTTAAATAAGACAAATTCTATCATGTGACCAATTATACTTAAACAAAAAATATTGTTAGCGACTCATAAAAATTATATCTAACGATAGATTTCATAGATCTACACGTTATAAAATTAATTAGGATCAAAACTTTCCTAGTATGGCTATAAATATGGTCTTGATATATATATATATATATATATATATATATATATATATATATCCATCTCTGAACACACGTTTGAGCTAACAAGAAAACCAAGTAATTAACAACTTGTTGATCTTACAAGACATAGTTTGGAACAATCTCTCTTCAAACGTACCAAGAAAACGTCGGTGGTGGAAATTATAGTCATAGTGATAATAACTAAAGAAAGGCCTTATTGTCGTTGACCAAGGCTAAGTTAGTGCGGTCGGTGCTATTAAGGGTAGAAGAAACAGTCCCCGGGAGGCCGACCAAGGTCTCCCATGTCTATACGATGTACAACCAATTGGCTATATATAGGTGGAAAGTTTTTTTAGTACATAAAAAATTACAATTGAAGAATAAAATAAAGAATTCAAATATTGAAAGATAACGAGCTTAAAGGATCAACCACGATATTTATTTCACATGGAGCATGAACTTTCTCGCGCAAGAATCACAAATCTATGATTAATGGATCAACCAATGGGAGGAGTAATTTTTTTTTCTTTTTATAAGCCGGTAAACGACTTTCATTATTGAAGGGCAATAGTTATAGAAGTGGATATCCCAATAGAATAATGGATATCAAACATTATTTAATTTTTTTTTTTTTTTTAATTATGAAGTTGCATGTTTTTATTAGTCACTCAAACTCAGTAAGTTCAGCAGGTGCTAGCTCAGAAGATGGCATGCACATCAAACACTTGCAGCAGCAGCACTCATACCAGATTTGAAGACTGCAGCTCACAGAAGAGGCATCTTTTCAGAGGATTCAGATAAGATTTAGCTGATTCAACTGTGGACTTATTCAAATGGTTATCAATTCCTTCAGATAAATTCTTAACTAGTAGTTGTACCTCAAATTTAATCCTAGAATAAAATTCGACCTTTTACATAAAGATGAACTGTATATGGGATAAGTTGCTCATCTCTATCTCTATCTCTTAACATTAAACTGTTACAATATGTATACATATGTATATCAACAAGATTGAATATACGACACACTTTTGGCACAAAACCTAGTATTCTTATAGTTTTTATAGGTGCCTAGAATGTTACTTTTTAAAATAATTCTAATATAATTAAGCTCAATAAAAATTATTCGATATTTAATTTAATAAAAAAAAAACCAATGCATATATAAAGAAATTATTGTATGATAGCAAAACCAGATCTAAAGCAAATCCAAGTTGCAATATAAGATAAACGATATTAAAAGCACACTCTCGAAGACTATACAATGAATAATAATATTAATAAGATGTTTTGCTTTAAACAAATAATGCAAATAATGATAATTATCCACTTAAATTTACTATTGCACAATAATTCAGGTGATGGGAGGCTTTCGTTTTTGTGTCATCATGTTTTTGTTCTTGCTCGTTTCTTTTCAACACTTTTCTAAATGGCAAGCTTTTTCTTGTGATGAAGTTCATGTATTTCCATCATTTTACAAAATACAAGCTTTTTCTTGTGACACATATAATTTTAATTATTTAGAATAGACATTAATGCTTGCTTTCCTTTCCAAAAGGAGGAAACATCAATGGAATGGAAAACAATATTATGAAATTATTATGCTATCACTCGTCAGTGAAATTTTAAGATTAATTTCACCATTGAAGCTAAAATATTGTAATATATTATTCATTTATTTATTACTTTGAATATTTTTTTATATATAAGATATAAAAATTATTTTTATAGTAATATATAATCATTTTAAATATATTTTATAATTAAAATTAAATAAAATATATATCACTTATAAATATAATACAAAATAATTTCTTTTTATTTTGAATGGATTCTTATGGCAGCATTGGTTGGATGCTTTGATTTGTGGGTCTCTTACATAAGCTCATGACGTAGAATTCGTGGGACTGATCTGGATTGCCTTTGTCGACGGAAAGTGGCTAAACCCTACCCAGCCTACACCCTTAGCCGAGGTGCGAGAGGCACCCACTTTAGCCTGGTGTGGCGTACAGCAACCCTATTAATGCGTACAAAACTCGTAGCTAGGCTAGACCACTATGGACCATTTCTTTCGCCTAAAAAACTTACCATTTGATGTTCGAGAATAAAATTGATAATTTACGTATTTATATTATATAAAATATTAAAATTTATATATTTTATTATTTTTTAGATAAAATTTATGTGTAATAATAAGTATTTATATAAAAATATTAAATATTTTTTATATTTTGTTAATATATAGTTTTTATTAAAATTTTAAATTAAATTATTTTTATATTATATTTATATCGTATTATTATATTATATTTTAAATTATCAAATTTAATCAAAATCCATTTAATTCAAAGAACAATAACTTTGTTTTTTGGAAATTAAGGAAAAAATAACCTTTTTAATTACATTGCATGTTGGGAAAAATTCTATAAGTATAAAAAATTTTCTAAATCAAAATTAAATAATCATTCAAATTTTACCATTTTATTACAACCAATTAAGTTATTTAACTTCTATTTTCATTGACTGAGTTTTTATTATATAAAAATTGATTAATTATCAATATTAATTTCTATCTAACGAAAAGTTTAATTAAGTGAAAATAAATATTTAAAAATTTAATTAGATAAAAATAGATGTTTAAGTTTTGATGAAAATAAATATTTGAAAACTGAAATAAAATGATAAGAATCTGAATAATAATTTAATTTTTGTTTAAGATCTTTTGTTATACTTAGGCAAAAAATTTTTATTCTTATCATAAATCTTATGATAATTAAGGTTTGGCTCAACGGTTAAAATTTATTCCCGCCCACTTGATTTGGATTTCATTGCACCAAAAAGGTTTTGATCCCCAACTATATTACGGGATGCATTTGGATAGCATTCTAATGATGCATTTAGGAATTCAAAGAGAAAGGTTCAATGAATTATAGGTCTTAAAGCAGTTGAATGTTTTAGTATAAAATTGAAAATTAGTAAATATTTTTTAATTATAGTAGTTGATTGTTTTTGTGGTAAAGTCGATACTTAATTTTATTGTTATAATTGTGTTTGTTTCCAAATAAATATTTTTAATATTAATTTTAATCTCATTAGTATGATATTCAATTTTATTATTATTATTTTTTTAATTTTATCAAAATTATTTCATTATCCATTCAAATTGACCCCTACACTTTCTCATGTAAAAAAAAAAAAAAAAAATTCACAACTCCAAATGTAAAAAATGCAAAAGCGTAAATTTCATCTTCAATATTATTTTTAATTTTATCAAAATTACTTTGCTACCCATTCAAATAAATATACGGTGATAACAGTTTGAATTAGATCAAATTTGATTTGATTTTTATGAATGATTCATAAAATTATAAATTTTTTAAATTCAATCTAAAGCCGAACTAAACTTTCATATGATTCGATCCGAATTGAAATCTACTTATTTGATTTGATTTAGTTTATTAATTTTTAAAATTTATTTTTTTATTATTTTAATATGATTTTTAATATATTTAAATAGTTTAGATATAAAATAATTCTTTTTATTTTATAAAAAATTAAAAAATATATAAAAATTAATAAAAATATATAATTCGATTCGATTTATTTTTTATATTTTTATTTGAAATCCAATCTGAATATATATATATATTTAATATTTAAATTCAATCCAAATTAAATTAAAAAAATTAAATTAAATCAAATTAAACATTACGATTTTAAATTATTTTTTAATTTTTTTCTCATTCTATTATAAACCCTCACGCTACCTCAATGTAAATAAAAAAAAAAAAAGGGGGGGGGGGCAAAACCATAATCCTCATGTTTGTACGGTCATATATCAAATTAATTCGTCTATATAAAGCGCAGGCTTTCGAGTCAAATTGTAAGCGAAAGCCTTTCACTACAATCCAATAAAGCAAAAGATTACCAACGTTTGCTAGACACTGAAACTTGTCTTCTTCTCTTCTTTCACCCTTCCATTGTTCTCCCAAAACATCTCTCGTCGAATGGAAACCAAAGGTTTCACCCAAGATGGAACTGTCGATCTTCATGGCCGCCCTGTCCTTGCCAATAGAACTGGAAAATGGAAAGCTTGTGCTTTCCTTGTTGGTATGAAACTATCCACTTTTCCTTCTTTCGATACTTGTTTGCTCATTCTTTTCATGCTAGCAGACAGTTTATCTTGAAATTCAAAGCAGACCCTTAAAAGATTTCATAAGTTCTCTATATTTCATTATGTTTCAGTTCGTCGGAGAACTCTTTGCCTCCTTCATAAGTCATTATATATTTTCTTAACAGGATATGAAGCATTTGAAAGGATGGCTTTCTATGGAATAGCTTCAAATTTAGTGAACTACTTGACCACCCAACTTCATGAAGATACAGTTTCATCTGTCAGAAATGTGAATAGCTGGTCAGGATCGGTGTGGATTACACCAATTCTTGGAGCATACATAGCAGATACTTACCTGGGTCGTTTCTGGACTTTCACAGTCTCATCGCTCATCTATATCATGGTAAATATCAGCTTTTATTTATTTCTAATATTATTAGTGATGATTAAAACTCTGCCTGATCTGAAATGCAATCTTCAAGTAGCATAATTCCAAAATGTATATATTCCAAATGATGAGGTTTTTATTCACCATCTTCATCTACCAAAGGGGTCACACACCATTTATTTGGATTTGGACCATATTTCTAGATACATACTATCAGAAGGCCAATTAGATTCATTATCTTTTGCCTCTAGTGGGTCCAATGATTTTATTTATTGGCTTAAATGACATGAATTATAATTAAAAGTACTTTGTTCTCCCACAAAGCATATCTCATTTTCTTTAGACCCACAGGGAAGTTGCTATCCTGTCTTGTTTTGCACTTAATGTTGGGGAGCTATTCTGTTATAGCTTTTAAAAGTCAAAGAAAATGAGTCCCAACCGAATGATAAAGACATGAATTTGTAGTCATTGATGAAAACAGAAAATTGTTCAATGTTCAATTGCTAATGGGAAAAAAAAGTTCCTGTCATTGATGATAAGAGGAAGAAATATTGTTGATTTATAATACTATAATTATTTCTTTTGAGTGTGAACATGAGTTTTTTGCCCTTTCATAGTAATTTAATTTATCATGATGAAATGTGAACAGGGAATGATAATGCTCACAACAGCAGTTTCACTGAAATCTTTGAAGCCAACTTGCACAAATGGAATCTGCAACAAGGCCTCTACTTTGCAAATAGCATATTTCTATACATCTTTATACACCATAGCAATAGGAGCAGGGGGGACAAAACCCAACATATCAACTTTTGGGGCAGACCAGTTTGATGATTTTAACCCCCATGAAAAAGAGCTCAAGGTTTCATTCTTCAATTGGTGGATGTTTAGCTCTTTCTTGGGTGCCTTGTTTGCTACTCTTGGCCTTGTCTACATTCAAGAAAACTTGGGATGGGGACTAGGCTATGGGATCCCAACAGTTGGTCTTCTGTTTTCCCTACTTGTATTTTATCTTGGGACCCCAATTTACAGGCACAAAGTAAGGAAGACTAAAAGCCCTACAAGGGACCTGATTCAAGTCCCCATTACCGCCTTCAAAAATCGGAAACTTCAGCTCCCTAACAACCCATCTCAGCTTCATGAGCATGAACCACAACATTATATCAACAGTGGAAAACGGCAGGTTCATTACACTCCAATTTTCAGGTGAGTTTTCCCACTACAACATATACAAGTATAGTATCAAATTTTCCACTGTAATAAGATAATATAAACAAAAGTTGAAAATGAGAATGACAGTACTGTCCCTTTTCGTTGAACCATTGTGGCATGGAATCTATTAAGGGCACGGTTAATTTGAGTTCGTACAAAATTCCAAAGTGCTTTAAATCCTTGGTGCTAAACAGGTGCAAGTGGGACCTCCAAATTCATGTGCATAACTAGGAAGTCTCCTATGCCAAAGATTTGATGGCCATTGGCTTAATAAATTCCTTCCATGTGAAACTGCTTTCGGTACTCCTTTTAGACACCTTTAATGATCAATAGTCATAATCTTTTGGGGCCGGCCAAGTTGTTTCTCATGGATGGGGTGTACATCACAGTGAAATGGTGTGCCCATCTTCCCCCACCACATGCAGTTGTCATCAAATCTAGACAAATGATTTGTGAAACACGTTTGGTGGAATCCTCAATTGCATTGCAATAAATTAAATATTTCAAGGTCAACATCTAATTAGAATCTTGAACATGATTAGGATCCCATCCTCTCGGATAATACCGATTAATTAGACTAGTGTTTATAATTATGAAATCATCTTAACTAAATGGTGTGTCATTCGCATTTGTGTTCACAGATTCTTGGACAAGGCTGCAGTAAAGGATGCCAACTCACGTAAGCCACCATGCACTGTAACTCAAGTGGAAGGGACCAAGCTTGTTCTTGGGATGCTTTTAATATGGCTAGTGACCTTAATTCCTAGCACCATATGGGCTCAAATAAACACATTATTTGTGAAGCAAGGTACCACCTTGGATAGGAGCATAGGTTCCAGCTTTCAAATCCCACCAGCATCACTTGGGAGCTTTGTCACCCTCTCCATGCTCCTCTCAGTACCAATGTATGATCGATATTTCGTTCCATTCATGCGTAGTAAAACTGGCAATCCTAGAGGAATTACCCTCCTTCAAAGGCTTGGCATTGGATTTTTCATCCAGGTTATCGCTATTGCTATCGCATATGCTGTGGAGGTTCGGAGAATGCATGTCATAAGAGTGCATCAAATAGTAGGGCCTAAAGAAATTGTTCCCATGAACATATTCTGGCTGCTGCCTCAGTATGTCTTGTTGGGGATAGCTGATGTGTTTAATGCAATTGGGCTACTAGAATTTTTCTATGACCAGTCACCAGAAGACATGCAAAGCCTGGGGACAACATTTTTCACCAGTGGAATTGGAGTTGGAAACTTCCTCAACAGCTTTTTAGTAACATTGGTGGATAAAATCACAGGTAAAGGTAAGAATAAGAGCTGGATTGGAGACAATTTGAATGACTGTCATTTGGATTACTACTACGGATTCCTTTTGGTCATATCTACTCTCAACATAGGGGCATTTCTGTGGGCATCAAGCAAATATGTATACAAAAGGGAAACCAAAGAAGTGAATGAGTGCTGTATTGAAATGGAGAGCAAGGCCTTAGAGATATCTCCACTAGGATTACAAGTATGAAAAATTATAAAAAAAAATGTTGAGTGGTAGAAAAAGTATTACTATGATCATGTGGTATACCCCTTGTGTAATATGTGCAGCAATTAATGTTTGTAATTTCTATTTTAATGAAGAAAGTGTTATTTGCATTACTTTAGCACCTATAAAAGGACTTTTGCATAAATAATTTCCCATAATTTTTATTCCAAAAGGACCAAAGATGCATTGTAATTAACAATCATTTCATGGGGCATTGATCAATATATATATATATACACATATGATGAGCGAACTTATATATATTTTTAAAAATTTTAATAAATTCAAAAGATAAAAGAGACAAACTAAAACAAGTAAAAGAGTGAAAGTTTATCCGTTATATATATTTTAAATATATTTTACAGTAATATTTTAATATATTTTTTAAATTTAAAAATTAAATATTAAGTAATTTTTATTCATAAAATAATGCTTTGGGTCAAGACTCGACTTAAAAAATTCTGTACAAAGCCCAACCCCAAGACAGGTCTTGGTGCATCTAATTGTCTTCCTGCCCTTCAAATTCACTGCAACAAAAGTACTGTAGCTTTCAATAAAACATCCTCAAGGACCACCCAACGCCGAAGCCATGAGACTTAAAGTTTGGATCACTTTTTATTTAAGAAAAAAACCTTATTTTGGATCAATCTAGACTGATTTAATCTGTATTGTCAATTAATTAAACGAGTTTAAGTAAATTTAAAAACTTGAATCTTCGAGTAAAATTGAACTAATAATTATGAAAGCTATTGAACCATATTTAAGCTTAACCTTTAATCGAATACGATCCAACTAGACTCATGACTTTATTATGATGAATATATGAGTCGAATGATCAAATGAATTCAAATTTATTAACACGCTGATACAAAAATTATTTAACTTTTAATATGAGTTGAATTAAAATCCTATTTCTAATAAGATTCTACACATTATTTATTATTTAAAATATATTTATAATAAAAAAACTATTATATCCACTTACAACGAAATTTTTAGGGTTTATATATAATATAGATGTTATAAATAGGCAGATATACTACTTAAAAACAGCGGTAACTTTAGTGGATACTAAGGAGATTCAGAGTTGAAGCCTAAAACAATGGAGGCTGGTGAAATTTTGCCAATTGACTGCTGACAATCTATATTCAATCATCTTGACGATCGTGGGTTGGAAGCTGTATCTTTAGTCTGCAAGGATTTATTGGCAATCTCAAATATTTGCAAACTCAGTTATTCACCCTGGAGTTGGAATGCTTTCTAAGCAACTCAACCAATTCAAGCAACTCAAAAATATCAATCTGAAACCGTTTACAGGTGATTTAGACGTGGCCATTCTTGAGATTGCTCACTTTGACATTAGTCTTCAAGTTCTTGATATTTGCCATCAGGAGGATGAATTCAAGATTGAGAGTCTCAAAGTGTTCGGTTAGAATTCAAAGATGAAAAATTTAAAGGTTTTCAACTGGTTGATGCTAAACAGTAAGTTGCAGGACAATGATCTTGTCGTAATAGCAAATTCGTTTCCGAAATTGGCAGAACTCGATCTTAAAAATTTTAACTACTTGCCAGACGAGTCTTTGGCTAAAGACAGTTCTTCTCCATGCTTTCCTACAGATTTTGGGATTCAAATTCTGGTATCTATGCTTAAGCTGTTAAAGAAAATTTACGTCTACGGAGAACATTATCTTTCAGATCGATCTGTTGCTGCTTTGGCATCAAATTGTGTTTTTCTGCAAGATGTTATTATCAAGTGATACAGAAACAATGGGATGACTCAAAATGGAATTGATCTTCTCCTTCGGAATAGGCCAAACTTGGAAGCTCTGTCGATGGGATGTATCAAGATGGATTGTTCACAGTCTACAATCACTATTGAAAATTCAATCAGCCATGTCAAAGCCTTAACTTCTCTTGAGTTTTCCAGGATGGATGTTTCTGACATGCTTCTTATCGCAGTTACAAAGGCAGAGCTTCGTTTAACCAAATTTGTGCTACATTTTTGCAAGAAATTTACGGTTACGGGATTGCTTATGGTTTTATCTAATTACCAGTTCACTGAGTTAGGCATTGCTGACGCTGATATTGCAGATGTGGATATGGAACTTCTTTTAAGCACAGATGTAGGGAAACTCACCCACCTACAAATCAAAAACTGCCAGCTGACAGACTCAAACATTGATCCTACTATCAACTAGGTGTCCTTAACTAGTAGAAATCAGAATGAAGCTGATAGCCCTGGATGGACAGATTGATGATGTCTACAATAATTTTCCATTGTCCAAAAACCATAGGGTCCAAAATCTTTGTCTCACATATTGCAAAATCAGTGATGAATCGGCCAAATAATTGGGTCTTATTTTCTCCAACTAAAGGGTTCTTGATTTCAGCTACTGTTACCAAATTACAAGCACTGGCATTGAAGCTATTTTGAAAAGTTGCAAGTTTCTTGGAGAACTGATACTAAGAGAATACTTGAAAGAAAAGATCATTGAGGCAGATAATTCAGAGCTTCCAGAAGTGAATTTGGAGGATTTAAAACTAACATGTTCACGGATAGATGATGAAGGGCTTGCAGCAGTAGCAAAGAGATGTCCTCGATTGGTGTCTTTGGAAGTGAGTGATTGCAACAATGTGACAACAGAGGGCATAAAGCAAATCGTTCAAAACATCACAACTTTGAAGTGCTTATGTATGCGCGGCAGTGACCATGTAAAATCTGGTGATTTGTTGGAATGAATGTTATCTACAGGCAACTTGGCTTCCCTCAAGAAAACATATCTTTTACAAAATGATTTCACTGAGGAACAGATAGACAAATTCTTGCACCGTGGTTGTTTGCTTCTCTAATGGTATTGGTACGTGAAGAGAAAAAATTAGAGTTTTTTTTTTTTTTTTTAATAAAATAGATCACGGGGATGGGAGAAAAAGTTACACGTGCTGATTGTTGCTCACATATGCCTTTTTCATCAAACACAACCGTACTGAAAATTTTAATTAATTTGTTAATTACAATATTAGAGTATCTTATTATAATTGAATTAATTTGTCTGTCAGAAGCTTGGATAGCATAGGATTGTAATTTATTGTAATTTCAAAACGGTGATGAATGGTGTATGCTAAAGAACATTTTTAGGGATTCAATGTGCCTTGGAGATATTGTTGGTATCATCTTTTTTCTTTTTTGGGTTTTTAATTGTTCTAATGGTCGATAGGTAATTTCAGGGTATCGTGAATGCTCCTCAGAGCCGCGTGGATGAGAGTCAAGTCAGATCAGATCATTTCAGTCATATAATCCGATAAATGAGAGCAAAGATTTTGTATGTGGGCAGGGAAAGATTAGAGAAAGAGCAGATCTTTATCCTATTGACCTGTTCTGCATTAGGTTACATTTGTTTGATGCAGATTCCCCTCACTTCAACACCTATTGGAAGTGAATTTGTAGCCATAAAATGCCAGAGATTCCATGCCATTTCCCATGGACACCAACTATAGAGCAACAGAAACATGTCCTCTGCCTTAACTTTCTTGCATATAGATTTGCTAATTCATTGGTAATTTTTGGTAGGTAGTTCTCAAATTTTAGTTTTAACTGAATTAATAAATCGAATTAATTTAATTTGATTAATTAATCGATTATTAAATTAATTTCAATTCATTATGAAAATAATTTTAAAAGAATATCATTTTTTGATTAATTTGATTTTAAAATAAAATTAATTGAAATTTAATCAAAATATAATAAAAAAATCAAATTAATTATTTTATTTTATAAATTGTTAGATTTCTAGTTTAATACTTTGAGAAAGAAATTCAACTATCAGTGCCATACCCCTCTCAAAATCTTCAACAAAAAAAAAAGAATAATCTCTTAACGAAAAGTGGAAATGACTTAGCAACAGTCTTCAATTTTGTATAGCAAAGCCCTTTTATAGTTTTAGGTCCTCTCTATGATTGAATTTACTAGTAGAACAATAGGACAACCCCATTGGTAATTAACAATGGATTTGTCTTATCTACCACAGGAACTAAAATTTCTTAAACTAGCTAATGAAACATGGATGCAAGGAGGAGAATTTGCAGTTCACTAATTAAACAGAAAGAGATATTGCATATAATAGACAAGGAAGCCACATATCATGAGTGAGGTCGGGTTACACTATATTGAGTTAAGTTCGATTAATATCTTTAAATGTTATTGTTTTGGACCAAAACATGTACTAATACAAAACCAAACCACATCAAACTGTTACAGCTTTCAAAAAAATATCTTCCATGACCCCAACGCTCGAAGCCATGAGACTTGGGAGTAAAAAAAAAAAAAAAATCAAAAAATTTGAAAATCGATTTGAAATTATAATGTTCGGTTCGATTTAGATTTTTTTTTATTCAGTTTGGATTGAATTCGATTATTAAATATATATATATATATTAAGTTCAGATCAAATTCAAATCGAGAGATAAAAAATAAAAAAAATAAAAAAACAGAATCGAACCAAATTATATATTTTTTAATTTATATATATATTTAAAATTTTTATAAAATAAAAAAATAATTTTATATCAAAATCTACTGAAATATATTAAAATTTTATATTAAAACAATATATAAAAATTGGTAAAGAGAATCAAACCAAACCAATAAAATTTCATTTGATTCAGTTCAGATCAAATGAAAATTCAATTCGAATTCAGATTAAATTTTAAATTTTTATAATATTATGTAATATCTAAAAAATCAAAATAAATCCAATCTAAATCGAATCGTTATCATTTCTAACGAGACTTAGAGTTTGGATTACCTAACCATCACTATTGTTTTTTATTTTTTTTACTTGAAGCTCCCAAAATTTAAACTTTAATTATTAAAATTAAAAATTCAACTTATCAGCAAATCATATCAATGTTGACTTAACAATCACTATTGTTACTATAAAAAAAAATCTAGTATCATATTTGGCAAGATAGAAGCAACTTGTCAAACGCTTGAGACAGTAAGCTCCAGTGGGGTGTATAATTATGTGCATGTGTGATGTATATCATTGTATTATGATCAGAATGTCAATTCAAGCTGAATGTTTAGAAACTGATAACCAAAACAAAAAAATGAATGCAGGAATTTGCTGGCAAACCAAAACATACAACCGTTGTTTTTTCTTTCAAATATATCTTTCATCATTGATTTTAAACTCACTATTACAATATTTAATTTCATCGACATAATATCTAATATTACCATCATTATTATTTTTAATTTTATTGAAATTAATCTATCCAAATAAACCCTTAAAATTTGAATCACTTAACCATCGATCCCTTTTTGTTTAAAAAAAAAATTTCTTATGTAAATTAACTTGGCTTGATTTGTACCGTCAATTAATTAGATGAACTTAGTTAAAAATTGAAACTTTAATATTCAGATAAAATTGAATTGAAGTAATTATGTAAGCTATAGATTTGTATACTCAATCTTGAATCGAATCCAACTCAATTAGGTCTGTGAACAGCTTTATTACCATGGATTGAATCATATTGGAATATATGGATCGGATGATCAAATAAAATATATTCACACAAAGGTTATCTAACCTCTAATATGAATTGAATTAAAATTTTATTTCAGTAAGATTCTATACATATAATATGTTATTAAAAATAGTGTAAATAGTATCTATAATCTTTAAATTTTAAGACATAATTTTGGTCCTCAAATTTCAAAATGTAATTTGTTGGTTTCTTATAATAAGTTGATCTTTTCGTCAATTTATTTGTTAATTTTGTCGTTAAATATTTGATGTAATATAAAAGTGATTGATGTGACAGTTGTGATAGATAAAAAGAAAAAATTGAAAATGCAAATAAAAAATTAAAAAAAATGGCTTTTTTAAATTAATATATTTTGTGAAATATTATAATTCAAAATAAGTAAATTTTAAAATGTTTTATTTTTAGTTTTTATTTTTTAAACATAATATATATTTTTAACTTATTTACAAATATTATACTTTAAATATATAAGTTTTTAAATTTCTATTTTTAATAATTTTTTTATTTTCAAATATAATATATTTTTTAACAAATATTATAATTTAAAATAAATAAATTTCAAAATTTCTTATTGAATAAGTTTTTTTTTAATTTTTTAAATAATATAATTTTAATATGCCTTATAAAAATTTATAGTTGAAAATAAATAAATTTTCAGATTTTCTACTTATAAAATTTTTTTTCTATTTTGGAATTTTTAGATATAATATATTTGTATATTAATTATATCTAGTTTTATAGTTTCAAATAAAGGAGTTTGAAATTTTTATTTTTTAATAAGTTTTTTTACTTTTAAATATAATATAGTTTTAATATATTTATCAAGTTTTATACTTTAAAATAAATAAATTTTATAACTTTCTATCTTGTTTTTTAATTTTTAGATATAATATTTTTTTATATTTTATATAACTTTATAATTTAAAATAAATAAAACTTAAATTTAAAAAACTAGATAATATATTATAGTGTAAAATAAATAATGTTTAAAATTTTCTAATTTTGATATTTTTTTAATTTTAATATATAATATAATTTTTTAAATTTAAAATTTAAAATAATGTCATCATCCACGTGTTTTCCATATATGTAGACAAATCGTGTCAACTAACCTTTAAAGTCAGATGTAACAAAATTTTTTTGAAAAAGATTATTTTAATATAATGTTGAAAGCTTGGAAACCAAAAAGAGATATTTAAAAATATAGGGACCAAAATAATATAAGACCTAAAGTTTAGGATAACATGTGCTATTACTCTTTAAAAAATATATTTATATTAGAAAAATTACTATATCCTCTAACATAATATTTTTAGGGTTTTATACTATGTGTCATATAAATAGGCATGTATAAAGGGTGCTTAATGTCCTAAACCAATCCTTGAATTTTGATAACTCTAGTAGCCTTACTCACAAGGAGATTGGTCAGAGTTGAAGCCTATACCCAATGGAGGCGGGTGAAATTTTGCCGATTGACTGCTGGCAATCTATATTCAATCATCTTGACCATGATGGTTTGGAAGCTGTATCTTTAGCCTGCAAGGATTTCTTGACAATCCCAAATATTTACAAACACAGTTTACAAGTTATTCACCCTGGAGTTGATATGCTTTCTAAACAACTCAATAGATTCAAACAACTCAAAAGTATCGATCTGAAACCGTTTACAGGTGATTTAGACGAGGTCATTCTTGAGATTGCTCGCTCTGACATTAGTCTTCAAGTTCTCGATATTTGCCATCGGTATGGACTCAAGGCTGAAAGTCTCAAAGAGTTGGGTTCCAATTCAAAGATGAAAAATTTAAAGGTTTTCAACTGTTTGATGCGTGACAGTAATTTGCAGGACAATGATCTTGTGGTAATAGCTAATTCGTTTCCAAATTTGGTAGAACTCGATCTTAAAATTTTTAACTTCTTGCCGAACAAGTGTTTGGCTAATGACAGTTGTTCTACATGGTTTCCTACTGATGCTGGGGTTGAAATTCTGGCATCTAAACTTAAGCTGTTAAAGAAAATTTGCATCTACGGAGAACATTATATTTCAGATCGATCTGTTGTTGCTTTAGCATCAAATTGTGTTTTTCTACAAGATTTTACTTTGTGGTGTTACAGAAACAATGGGGTGACAGAAAAGGGCATTGGTTTTCTCCTTCGGAATAGGCCAAACTTGGAAGCTCTTTCGATTGGAAATATCAAGATGGATTCTCCACTGTCTACAATCACTATTGAACATTCAATTAGCCATGCCAAAGCCTTAACTTCTCTCGAGTTTTCCAGGATGGATGTTTCAGACATGCTTCTTATCGCAGTTGCAAAGGCAGAGCTTCGGTTAACCAAATTTGTGCTCCATTTTTGCAAGAAATTTACGGTTACGGGGTTACTTATGGTTTTATCTAACTGCCAGCTCACTAAGTTAGGCATTGTTGAATCTGATATTGCAGATGTGGACATGGAACTTGTTTTAAGCAGAGATGTAAGCAAACTCACCCACATAGAAATCAAACGATGCCAGGTAACAAGTTCAACATTGTTCCTACTATCAACTAGGTGTCCTTCACTATTAGAAATCAGAATGAAACAAATAGCCCTGGATGGACAGATTAATGACGGCGGCAATAATTTTCCATTGTTAAAAAACCATAGTGTACAAAATCTTTGTCTGAAACATTGCAGAATTAGTGATAAATTGGTCAAACAATTGGGACTTATTTTCCCCAACTTAAAGGTTCTTGATTTGAGCTACTGTTGCCGATTCACAAGCACTGGCATTGAAGCCATTTTGAAAAGTTGCAAGCTTATTCGAAAACTGATACTAAGAGAATACTTGAATAAAAAGATCATTGAGGAAGATAATTCAGAGCTTCCAGAAGTGAATTTGGAGGATTTAAGTCTAAGTTGGACAGGCATAGATGATAAAGGGCTTGCAGCAATAGCAAAGAGATGCCCTCGATTGGTGTCTTTGGAAGTGAGTCATTGCGACTATGTGACAACGGAGGGCATAAAGCAAATCGTCAATAACATCACAACTTTGAAGTACTTATATATGCGTGGCTGTGATGGTGTAAACTCTGGTGATTTGTTGGAATGGATGTTATCTACGGGCAACTTGGCTTCCCTCAAGAAAATATATCTTGGACAAAATACTTTCACCGAGGAACAGATGGACCAATTCTCACACCGCGGTTGTTTGCTTCGCTAATGGTATTGGTAAAGAGAAAAAAAAATTAGTGCTTTTTTTATTTTTTACTTTTATAAAAAAGAGCAGCATAGAGATAAGAGAAGAAACTGCATGCGTTGCATATACATCTCTTCATCATGCTCAAAACTGTACTGAAATCTTTTACTAATTTGTTAGATTAGTATCTTATTATAATTGAATTAATTTGTCAGTTGAACGCTTGGATAGCGTAGGACAGTTCAAAGAATAATGAAAGATTTGAAAACATTTTCGGCAATTCTTTATTGATAATGAAGTTATGCATTATCACAAGTTTAAAGTTTGATCTAATCGTATTCATTTTAATTGAATTTGAATTTTTGATCTATGTTGGTTCATTCATTCATTGTTCTGTCCATTTGATTTATTTTTTTTTACATGTAATGCAATACATGAAGATAACAATTTAAGAAAAGGGTAATGAATGGTTTATGCTAAAGAACATTTTCAGGCATTCAATGTGCCTTGGAGATTTTGGCGAGACCATTTTTTTTCTTTCTTATTTTGGTTTTTGATTGTTCTAATGATTTATTGATAAACCAAAACATGTACGTACTAGTACAAAACTAAACCACATTGAATCAAACTTGCCAACTAAATGGTTGCTGCCCTTCATATTCACTGCAACAAACTGTTGCAGCTTCCAATAAAACATCCTCAGGCACCCCAACACCGAAGCCATGAGACAAATTAAGGTTTGGATCACCTAAACCATCAGTATTGTGACCATAACCGGAAGATAGCATATTTGGCAGGATGGACTGAAAGAAAGCAACTTGCCAAATACTTCCGGACAGTAAGCTCCACTGGTTTGTATAATTATGTGCATGTGTGATGTATATCATTGCATTAGACATATGACCAGAATGTTAATTCATGCTGGATGTTATAGAGAAACTGATAAACAAAAGAAAAAATGAATCCAGGAATTTGGTGGCAAGCCAAAACATAATACCAAAACAATAAACAGAATTGAAGCATGAAAGCCAATGCCTAAATACTTCTCATACTTGATGATTCTCTCCAATACAATATGACAGAATGCGAGTTAACTGCTAAGCAAGATATCTAGTTGCAAATTTGAGATCTTTGGGTTTGTAATGACTTTGAGGGAACAAGATCTTGTAAGGGTAAGCTGTACATATATACTCAGGAAAATTATCACCTGCCAAGCAGCCTAAATCTGTGCATTTCTCATTTCATCCTCACGGTCTTGTGAACTGCAGTTCTTGGTCTGATCTGATTTTCGCCGTTTAGCTGATAGTCGAGGTCTCAACTGCAAAGGATGTGAAATGTTAAAAACCCTCCAAAGATACTAAAACAAATGCAAGACCACAGGGTTCAGAGTACTATCCTGAATCCATAGAATGTCCTGTGCAAGAATAAGAAAGCATTGATTCAAGGCCAAAGGCAAGTCCAAACCGCATAGACATTTAATTAATAACAAAACAATTTTACAACAGCTGCCCAAGAAATTTTGGTACAATAAAATCACTTTACAACCCTTCCTGAGTTTCTGTTTCCCCCGTCCAGTCGCTAGAAGCCTTGTTTCTCTGAAAACACTATAAATGTATGCAATCCAACATGTTGCAGGAGTTTCTTTTTATTTTTCCTTCTTTGTGAAAAAGAACAAATTTGGCATTTCATACAGTTTTTATGATTTGCAGCTCTTTTCATGTTAAAACACTATTAAGTTCTTAGGATAGATATTCTGTAAACACCTTCTTTCGTTTTTTCAACAATCTGATTATGCAGTTTCTTCAATTTTTCAATCTAATGGCATCTTTCTACAGTTTAATATTTTCTTGCATAATATTCAAGTTTAACGGAGCTTATTATGGAGTGACCAAGTTCAAGCTACATAATCTTCACCATACTCTACAATCAGAAAAATTTTTATATTATATAATCAGGGATATCAAAGGTGCACTTCTTGAGTGAATTTTTCACTGTTTTGCCATTGAGAAATCCAATAAATTGTTTATTTTTGGTTCATATTTCTTAAGCGTCAATGATTCAACCCGAAATCAATTGGTAGCAGGTGAAAGCACCCAACTTGAATATCAGATAATAGCAAATTTCATACTTAACTAATATGGGATTAGGATACCTCTCAAGGCCCAATGATAACAAGTCAACTAGATGAGCCTTCCACAGCTAACAAATACAGTGCAACAAATAGCAAAAGGAACCAAATAACCTAAGCTCTCTAGTGTCATTGTAAGAATCCAGCCTACAACAAGTTAGTGATAATTTTTCCATCACTGAAGGTGTTATTTCCATTAGTTTAAAACCTACAAAAGGACTCTTGCATAATAAATTTCCCTAATTTTTCTTCCAAAAGAACCATGGATGCATTATACCAATCATTTTGTGAAACACTGATCCATATATATATATGAGGAGAGAATTTATAATTTTTTTAACTATTGATTTAAATATATTCAAAGGATAAAAAAAGCAAATTAAAAAAATGGTGTAAATTAATCCTTTATATATATATATATATATATATCTTTATATATATATATATATATATATATATATTAGTTGAATCAAATTAGATTGAGTTAAATTTTGAGTTAAATACAATTGACATCTCTAAATACCAAATCCATATTTGGTCCATCTAAATCTATCTATTTAGATTGATTTAAATTAAAATATTTAAAATTTTTACAGTAATATTTTTAGATATATTTTAAATTTAAAATTAAATGTTAAGTAATTTTTATTCATAAAGTTTGGAATGTCCTCTAGCAATTCGTGCATTCTTTTTGTGCAATATAGTTAAGTATAATATTTTATATAAAAATTATGTATTATAATTCATATTAATATGAAAATACAAAATACACTCTCCATCTCAAAATATTATATATATATTGATTTTCATAGAGTTTAAGAAAAAACCTTTAACTTTAATGTATTTAATATTAAATTTTAATATTTTTTATAAAATTAAAATTACATGATTTTTAAAGTCAAAAAATAAAAAAAAAACATAAAAAATAATTTTAAATACAAAAAAGTAAGAGTTTTAGATATTCAAAAAAAATATGATATAGTTTTGAAACATTTCAAAAAGAAAAGATGGACAAAAAAATAAGATAGAGGGATTATTTTTTTATTTTATTAAACTCGTGCATAATTTTATCAAAATTTTATATTATATTATATTTATATTTTTTTTATATCAATTTCATATCGTATTTTTTTTCTCATGTCCAAATCATCTACCCATCACTTTTATTTTAAAAATGAAAAACCTTATTGGGGCCAACTTAGACTAACTTGATCCATACCATCAATTATCAATTAATTAGACAAGTTTGGGTAAATCGAAACATGAATATTCCAGTAGAATCGAACCTTAGTAATTATTAAGTTATTGGTTATTGTTTGGGCTCAGCCCAGAATCAAACCCAACTCAACTATGAATAACTCTGTTATTTTGTATCGAATCAAGTTGGGATATCTGGGTCGGGTGATCAAATAAACCCAAATTTATTAGCATGTTCAAACAAAAAAAAAAGTTATAATATGAGTTAAATTAGAAAACCTATTTCTAATAAGATTCTACGCATATTATTTATTATTAAAAATATATTTTATAATAAAAAAATTTATTATATCCACTTACAGTGAAATTTTTAGGGTTTTATATACAACATGTGTTATATAAATAAGAACCTGTGCTTCTTAAAAATAGTAGTCTCTCAGACTAATCCTTGAATTCGATAACTCCAGTGGATACTAAGAAGGAGATTGGTAAAACTAAAGATGTCAGAGTTGAAGCCTATACCAGTGGAGGCTGGTGAAATTTTGCCACTTGACTGCTGGCAATCTATATTCAATCATCTCGACGATCATGGGTTGGAAGCTGTATCTTTAGTCTGCAAGGATTTCTTGGCAATCTCAAATATTTGCAAACACAGTTTACAAGTTATTCACCCTCGAGTTGGTATGCTTTCCAAACAACTCAAGAGATTCAAACAAATCAATAAGATCAATCTGAAACAGTTTATAGGTGATTCAGATAAGGCCATTGTTGAGATTTCCCGCACTGAAATTTGTCTTCAAGTTCTTGATATTTGGCATGAGGGTGAATTCATGACTGAGAGCCTCAAAGAGTTGGGTTCGAATCCAAAGATGAAAAATTTAAAGGTTTTCAACTGTTTGATGCGAAACAGTAATTTGCAGGACAATGATCTTGTGGTAATAGCAAATTCGTTTCCGAATTTAGAAGAACTCGATCTTAGAAATTTTAACTTCCTGCCGAATTATTGTTTGGCTAATGACAGTTGTTCCCCATGGTTTCCAACTGATTTTGGGGTTGAAATTCTGGCATCTAAACTTAGGCTCTTAAAGAAAATTTGCATCTACGGAGAACATTATATTTCAGATCGATCTGTTGTTGCTTTGGCATCAAATTGTGTTTTTCTGCAAGATGTTACTATCAAGTGTTACAGAAACAATGGGGTGACAGAAAATGGCATTGGTTTTCTCCTTCGGATTAGGCCAAACTTGGAAGCTCTTTCGATTGGATGTATCAAGATGGATTGTTCACAGTCTACAATCACTATTGAAAATTCAATCAGCCATGCCAAAGCCTTAACTTCTCTTGAGTTTTCCAGGATGGATGTTTCTGACATGCTTCTTGTCGCAGTTGCAAAGGCAAAGCTTCGGTTAACCAAATTTGTGCTCCATTTTTGCAAGAAATTTACGGCTATGGGATTGCTTATGGTTTTATCTAACTACCAGCTCACTGAGTTAGGCATTGTTGACGCTGATATTTCAGATGTGGATATGGAACTTCTTTTAAGCACAGATGTAAGGAAACTCACCCACCTAGAAATCAGCAACTGCCAGGTGACAAACTCAACATTGTTCCTACTATCAACTAGGTGTCCTTCACTAGTGGAAATCAGAATGGAGCTGATAGCCATAGATGGACAGATTGATGATGGCTACAATAATTTTCCATCGCCCAAAAACCATAGGGCTCAAAATCTTTGTCTCACATATTGCAAAATCAGTGATGAATTGGCCAAACAATTGGGGCTTGTTTTCCCCAACTTAATTGTTCTTGATTTGAGCTACTGTTACCAAATCACAAGCATTGGCATTGAAGCTATTTTGAAAAGTTGCAAGTTTCTTGGAGAACTGGTACTAGTAGAATACTTGAAAGAAAAGATCATTGAGGCAGATAATTCAGAGCTTCCAGAAGTGAATTTGGAGGATTTAAAACTAATATGTTCACGGATAGATGATGAAGGGCTTGCAGCGATAGCAAAGAGATGTCCTCGATTGGTGTCTTTGGAAGTGAGTGATTGCAACAATGTGACAACGGAGGGCATAAAACAAATCGTTCAAAACATCACAACTTTGAAGATCTTACGTATGCGTGGCAGTGACCATGTAAAATCTTGTGATTTGTTGGAATGGATGTTATCTACAGGCAACTTGGCTTCCCTCAAGGAAATATATCTTGGACAAAATGATTTCACTGAGGAACAGATAGACCAATTCTTGCACCGTGGTTGTTTACTTCTCTGATGGTACTGGTACGTAAAGAAAAAAAAAATTAGAGTTTTTTTTTTTTTTTTTTTTTTTTTTTATAAAATAGATCATAGCATGGGAACAGGAAAAAAAAGGTGCATGTGCTGATTGTTGCTCACATATACCTCTTTTCATCAAACACAACTGTATTGAAAATTTTAATTAATTTGTTAGATTACAAGATTAGAGTATCTTATTATAATTGAATTAATCTGTTTGTTAGAAGCTTGGATAGCATAGGACAGTATGTCCTGGTCATGAACAACTACCAAAGCTCAAAGATTAATAAAAGATTTGAAAAACATTTTCAGCAATACTTTAATACAGTAGAGTTATGTATGATCACAAGGTTTAAAAGTTTAATTTGGAGCTTTGAAGAAGTCCCATACATAAGTTTGGCTCAATTTTAAATTAAACTTATCTAGTTATATGTTGTTTCGTTCATAGATTGGTCTGTCAATTAATTTATTATTATTTTTTTTACTTGTAATGCTTGAAGATTGTAATTTTTTGTAATTTCAAAAGGGTGATGATTGGTGTATGCTAAAGAACATTTTCAGGGATTCAATGTGCCCTTTAGAGATATTGGTGATACCATTTTTTTTTTCTTTTTTATGTATTATGATCAGAATGTCAATTCATGCTAATGTTTCAGAGAAACTGATAACCAAAACAAAAAAAATGAATGCAGAAATTTGCTGGCATACCAAAACATGATACCAAAACAATAGAGAAACAGAATTTAAGCATGAAAGCCAATGTCTAAATACTTCTCGTTCTTTATGATTCTCTTCAATACAATACGATCGAATGCGAGTTGACTGCTAAGGAAGATATCTAATTGCAAAATTGAGATGTTTGGGTTTGCATTGAGTTTGAAGGTACAAGATTAAGCTGTACATATACGCAGGAAATGTTAAAAAACCATCCAAACAAACTAAAACAAATGCAAGATCACAGGGTTAAGAGTACTATCCTAAATCCACAGAATAATTTGTACTATATAATTAATTACACAAAATAATTTATATATAATAAATAATTACAATATTACAAAAACATAAATACAAAACATAAAAGCAAACTAAATACTATAAATTTTAGTAATTTTTAATTATTTATTAATTTTTCAAATACAAAATACATATTATAAATTTCATTACATACAAATTTTAATTTAATGTCAGTAATTACTATTTTCATTTTCCATTATATTTTACATCATCATAATCATTGCTTTTTCATTCAAATGTATATTCCACTATTGATTTTAAATTCGTCATTATAATATATGATCTTATTATCTTTATTATTTTTAATCTCTTCAAAATTAATCTCACCATTCATTCAAATAAACCCTTAAAATTTGAATCACATCCCTTTTTATTTAAAAATATATATATAATTTAGGCTAACCTCACTTGATTTGTACCATCCATTAATTAGATGAGTTTAGATAAAATCTAAGACTTTAATATTTGAAAAGAACCGAATCTGAATAATTATGTAAGCTATAGATCCATGTATGTACTCAATCCTGAATCGAACCAACTCAATTAAACCCAAAAACAATTTTATTACTATGGATTTCATGTTGGAATATATGGGTTGGATGATCAAATAGAGTACATTCACATTAAAGTTATCTAACTTCTAGTATGAATTGAATTAAAATTTTATTTCAAATAAGATTCTACACATAATATGTTATTAAAATACAGTAAATAGTATTAGTCTTTAAATTTTAATATGCATATTATTTTGTCTTAAATTTCAAAATATAACCGGTTGTTCTTTAATTGTTAAGTATATAATGAGTTGATCTTTCTTGTAATTTATTTATTAATGTTGTCATTAAATATTTGATGTGACATCAAAAAGTGATTGATATGATAACTGTGATAGTTAAAAATATTTTTTTCTTTTTTATTTTTTAAATATTATCATAATAAATAAATATATAAATTTATCATTAGACATAAATTGAGAGATTTGACACTAATTTTTTTTGTTTATGTACGATTTGTTACTTAATTGAATTCATATCATATTAAAAAAAATCTCAAATTTGATTCAGATAATTTTAAATGATATATTTTGATCTACAAAATTATATCAGGTTCGAAAGTACGTATGAAGAATATTATAACACAATCACAATACTTACTTAAATGATAATACCAGTTAAATTTCATCTTTTTAATTTATTAAATAATTTAATTATTAAAAATTGATCTTAAAATTACTTCAATAATTTGATAATAATTTAATATAATTTTTCACCTTAAAAATATTCATGAAGACTAATGTCTCACTCTATACAGTTTTCGTTGTTAGATTCATTTATATATTTTATTTATAAAAAAATTAGTAAAATCTTTCAATAGTTTAGTAAAGTTCTACTTCAAAACACATTCTTCAATAATTTGATGAAATTTTATTTGAAAACTAGTTATAAAATTTATTTTAAGAAAACTCACTAAATCTTTCAATAATTTAGTAAGGTTTAATTTAAATTTTAAATTCTCTAATAATTTGGTAAGATTGAGAATTTTATTATTTTCTTTTACTAAAAAATTTATTAAGTCCTCTAATAATTTGGTAACACTTAATTTAAGATTTAAATCTTCCAATAGTTTAATAGGATTAAAATTTTTTATTTTATTAAAAAAATTATATTATGAAATTTTTTTATAGTTTGATAAAATTCATAAAAAAAAATTTAAACCCATAAAAATCCTTCGTAAATTTATTTTGAAAATCCTTTTTTTAAAAAAAAAATTAAAATAAACAAAATTTAAATCAAACAAATTAAATAAAAAAAATAAAAAAATTTTAACAAAAGAATCTATGACGGCTTAGTTCGACTAGAAAATGACTTAATTGCAAGAACAAAAGCTTACTAGAATAGTTGGAGGCTTGGCTCGGCTCAATTCAAGAATTGACTGTTGGAAACCAATTATGAATCGGGTTGTGCGTAGATCAAGTCAAGTAAGCCGCAAAACGCGAGGATCCCAAATAAATTTTAGGATTCAAAACAGCACTATTTTGAATAAGTATAAAAAAGGTCATAATTCTTTTTTTTTTTCTTCTTAGAATTCCTCTGCATTCTCTCTCTAACCTATTTTCTCCTTATTTCTTTCTATAGAATTGATAAAGAACAATTGTTTTCGATTGGTTTAAATTTCATCAGATTCTAAAAAATCAAAATGGAAAGTGGATTTTTCGTCAAAATTCTAGTAGAAAATTTAACCTTAATATGAAAATTTCCAAAAAAATTCTAAAAATTTTAGAAAGTCCTCTAAAAACACCAAACCAAACCTTCTATGCCTTTTAGATTTTTTACTGACTGATTTAAACTCTCACAATTACCCTAAATTCGCCAAAAATTCTTTAAAAACCTTACTGTTAGAAAAATTGCTCTCTCAATTACTATGTGATTTCTCTATTTTTACTTTGTGTGTTGGAATGGTTTATATAGCATTTTTTACTAGTAATTTTAGGGATATTCATTGAATGACATAGATCGAATTTGTCGCAAACAGATCTGATCTTGTTAAAGGTTGAATTTTTTCTTTTAAAGTTTGATTTGATTTCAATCACCGAACAAAATCTCAAATCTTTCTTTAAACTTGTGATTTTGTGATTTCGTTTCCCGTTTTCTTTAAACTTGGTTTCTAGGATTAAATTCCATGAACAAGATCTCAAAATTTTTCTTGATTTTCTTTCCTTTATTTATTTATTATTATATTTTTAAAGCAATAAAACGAAAAAGAAGGAAAAAAAAATATTTGCACTGTTTATTGAACTTAAAACCCAAACACCCATTGAATAGGTCCATTTAAAGCTCAATTATTCCAAATCAATTTTTAAAACCCAATAAATATTTCAAAGGCCCATTCTATCCTGAAAAACTAATTAAAATATTTTGAACATTTAATTAAAAATCTCATTTGTCTATAAACATAATAAATTTGTAACTTATTTACAAATATTAAAATTTATATAAATTTATATTTTTAAGAAGTTTTTTATTTTCAAATATAATATATATTAATATGTTTTATCAAATATTATAGTTTAAAATAAATAAATAAAATTTTAAGACTTTCTATTTTTAAGAGAACTTTCTATTTTCAAATTCTTAGGCATAGTATTTGTGTATTATATCTAGTTTTGTAGTTTAAAATAAAGAAGTTTGAAATTTTTATATTTTAATAAGGTTTTTTATTTTTAAATATAATATTTTTAATATATTCTATGACATTTTGTAGTTTAAAATAAATAAATTTTAAAATTTCTAGTTTTACTCAATTCTTGTTTTTAATTTTTAGATATAATATATTTTTATATTTCATATATAATTTTATAATTTAAAATAAATAAAACTTAAATTTAAAAAACTAGATAATATGTTATAGTGTAAAATAAATAATGTTTAAATTTTTCTAATTTTGATTTTTTTTAATTTTTATATATAATATAGTTTTTTAAAATTAAAATTAAATACAGAATTTCAAATTATGTCTCCATCCACATGACTTCCATGTATGTGGACAAGTCAGGTCAACTAATATTTGAAGTTAGACCAAATAAAATTTTTGAAAAGATTATTTCAATATAACATATTGAAAGTTTGGGAACTAATAAGAGACACTTAAAAGTATAGGGACCAAAATAATATAAGATCTAAAATTTAGGATCACATGTACTATTTACTCTTAAAAAATTTATTATACCCATTAACATAAAATTTTTAGGGTTTTATACAATGTGTCATATAAAGAGGCATGTATAAATAGTGCTTCATCTCTAAACCCAGTCCTTGAATTTTGATAACTATAGTAGCCTTACTCACAAGGAGATTGGTCAGAGTTGAAGCCTATACCAATGGAGGCTGGTGCAATTTTGCCAATTGACTACTGGCAATCTATATTCAGTCATCTTGACCATGATGGTTTGGAAGCTGTATCTTTAGTCTGTAAGGATTTCTTGATAATCTCAAATATTTACAAACACAGTTTACAAGTTATTCACCCTGGAGTCGATATGCTTTCTAAACAACTCAATAGATTCAAACAACTCAAAAATATCAATCTGAAACCGTTTACAGGTGACTTAGACGAGGTCATTCTTGAGATTGCTCGCTCTGACATTAGTCTTCAAGTTCTTGATATTTGCCATCAGGATGGACTCAAGGCTGAAAGTCTCAAAGAGTTGGGTTCCAATTCGAAGATGAAAATTTTAAAGGTTTTCAACTGTTTGATGCGAAACAGTAATTTGCAGGACAATGATCTTGTGGTAATAGCAAATTCGTTTCCGAATTTAGAAGAACTCGATCTTAGAATTTTTAACTTCCTGCCGAATAATTGTTTGGCTAATGACAGTTGTTCCCCATGGTTTCCTACTGATTTTGGGGTTGAAATTCTGGCATCTAAACTTAGGCTCTTAAAGAAAATTTGCATCTACGGAGAACATTATATTTCAGATCGATCTGTTGTTGCTTTGGCATCAAATTGTGTTTTTCTACAAGATTTTACTATGTGGTGTTAGAGAAACAATGGGGTGACAGAAAAGGGCATTGCTTTTCTCCTTCGGAATAAGCCAAACTTGGAAGCTCTTTCGATTGGAAATATCAAGATGGATTCTTCACAGTCTACAATCACTATTGAAAATTCAATTAGCCATGCCAAAGCCTTAACTTCTCTTGAGTTTTCCAGGATGGATGTTTCTGACATACTTCTTATCGCAGTTGCAAAGGCAGAGCTTCGGTTAACCAAATTTGTGCTCCATTTTTGCAAGAAATTTACTGTTACGGGATTGCTTATGGTTTTATCTAACTACCAGCTCACTAAGTTAGGCCTTGTTGAAGGTGATATTGCAGATGTGGATATCGAACTTGTTTTAAGCAGAGATGTAAGCAAACTCACCCACATAGAAATCAAACGATGCCAGGTAACAAGCTCAACATTGTTCCTACTATCAACTAGGTGTCCTTCACTAGTAGAAATCAGAATGAAGCAAATAGCCCTGGTTGGACAGATTAATGACGGTGGCATTAATTTTCCATTGTTCAAAAACCATAGTGTACAAAATCTGTCTGAAACAATGCAGAATTAGTAATAAATTGGTCAAACAATTGGGACTTATTTTCCCCAACTTAAAGTTCTTGATTTGAGCTACTGTTACCGATTCACTAGTACTGGCATTGAAGCCATTTTGAAAAGTTGCAAGCTTATTCGAAAACTGATACTAAGGGAATACTTGAAAAAAAAGATCATTGAGGCAGATAATTCAGAGCTTCCAGAAGTGAATTTGGAGGATTTAAGTCTAAGTTGGACAGGGATAGATGATAAAGGGCTTGCAGCACTAGCAAAGAGATGTCCTCGATTGGTGTCTTTGGAAGCGAGTCATTGCGACTATGTGACAACGGAGGGCATAAAGCAAATCGTTAATAACATCACAACTTTGAAGTACTTATATATGCGTGGCTGTGATGGTGTAAAATCTGGTGATTTGTTGGAATGGATGTTAGCTACAGGCAACTTGGCTTCCCTCAAGAAAATATATCTTGGACAAAATACTTTCACTGAGGAACAGATGGACCAATTCTCACACCGTGGTTGTTTGCTTCGCTAATGGTATTGGTAAAGAGAAATAAAAAATAGTGCTTTTTTAATTATTTTTTTAAATAAAAAAGAGCAGCATAGAGATAAGAGAAGAAACTGCATGCGTTGCACATGCCTCTCTTCATCATGCTTAAAACTGTACTGAAATCTTTTACTACTTCGTTAGATTAGTATCTTGTTATAATTGAATTAATTTGTCAGTTAAAGGCTTGGATAGCGTAGGACAGTTCAAAGAATAATGAAAGATTTGAAAATATTTTCAGCAATTCTTTATTGATAGTGAAGTTATGTATGATCACAAGTTTAAAGTTTGATCTAATCGGATTCATTTTAATTGAATTTGAATTTTTGATCTAATTATATATTGGTCCATTCCTTCATTGGTCTGTCTATTTGATTTATATCATTGATTTTTTTTAACTTGTAATACTTGAAGATTGCAATTTAAGATGAGGGTAATGAATGGTTTATGCTACAGAACATTTTCAGGCATTCAATGTGCCTTGGAGATATTGGTGAGACCATTTTTTTTTCCCTTCTTTTTTTGGTTTTTGATTGTTCTAATGATTTAGTACGTACTAGTACAAAAGTAAACCACATTGAATCAAAGTTGCCAACTAAATGGTTGCTGCCCTTCATATTCACTGCAACAAACTATTGCAGCTTTCAATAAAACATCCTCAGGCACCCCAACACCGAAGCCATCAGACTAATTAAGGTTTGGGTCACTGAAACCATCACTATTGTTACCATAAGCAAAAGAAAGAATATTTGGCAGGATGGACTCAAAGAAAGCAACTTGCCAAATACTTTCAGACGGTAAGCTCCACTGGCGTGTATAATTATGCGCATGTGATGTATATCATTGTATTAGATGTATGACCGGAATGTCAATTCATGCTGGTTGTTTCAGAGAAATTGATGATCAAAAGAAAAAATGAATGCAGGAATTTGGTGGCAAGCCAAAACATAATACCAAAACAATAGAGAAACAGAATTGAACCATGAAAGCCAATGACTAAATACTTCTCATACTTGATAATTCTCTCCAAAAGCGAGTTAACTACTAAGGAAGACATCTTGTTGCAAAATTGAGATGTTTGGGTTTGAAATGACTTTGAGGGTACAGGATCTTGTTAGGGTAAGCTGTACATATACTTTGGAAAAATTATCGCCTGCCAAGCAGCCTAGCTCTGTGCATTTCTCATTTCTTCCTTACAGTCTTGTGAAGTGTAGTTCTTGCTCTGATCTGTTTTTCGCCGTTTAGCTGATAGTCGAGGTCTCAACTGCACAGGATGTGATTCAAGAATATAGGGTTCAGAGTACTATCCTGAATCCATAGAATGTTCTAAACAAGAATAAGAATGCACTGATTCAACGCCAAAGGCAAGTCCAGACCTCATAGATATTTAATTAATAACAAAACAATTATATAACAGCTGCCTAAGAAATTTTGGTACAATAAAATCATTTTATAACCCACCCTGAATTTCTGTTTCACCCATCCAGTCACTAGAAGCCTTGTTTATCTGAAAACACTATAAATAAATGCAATTCAACATGTTGCAGGAGTATATTTTATTTTTCCTTCTTTGAGAAAAAGAACAAAGTTGACATTTCATACAATTTTTATGATTTGCAGTTCTTTTCACGTTAAAACACTATTAAATTCTTAGGATCGATATTCTGCCAAGCACCTCCTTTCGTTTTTTCAACAATCTCATCATACAGTTTCTTCAATTTATCAGTCTAATGGCATCTTTCTACAATTTAATATTTTCTTGCATAATATTCACAAGTTTAATGGAGCATATTATGGAGTGACCAAGTTCAAACTGCATAATCTTTACCATACGCTAAAATCAGAAAAATTATTATTTTAAATAATCAGGGATTCCTGAGTGATTTTTCACTGTTTTTCCATAGAGAAATCCCAGAAATTATTTAGTTTTGGTTCATATTTCTTAAAATGTCAATGATTCAATCTAAAATCAATTAACAATAAATGAAAAAGCCCAACTTAAATACAACGGCAAACTTCATACTTAACTAACATGGGATTGTGAAACTGGATACCTCTCAAGGCCCAATGATAACAAGTCAACTAGATGAGCCTCCACATAGGTAACAATACAGTGCAACAAACAATGAAAAGAACAACGTGACAAACTAGGCAACAAAAAACCTAAGCTCTCTAGTATCATTGTAAGAACCCAACCTACAAACAGTTAGTAATAAATGAAAGGTCCCACTTGAATATAATAGTTAAGACCAGCAAACATGAAACTTAACAGATGATGGCATCAATTCTACTTTACCAGTCCAAATATAATTTTTTAGTCTAAACTTGAATAGATCTTAAACCAAATCTTTCAATTTTATACTTATCCTTTTGGCAAAAAGAAAACTATGAGAGTCAAAAGAGAAAGAATTATGGCCCCTTTGAACCACCTAACCTAGATTTGGAGGCTCGCGATTCTCTCCTAGAGCATCCAATTTGAAATCCCATGCACCTAATAGTTTGGGATGTATAAATGCCGAATGGTATACTAAATAACTCCTCTTGGTTACACCAAATTTGCCGCCTTGAGAATGTATAGCGTTAAATGTAGAATTAAGTTATTTTTAAATGGAAGAGCACTACACCTCAAAACGAGGATTTCTACCTCAACCACTCTTACTAATTGAGCTAAGCCCAAGTTACAAACACAAATCAAGGCTTCTTTAACCCTCCTTCCATGCATTATTTGATATGCAAAGATAGACTATGACAAATTGCAACCAGTAATTAGTGAAGATAACTAAATGAGTGCATTGGTACATACCATCTCAATATACTTGAGTTGCTTCAAAACTTGATCTTTTTCCAGCTCCTGACGGAATAAACACAGAAACAAGTTCGATTAGAGAATGCCGTCAAACTAGTAACAATTATGACAGACTAAAATTGAATTTTATATTACAAGAAATTCATTTTTTTCTCTTGGGTTTCTAGCCTTTTCATTACAGACTAAAACTGTAGATATCTTCTATAATGGCTTAAAATAAATAAAGGGTAAATTCCATCTAAGTCTTAAATTTCAAGTATATTTCAACTTAAGTCCATTAGTTTAAAAAATGGACACTCCGCCCCAAACTTTCAATTAATAGGACAATGAGGTCCTTCCATCAGTTATTGGTTAATTATTCCATTAAAAATCTCATTAAGATACCATTTTACTCCTGAAAAATCAATATCCTGAAATACTCACATAATGTAACATTTTATAACAATAAATTATTTTTATTTTGTCTCAAGATACATAAAATATATTAATAATATAAAAAGATTTTTTAAATGCAACATATAAAAACAAAACTTACAATATAAATATGCTAATACGTAAATATATATATATATAACAACAAAATGAATTTATTACGCATGTAAAAATTTTAACCAAACCTTTTCTTTTTTTTCTTCAACCAAACATTTTTTCTTATTATATGTTACATGTTCATTTTCTTTTAAATTTGTTCCTTGTCGATTGTTACATGTTCAATATATTCATTTTATTATAAATATTTACATATTAGCTTATTTATAATTGTGAATTTTGTTTTTATATCTTGCACCTAAAAATTTTTTTATATATTATTAATATATTTTTTATTTTAAAATATATATAATATATTTATATAAATCATTACTTTATGTGAATATTTGGGAATATTAATTTTTTAAGGGTAACAAGATTTTTTAATGAGACTTTTAAAAGAATAATTAAAAGATAATTGACAAAAGGACCTTATTGTCCTATTAATTGCAAAATTTAGAGCGAAATGTCCATTTTTCAAACTAAAGAACTTGAGTTGAATTATGTTTAAAACTTAAGAACCTAGATGGAATTTAACCTAAAATAAAACTGGTATTTCTATAATACATGATCAGATACAATAGAAAGCACGTCCTGTAAGAAGAGGGTAGGACAGAAGTGGTTGCAGACAATGTGCTATAAAATCTTCCATTGGGGACAATTTGTTCTTCGGGTAAAACTACCACTTATAAGATGACACTGCAGGTTCTGTTTCTGACAGATCAATGTAGTATAAACAAGATTCTTTCTGCTACTAAAGATGGCATTGCTTTGTTAAGTTTGAGTCTTTAATTGACGTCTATGTAATAAATAGATACTTGCATTAAGTTAGCTACAAATTGATAACACATCAAACATGACCCACCTTTAAGTTTGAGCTTTCAAATGAAACATATTGACATGAATCCCAGACTAGTTTTTCAGATTGGAAAGAACCAATTAAAACTCTAAAATGATTATTCATGCATGAAGACATTCCCCATTAATGCAAAATACCAAATTCTAAGTTGATTAATTCTGAAAACCAAGTCAGGTAACATAACCTGAAGGTCACAATGCAATAGGGTAGAATAAAGTTGCTAAAAGGGTTATCACCTGAGGTACAGAACAATCAGCATGGGATGGATCCCACTGGACAGAGCAGAAGCACTCCCAGTCATCAGTTTGGACTTCAAAAAGAGGAGCCCTAAAAAAACAGGAAGTTAAAAAATAAGCATCTTGCATTAGCAATACAAAAACCAAAACTACATAAAGAAAGAAATTTAAACTTATGCACATTTTAAGTTACTAGCAACGGAGTATTAAAGCTCAAAAGCTCATCTAAGTGATGCTTAGTACTTAGTCTGAAATGAATTCCTCCAGCTCTTGAGAACGATGTAATCATCTTTATCCTCAATTATCATTATCTACAATATCTTAGGTGTATAGCATTGACCAATTCACAGCTGGTAAGAAATGTGCTATGCTGAATTTCCACCTTGCTGATAGCATGTCTATCAAATCAATACCTATTTCCTGATTTGTTGGCATTTATTTTTTCTAGTCAGTAGTTAATTTTATTTGTTTCTATATTTGGATGATTCGGTTCTGATTTTGTGGGCTTCTCCGTTCATACTAGTTCCTCCATATATGTAAAGATTATCTTTAAATTAAAAATACTCAAAGAACATTGTTTTTTCTCTAGTTCCATGGCATCAGAGCAAGGTTTGCTTCTGATTTTTTTCTTTTCTAATGGCCAAAACAACCATAACCGGTGCCTCTCGAGAGAGTGGATCAAAGGTGACTTCTAAACCGATTCAAAACTCTTCTCCAATGGTTCCAGTTATAAATGACTCACATTCCCTGCAAATAACACAGCACAAACTCAATGGAACAAACTTTCGGGAGTGTTCCCAATCCATGGTGCTAGTGATTCAAGGGAAAAGCAAAATCAGCTATCTGACTGGTGCAACAAAGGAACCATAGGAAGTAGAACCAAGTCATTCAATATGGATTTCTGAAAACTCCATGGTACTGGCATGGTTAGTTAATTCCAATGAAGCCTAAGATTGGAAGGAGCTATCTATTCTACAAAACTTCTAAAGAAATCTGGGACATGGTGAAGGAGATATACTCAGATCTTGAAAACTCATCACAATTTTTTGAAATTAAGTCAGCCTTAAAAAACATAAAATAGAGGGATAACTCAATGATTGATTAATACAAAAACAAGAACAATCTTTGGCAAGAGATGGATTTGCTTTCTGATACAGACTTACATTGTGTAGAAGACAGCAAAAAATACAAGAAGATGCATGAAAAAGAAAGGGTTTTGATTTTCTCCACAGTCTTAATAAGGAGCTTGATGAGGTTAGAGGCAGAATACTTGAACCCAAACTTGTTCCAAGCATTTGAGTGGCTTTTGCTGAAGTAAGGAGAGAAGAATGTAGAAGGAGAGTCATGCTAGGAACCAAAGAACCCCCTATTGTAGACCCCTCTCAAACTCAACCCTTGTTTCCAAGAAAAAAGATTTTTCTGGACTTGGAGATCAGCCTGGTAACCGTAGGAATGATAGGGCTTGGTGTGATCATTGTCAAAGCCCATATCATACAAAATAAACTTGCTGGAAAATTCATGGGAAACCAGCATATTGGAAACCACACAAGCAAGGAGAACAAGGCTGGGGTTCAAGTTGCTTTGGAAGAAAATAACGCTCAAGCTTTGGTTTTTAAGCAAGAAGAAACTTCAGCAACTCCAAACACTCCTCAATAGTACCCAAATGACTGCACCTACTCTAAAGTGCACAATTACACAAAAGGTAACTACCTCTGTTTAGGGTGCAAAGTCTGATTCTAAGAACTCTTGGATTATAGATTCTGGGGCATCAAACCATAAGATTAGATGCCATGAATTATTTTCAACATATAATCCATGACCTGAAAACCTTAAGATTTGTATTACTGAAGGATCACTACCCTCTGTTGCTGGAAAAGGAAACATTAAACTTTCTAATATTACACTATTTTCAGTCTTGCAAATTCTTAACTTAGCATGTAGTCTAGTGTCTATTAGTAAATTGACAAAAGACTTGAACTGTGTGGCTAAGTTCTATCCTTCATATTTTAAGTTTCAGTATTTACTTTTTGCGAAGATGATTGGCAATGCTAAGAAGCATGAAGGTTTGTACTATCTTGAGGATCCTCAACAAGTGAATAAACAAGCTTTGGCTTTAAGTGTTGAATCCTGTTCCTAGTGAAATTTTATATAATGGCACAATAGGTTAGGACATCCAAGTTTTTCATATCTAAAAACTTTGTTTCCTTCTCTTTTTAAGAATAAAGATGTCCATTCCTTTTCTTATGAACTTGTCAACTTGCCAAACGCTCATGTTCTTTATCCAAGTCATCCATTTAGATTTCTAAACCTTTGTCTTAGTTCACAGTGATATTTAGGAACGTTCATTGGAAAATAACACAACTAGAACTAGGTGGTTCATAACTACTATAGTAATAACACGAGCTCGTTGGATTTGCTTGTTAAAAGACAAACATGATGCTAAGACAACTTTTCAGCAATTTCACAAAACGGTTCAAACACAATTTCAAGCTAAAGAACAAATTTTCTGCACAGAGAATGAGGGAATATTTCAATTCAAGCCTTGGTGATTATCTAAAAGAAAATGTGGTTTTCAACAAAGTTCTTGTGTTAACACCTCCCAACAAAATGGGGTTGCAGAAAGAAAAAATCATTTGAAGTTGCTCGTGCTATCATGTTTACCAATAATGTTCCTAAGTTTTCTGGGAAGATGCTATTTTAATAGCTTCATACTTGATAAATAGACTTCCTAATAGAGTTCTCAACTTCGAAACACCATTGAACATGTTACTTGAATTATATCCACAAACTAAGTTGTTTACTTCTTTAACCCGTAAGTCTTTGGTTGCACATCTTTTGCTCACAGCAAAAGTCCATATCACGGGAAAATAGAGTCTAGAGCTATAAAATGTACATTTATTGGGCACTTTCCAACTCAAAAAGGGTATAAGCGCTATTGTCCTTCCACAAAACAAATATTTGTCTTATTAGATATCACATTCTTTGAAACTCAACCATTTTACCCAAAACCGACTCTTCAAGGGGAGATACTAGGTGAAGATAGGCTTTGAGATTTTTCCATTCCACTTCCTGTAACATCAACTATTCCTACCATGTCACTAACAAAAACTAAGTTGGAAACAAAGATAGATTCATCTATGATTAGGCCTCAACAAAATACAGAGCTCCGTGTTTATTCATGATGTAAACCACTACCTCATGAAGTACAAACTTTTGTGCCCCAGCTGCATTGTCAAGAATATGATGTGCAAATAAATTCTAAATCAGAAAATACTGAGCCTACAACACCATCACCAATAAATATCCCCCCTGATGATCTAGACATAACTCATAACACTCAGGAAAGGCGTAAGATCATGCACTCAACACTCACTTTCCAACTATCCATAATACAGCTTTGTCTTGTGTCCTGATAAAAAAGATTGAGGAAACTAAAGTCCCACAAAATATTCAAAAAGCCCTAGAAATCCCAGAATGGAAAGCTGCAGTACTTGAAGAGATGAAAGCATTAAAAAAGAACAAGACTTGGGACATTGTGGGGTTACCTAGAGGAAAAACGTCAGTTGGATGCAAGTGGGCATTTACTATTCAGTATAATTCAAATGGTGGAATAGAGAGAGACAAGGCCTGCCTAGTTATGAAGGGATTTACTCAAACTTTTGGAGTAGATTACACTGAAACCTTTGCTCTACTTGCTAAATTAAATGCTAAGGGTACTACTTTCACTAGCTGCTAATTTTAATTGGCCATTACACCAAATGGATGACAGAATGCCTTTCTTAATGGGGAGCCAGATGAAGAAGTATGATGGACTTGCCTCCTGGGTTTGAAGGGGGAAACAAACAAGGAGGCATGTAAACTAAAGAAATCTCTTTATGGTTCAAAATAGTCGCCAAAGGCTTGGTTTGATCAGTAGGAGACATGGACTTAGCCAAGGACAAACTGATCATACTCTTTCTTTTCAAACACTCACAACATGGAAAAAAGGCTATTTGGATCGTTTATGTTGATGATATTATGTTGATAGGTGATGACACTGAAGAAATAGAGCGACTAAAGAAAATTATTGGCGAAGAATTCGAAATTAAGGATCTTGGACAATTAAAATACTTTCTGGGGATAGAAGTTACAAAGAGCAAGAATGGTATTGTTATTTCCCAAAAAAATATACTGTTGATCTCTTGAAAGAAACTAGTCTGCTTGGCTGTAAACCAACTAATACACCTATAGATCCTAACATGAAGTTTAGAAAATGAGGAATTCCATTAGATGGAGAAGATATCAATGACTAGTTGGAAGGCTGATCTACTTGTTTCATACAAGACTGATATAGCCTTTGCAATTAGTGTAGTGAGTCAGTATATGCACTCTCCATTTGAAGAGTAGCTTGAAGCTGTGTATTGGATCTTAAGGTATTTGAAGACCACACCAAGTACGGGTTGTTACTTGAGAAGAATGAACATGGAAGCATTTACAGATGCAGACTGGGAAGGATCAATTGAAGACAGAAGATCCACTTTGGGTATTTTATGAATGTTCGGGGTAATCTTGTCACAAGGAAGAGCAAGAAACGGCATGTTGTTGCTCAAAACAATGCAGAAGCAGAATTTAGAGCCCTTGCACAAGGAACTTGTGAACTTCTCTGGTAAAAGAGACTTTTGGAAGAGTTGAAAATGTCAACTGAATATCGTATGAAATTGTTTTATGATAATAAGGCAGCTATAAGTATTACTCATAATCCAGTGCAAAGTGATCGAACGAAGGATGTGGAAGTTGATAGGCATTTTATCAAAGAGAAGATTGATATGAGAGTGATTTGTATGGCCTATGTTCCTACAAAGCAACAAGTAGTAGACACTCTATTTCCAGATTTGTTGGGGTTTATTTTTTTTCAAGTCATTAGTTATTTTTATTTGTTTCTATGCTTGGACGATTGTGTCCTGATTTTATGGGCTTCTCTGTACATACTGGTTCCTCTATATATTTGAGGATTACCTTTTAATAAAAAAATACTCGAAGAAAATTGCTTTTATCTCTGGTTTCACATCTCCTCCATTTTCAATTTTTAACATTAGAAACAATATTATAGACTAACCATTAAGCATAAAATAATGAAAATGTTGGGTAATACGTGACATGTATCCTGGTTTGAATTCTATTTGAGTTTATTCTTAGCAAGTTGACAATTTTTTTTCCATTTGCTACTAGAGGATCGACTATATCAATGTTTATCATAATATAACATGTTTACTTGAGGATATGATTCCCTAGGTTCAGCATTTAGGCTTTTAGACATAATGAACTGATATCATTTCAATTTTTAACAATAATTCATCTATAAGTCAATCAGAAGTAAATTGATTACTATTCCCTAGACAAAAATGTCAAGAGTTTTAGCAAATACCAACTTCTGCTAACATAAATGGTAAGCAAGAAAGCAAAATATCAAAGCAAGAAGACTATACCTGCGCCACTTTCCACAGATGGTTCCATTACTGCCTCCTACACCATCTACGAACCCTCTACATTGAAGCCAGTTCCCTATTGAGCTTAATTTAGATGACTTGTTGCAATTCAGTTCCTATAAAGAAAGATGTGTCAATTCTCTCCAAACCAAATGGTCACTTATCTACAAAATGAAAATGCTAACCAACACAAAAAATTGAAGCCTTACATGGAAATCAGTAAATTCTGAAGGATCCAATTCTAGTGGTTCATCAATTGTATCAACATCACTGCATCATATAACAAGAAACTATTTATCAACAACAAGACTTGTAGATCAAAAAGGCATACAATAGTACGTAATTTTTTCCATCTCTTACCTTTTCTAATGTGAAACAAAGTAAATTCAATGCAATTTTTGTCTGAGGAGAAAGAAAATTGTAACCAAATACGAAAGAAAGTTAAAAGAATAGAGAAACAAAATTGAACAATAAACCAAACACCATTACTAACCAATCACTTGAGTAATCTGTACCTAGATTTTACTTCGTATAGGCAACAAATTGATGAATCAAAATGTGCATCATAGAAATGAGAAAGCAAAAAAAAAAGGGAAATTTCACATTAAGTAATCTAGCATTCACAAGATCACCCCCTCCCAAACCTTCATTCAGTGCTTTAAATTACCCAACCTGGAATTTTTCATACAACAAATCGGAGATTAATCAGACAAACTAACTTTGAGGCAACATACAAGACCCAGATATAAAGATTAATCATAAACAAGGCCAAGAACATGACAAGACCCAGCAATAATAATTGTTGTTTCACCCAAGATTTTGTTCCAAAAATTAATTCTTGCCAACTAGAAGTGCTCATGATTTGGCACATAAAGGGAACCGGATTTCTCAATTGGGAAAATATGAGACTACTGCAAGGTTATTTAAACAATGATGATGATGCAGCTCAAAAATTTAGATAACAACCGATCAAAGAAAATAGCAGAAAGAAAAGAGATGAGATCAGAAAGAAGAAAGAAGAAGAGGAAGAGAACAGAGAGAGGAGATAGATTTGTTGTTACCAAGAGAGAAAGTAATTTTCTGTTATGAAATTCCTTGCCTTTGTACAATGCTCATCTATCCCCTATACACCCATTTCTATTTATCAAAATGCTGACTCCACTAATTATATACCAATATTCTTAACTAACCACACTTAACTAACTTTTTCACTAAACTCTATAATCAGTAAATTGCTTAAGAACTTGGGTTGTAGCTCTGGAATAGATTTGGGCCCGCATCAGATGAAAGATTTAATTCAGTTAAAGCATTCAACTTAAACCAATTAGCAGCATAACCATAATATACGACAAGAACATGCCTCACACCAAACTAGTGCTGGATGTAACACAATATAGATGAAAATATGCCTATCCTGTGGGCTACAACACCTGGGGCACAAACAACTAGGACTTTATGGAGCACGAACATGGTGGAACCCCCCACGTATCAGCCTCGTACTAGTGTTAGACATTAACATGTCACCAACACGCTGGAATACATACGGGACATGGAAAAAAAATAAAAGAAAGTTTGGAAATGGTCGTGACAGGGTGACACACACCCCAGGACACGTTAGAGGAAGGAAAGAGGAGGTGGTTCTAGGTGTTTTAGGCAGCAGAAAACAGTAAAAAAGGTGGAGACTGGTTTTTTTGTAGATCAAGACTTTTTTATTTTTTTATTTTTTGAAAATTTAACTGGATAGAAAGAAAGATGAGAATGATAGGAGATTTTGGTATTTTTTGGTGAAAAATGGTCACTGGTGAAAGGTGGTCAGCAAAAGCATGCCAAAATCTGAGTTAGTGGGTTGTTGCCGAAAGGAGTGTAGAGAGAAATGAGAGGATGAGAGAGGGTAGAGAGAGGGGGGAAGGAAAAAATGAAACAAAAAATATTGTTGTTTATAAAGCACCAAAAACAGTGCGTTTTGGGGAAGGATAAAAGGGGAAAAAGGAAAGAATAAGAAGAAGAAGCAGGAACTGGGAAGGTAAAAAAGAAAGGAAAGAAAACAAAACAAAAGAAGGAAGAAAAAAAGAGGGAAAAAACAAAATTTTTAATGGATACAAAAAATATATAAAAATTTTATGAATATAAAAGAATATAAAAATATTTTTTATTGCTATGTCCTACCGTACCCTTGTCCCTATATTTTTAAAATTACCTTGTCGCCATGTCCATGTCATACCCACACTACATGTCTCCATCCGTGCTTCCTAGCTAGGACTCTAACTATATTAAAGCATCCAACCTATAAACAATTGCAAAGGGTTGGAAAGCCCACCAAATATAGAGCCAGAACCAACCCCAAAACAAAATGGTTTCACATGTAAAAATACCGAACAAATTCCAACCCATTCACACAAAAACCACATCTCTTTTCTTCTTCAATTTCTCTTTCAGGATAATTTATTGAAACATCAAGGGGTATAACTTACTAATCTAGTTTATAATGATGCTTCATCAAAGGCAGTCCCATTGTTTTTAAATCCTCAACGTCGCTTCTTTCACACACCTCTGTTCCAAAGAGCTGACTTTATCTTACTCTAAAGCATGCATCCACTTTGGAATAGCAACTTGCAAGCTTAGTTCGATGCAAATATCCCATCATTAAGATGTCTCCTTTGGACTAAACTTCCAGACATTTCCTGTCCATCAAAAGATCTTTATCCTGGCTCCCATTCCATCTTAAAAAGTTTCCAATTTAATAATTGGCAGTAATGGGAAATACTTTCTTCAAAAAGGGAAAAATCAACAGAACATCATACTCAAAAAGACAACATTTTCCCTTTTAGAAGCTGAAAACTATCAATTCTATTTCACCCACTAAATATGAAGTTCTTCAAGGTTCCAAAACAAAGTGATAGCTAAAGCAGACTTCCTCAATTCAGAATATACATTTAACTCACTAAAAGCCCTTCAAAAAGGCCAAGCATGCCAATGTGCTCAGCCTTGGTAAGAACTTATAAAACATCTCAGCTGTTGAAGGGAAACAAGAAGATTAGTCTACCCTATATTATTGGGAACACTGTATCAGTTCCTAGCTAAATTTCATAAATTGGAATCTAAATTCTGACAGATTTTCTTGAGTAAAGAAAAAGGCTTACACATGATCGCAGAAAAATACTGGTAATCTTTTGTATGATAAAAAGTGGTAATCCTTTTGCCATTGTTGCACAAAAATCTTTGCAACCAATCTGTAATTAGACAGACAGCACGACAAGCCATCAAAGAAAGGCTATCAGTGTAATATAAAGAAAGGCTAACACTTAGCACTGGGTTTCTTCAAGGTCATTGCAATTAGCCTGCTATCAAAGTCAAATTCCTTCATATCTTTTCCTGTAGAATTTATGTAGCCTCTCTCTACTTCATGTCCTTTGTCTAGGTCAAGACAGAACCTATCCCTAGGGTCTTTCTTACAAAAAGATAACTGTTTATAATAAATAAAACCTATTAGCATGCTCTCCTTTAAGCTTCTTATATATAAAAGCATCAAACAACAATTTTAACTGCCTTGTTTCAGACAGATTTTCATCTGTCACAAAGGGAAGCCTAGTTAAAATAACTTGGGAACAATACAACATAAATGAAACCTCAAAAACAAAGGAGCATCTTTCATATCTATGTTTTGCTGTGCACACAATTAGAAAGCCTCTAAACTTATGCATTCAATATACACAATTAATTTAAAAATAGACAGTTCATGGAACATACTTATCAATCGGTCCAGACCAGTCAGGAACTTCTGCTTGAATACCCTTGCCAATTCGAACACTTGTTCTGTAAGGCTCAGCATCTCTCAACATTAATTCTATTGGACTGAATTCCCCTTTAGATGATACAACTCTACATCTGCCCATTCCACCAGTGATACTTGAAGAATTTCTTGTAGTTGTCTCCATGAGCATTATTCTCTTCTTTTTCATACACGAAATACAATACCACTCATCAACTGGTATTTTCTTTATCTTGGGATTGCAACAACGAACATGATATGCTTCTTCACAATTATCACAAATTAGCATCTTTTGTGCAGTTTCTGAACGACCACAAATTTTGCATGACCTAGAACAACTACTACCACCACTTGTCCCAATTTCCTCATTAACAGGAGCCCTAGAAGGCCCAGCGTCCTCAAAATTACCCTGGTTCCGAAGTATGGGGAAGCACATATCTTTCTCAGATAGATCTTCACGCACAACTTCAGCAGCTATTACACTAGAGGAGGAGCACTCACCATTTTCATCCATCTCACCTTTCATAGAAGTTAATGCAAGTTCCATATATGACTTCGATGATGAGCAACTATCATTTATGCTGTCAACATCTACAGTTTTCTGCATAACAGTTTTATGCACATCATCAGAACTGAGGCCATCCACACCAGAACATCCATTAGTAAATTCATACTTTAAAATGTGAGGCTCTCTACTGCATGCAAGAGGTGTCAGAGGATCTCCAACAGCAATGTTTTCATTTTCAACTTGAGAAGCTACATTTGGCTCCATGACAGCCACTGAAAGAGGACCAGAACTTACAATAGAAAGACAATCCACGCTTCTCTTTGAATTCACAGGGGCCTCAGCACAAAAGTTGGCGAAAGAAGCGCTAGCACTGCTACTGCTGCCTCGCTGTTTCTTCCTCCTACTGTAAACAAAAGTAGGCACAGGACTTTCAGACATAACACTCACAGATGACTGTTGAGAACCAGTTCTTGGTAAGGGAGGGCATGAATACTCAGCCTCTTTACACCCACTCTGAGAAGGGCCGTCACCTTTTGGGGACATCTGCCAATTTACATTACCAGGCATCCTATCACATAAAGAATCTTGTTTCCTGTGTTCATATACATAAAATAGGTCGCCTTCAATTGAACCAGAAATTGAAGTCTCTATCAGCATTTCACCTGACATAATTCAACAAAAAAAATCTGGGTCTTTCCCTAGCACAACTAAATTACTTCCACTGATAAAAATAAACCTTTTTTGCTTCAATTCCAAATTGGGTTTCAGTGCATCAACCTTCCTGGTCATCAAATATTTGTTCTATTCAATTCCAACAATATTTTTTAACGAACTATTTATTAAACAAAATAAAGAAAAGACAAAAAATTCGCAGAAAATATATATCTTTGAAAATTTACATACCCTTCTCCAGCCTTGACCATCTTTTTCTTCCAAAGAATTACAAAAAGGGATGTTGGGTTTTGCACTTTTACCATGAAACAAAAGGCTGAAGAAAATTCAAGGGCTGAAACCTGGCACAAATGTTGCAAATGGAAGTTGAGGCAGAATCTGAAGAAGGCAGAGGTCAGAGGGGCAAGGGGTTTTGTTGTTCTGGGTGCCTGGGTGAACCGGTGGGCAGCGGAGAGTGGGCTCATGGGTGGCTTTTGTACTCAGTTCAAGAAGTGGTTTTGGGCCTCTAATTTTGAATTTTGCACTTTTTTTTTCTTTGCATGTATAAATTTTTCAAGGTTTTGCTTTATTGTTGGCCAAATTTTTTGTAGGTTGATCAGATTAAATATTCTTGATATGTTACTTGATCCAAAGAATATAATAATAATCTAGAGTTTAATTCAATTTAATCCAATTATTTCATGCAACTACTTTTAAAAGATTGTATGAAATAAATTTAAGCATCTATAATATTTTTTTATTTTTAATTGCAATTTTTTTTAATGTATTAAATGGTTAAGTTTAAAAGTAAAGATACACAAAAAGAATAATATTGTGCATGGAAAAGACAAATTTTGAATCTAATGTCTTAGTGTCTCACATTCACTTTGAAGTTTAAATTCCTGTTACTTTCTTAGGAAGCCAGGGCACAAAGGTCAGGCAACATGCCATCAATAAGCAACTGTAATGGCTTATTTTAAAGTGAATTGATGGTGCATTTTCTCTCCAAACTCCAATGAGGCTGGCATTGGTGTGGTGATGAGGAACTATAACTATGAGCCAATAGGTCTGGCGAAGATGGTAAGGGCAGATTCTAGTCTAATGGCTGAGGCTTTGGCTATGAAAAGAGTAGCAAAAAAGCTAAAGTTAAAAAAAAAAAGGTTTTGGAGGATATAAGGCAGTAGGTGAAGCAGTTTGATGACTTCAACTTCAGCTTTGTAAGAAGAACATCCATTTTGGCTGCGGACAAGGCCTTTGATGCAGCCACTTGAAGAGGTAATAGCCCTGGAAATAGCAGCATGGTGCATTTTTGCTGAAACAGGACAGCAGTTCTACATCACTGCTTGGACTTTGGTAGAGCCCTTTTGCACCATGGTTTCAGACTTTGTTGACATTTTACTTTCACCATTCTTTAGAATGCTGTTTACAGTCTCCATGAAACCAGGATTTAAATTTGTCTTACAGGTCTTCCATTCTCTTCGAAACACTCACGGTCTTGTCACATTCTTTACATCCTGTAACCAGCATAGGTTCAGCATAGATTCAGGTATAATATAATGACAAACAAACCTTCAAAAATGAAGGTTGTACCCAAAAGGTTGAATTTAATATAAACCTGGGAGTATACATTCAGCTTTAGAAACAAATTACATAGGAATTTCAATGAAAGAATATCACAATTCATTTCAGGGTTATCAAACTCTAAACTATTTTTTTTCTACATGCATTGCAGGTTGATTTGAAAAAAATGTGATTGTTTCACTATAGGGATAACGTCTTAAAGATGACAAACAATGCTCTTCCCACTTTATCACAATCCAAGGAAAAGGCACCAACTTCAGCTTAGCACTACTTGTAATTAATCCTCTGTAACTATTCCTATTGATCATCGATGTGATTAATCACAAATTGTACATAATTATTGTAAGCTTCTGAACACAACATACAGATGGCTGATTTTTTATTCATCTGCCAGATGTCTTGCTTTTGCAGCCAACTTAACTTAAAGGCAGAACAGAAAGAAGATGGTCATTGGTCTTTATAAGCTTTCAAGAAACAAGAAATTTTATGGAATCTGTTTCAATGAAAGGAAGCTGTGTCTGGCTCTATTTATGGTATCCAGGCTTTAATCCATCATCAGCCCTCCATTGTGAAACAAGAAAGGATTTAACAATTTCAAGCCTAGAAAAACTCAAGGAACAAGTATAGTAGTAATTTTAAGGCTAGGAAAGCTAAAAACATGTTATCTTTTTCTCTTTAGGTAAAATAAATGTGAAATAAAAAATCATTTGAAGCAGGGCTATGTCTTGAATTCCTGCATCATATTATGTCAATAAAGCAATGATTTATCATTCATCTAGTAAGTTTACGGGCAAATGTGTTAACAACAAATACAAAATTAACGGTTACCACATGTTGAAGAACGTTAAGTAACAGAAATTTGAACCTTTCTAGTTCCATCAGGTCTTTCAAAGCAGTTGAGCTAACTTATCCGTATTATCAAAAGCAACAAACAAGGTTCGATAGAACACAATCAAATGTAGAAAAACTGCAAGGAAGAAACTTGTGCCATATTTAAAATACCTGCAATCTCAGAAGTCTCCTAATCCGGCAACTCAGGTGGATCACTACTAATTCGGTAAGGCTCAATGGTTGGAGGGATCCTGTGCGTCTATTTGTCATTTAAACTGATCATGACTTAACAAGACGAAACAAGCAAGAACTAAAGTAAAATCCAGTTCATAATATCAGGAATCTTAGATAAAATGCGTAAGGTTTAACAAAATATAGATATAGTTCAACTCAAGTGGTTCCAGTGACCAAGATCACAAGTTTTTAGTCGTAGACCTTAAGAATGTAGCATTGACATTATAGCTCTCAACAAATGATGTGAAACTAAACCTTGCAGCTACATTGTTGAACGTTTACTCTTCAAGCTCATCCTTAAAAGCTAACCCTTATTGAATTCTAAAAGTCAAAGGTAATGTGTAATGAGATGTGTTGAGGTCAATAAAGCAAACCTGCAAAATTTTATGGAAGACTCAGGCTACTGATAAAGAGATTTGCACACACTTATATATTTGTCAACAAGAAAAGAAGATTGATACCACAATTGGATGTAAGAAAAACTCCAGCCATGGACCAACTTAGCCAGGAGGTTTACGAGCGGGGATAATAAGCAATCAGGGGAGAAAATTTTAAAGATAGTATAAAACTTTACTCAACAATGAGTTGACCTGCAAAAGGTAATTTTATAGGAAAGAAAGAAAGAAAAAACCAAAACTAAAGGAAAAAATATTGAGCAATATTTCTGGTAAAAGTTTAAGAACATAAGTACTTGATATTATATAAGTAACTTCAAATTCTTAGGAAAGTCATAAGACATAAAACTTTGTTTGTTATGCAAAAGCACCAGTTCAGTGCAAGTTGCACTCATCAAAACCAGAAGGGAGACATAAAACAAGATCCAGAATTCATGTAGCAACAGAATCAGGTTCAAAATTTTCAACATTTTTATGCATTTTAATTTTACAACAGCTATAAATCATGGGTGTCACCTACAGGTTTCCCAACAAATTTTGCTCATGCAACTTCAGTTTAAGAAATATGTTGTATGAAAACAAATCTAGAATTCATTTAAAAAAAAAAAAGTCTTTTGAGGTTATAGTGAGTGTACCCATTAGCAGCAGAATTCAATCCGTTACATCAACCAACTGGCGTAACAAGCTGAAAGCTACTTTCTTCCATCAGTAGTGGTCATAGCACAAAAGCTGAAGTGCAATTCAATAGAGATACAAACCACTTAAAAAGAGCCTTATCTTGCTCTCTTCAAACATAAGAGACAGATGATTGTTTAATTGCCACCACCTGCGACCAAAATTGACAAGAAAAACGGTTAACTAAACATCATCTTAGAGAAAGAGAGGGAAGGAGAAAGAGAGAGTAATGTTTGGTCTTTGTTCTAGTTTTTTTTTTTTTCTTTTCTTTTTGCTTCTGGGGAGGAATATGTATGGAGTTTGTGGGAGGGGAAGAGAGTCATGTTTTGCTAAGCTTTCAGCTTCAAGTAAGAAAAGTATCGCAAAATGAAATGGCTTAGAGCAAAAACATGCAACCTTTAAAAAGAATATAATTGCACATAAGGGAACAAAAGTACTAGGACAAGTGAAAAAGAACCTCCAGTTAAAAGAGGTAATAAGAAACTTGATTCAAGCATCTTTTGAAATCAAGCAACTACCGGAAGAAAACCAAAGTTAGAAGTCATCAACCACAATGCATGAGCCACAGCAAATAGAGGTTAGATATGATTGACCAACCTCACTGCTTTTATAGATCTCATTAACTGCACAGAGTCCCCTTGGCCTCTCTTTCAAATAGCAATAAAGTTAAAGAGCCTTATCATATAACCAGCAAAAATGAACAGTAAAATGAAACAAAACATCAGTCAGACTCTCAATAACCATAATCTCAGCTGTCTTCTGGTAGCGACTAGATTGAAAAATCACAAATCTGAATACGGAAGCTAGATAGTTTTCTGTCCTCTGACTAATGCCATTCTCATAATTCTTTTCATGACCAAGTCCAAAAATTTTCCCATGCCACCTGAGGATCCCAGCTAGGAATCAGGCAAAATGATTCAAAACATAAAAATAATGGCAGAGATTTATTTTTGTAATGATAAAAAAAGGCTTCTCTGTGCACCCCACAATGTTCTGTAAGGCAGATGGTTTGCATTAACCTAAATAATGAGTTTGCCCAGTATGTCAATTCTTCTCTTCAAGGTAGAGCCAGCCTGCATTAAATAAAAAGAAGAAAGATCCTAACATACTTCCAAAAAAAGGAGTTATATTTTAAGATAACTCACATATATTACAAAGAAGCAACATCACACATTTCGGTTAGGGGGAAAGGTAAAACATGTCAAAAAAAGAATCATTGCACACCTAAATAGAATGGTAATCGATGTCCATGGCCCTCAAGAATTTCAAATGATTGATAAATAATCCAGAACATCTCCCTGAATGAACATGGAAAGACAACATATAAAAGATATGAAGAGTATCCTATCCAATATAATAATCACAACAGAAAAATAGAAATGAAGACCTAAGATGAGATGTCTTTAAGCCAAATTCATTCACCCAATCACCAGTGCCTTGGAGAACCACCTCCCTTATTCTTTCAAAAGAAGGCATTCTTGGGTTTTGGTAGCTCATGAATGTCCATCATTTGTATCATTCTAGCTTTTCTGGCTTCAAAAAGCACTCAAAAACCAGATATAGTCAACATTTAGTATGAAGCTGAAGTGAGTTATTCAAGATTAAATAAATTGCGGAAGAAAAGAAGAAAGCAAACCATTTTCAGCTTCTTTGTAACTTTCTTGAAGCCTTTTCCTTGCAGAAGCCAGCCTTTCAGAGTCAAATTTGCTTTCCTTTTGTTCTCTCTGTCTCTACGAAATCCTTGCAAAGGCAATTCAATAAATGACATAAAAAAGGTTATACTAAAAATCAACTCAGCCAAACTGAATTCTTTGTGCGACATTAAAGTGGTTAAATTAAGTTGAATTTTCCCTTTCTTGGCCTTGTTGCTAAGATAAAGCTATTGGGGTAGTAACCACAACTTCTTATTCCATAGGAATCAAAAGCCTCGTCACTATAGGAATTGTTCAAAATGCTAGTTTCAGAGCCAAAAGAAACCATTTGAAAACATTTGCTTCTAAATATGGTATCAGACCTCCATGTCCATCAACAAAAGAATGATGCAATTAGAGGCTGTAATTTGGGATGTACTAATACCTGTACATTTTGTTAGTGGAGTAGAGGGAGTAGGTCTAGGTGGAAGATATTTTCAAGGAGGACGGATTGGCTTTGGCTACCTTTCAGGTTCTGAATTATTCTTGTCTGAACCAAAACTCCCATCTGTCAGATGTCATCCAAAAAAGCATTAAAAATAAGGCTGATTAATTAAAAGCACAAAAGAAAGAAACAAAGATCAAATCCAACTTTGAATCAGGTTCTGTACTCCTTGTGCGGATTAGGAGAGTAAGCAAAATGAGGAACCTATAACAGAGCATAGTCTTCGAAAGATAAAAAATGGCAGAATTTTCAAACAACTTTCTCATGAAAAAGTATTTTCTTTCACCTGTTGACAATCATATTGAGGAAGTTTTTGCTGTGGTGAATCTCCATCTGCTGCCAGACAAGATTCATTGTCATTTTAACTTTAATGACATGTCAATCCCTTTCACTTTTGAAATATTTTCTCACAAAAACAAAATTTCTTTATGTTACAGTAGAGATAATAATTTTACCCATAAGTACAGCAGATTCAAGTTCTCCAGGTCGATTCACCCTTACCCATTCATCTACAATCTCTTGCCATTTTCTGGAGAAGCAAAGAACCAAATCATATAACAGACTTTCCTTCAATGGCTCTTTCAAAACTAAAAAAGAAACATAACAAAATGTTTACACACAGATGTGATCTCCATAAGTTTATTAAAACCTGACCAGTTGCTTCACTAATCTCCAAACATCATTTCATGAATGCTTCCTCACTTTGTTCACATGTCTCCCAATATCAGTCTCCTGAAGATAGAATCAAAACATGGAAATGGTCATGAATCAAACTAAACTGGAAATTAATTAAAAAAACAAATTTGTTCCACATAATTATTACCTTGAGAGCTTGAAATGTTATATGCACATCTGCCAAGCTTTGAAGCAAATCAAGCAAAGAATCTTCAGACTGTAAAAACAATCAAAAAGCCAAATTCAAAACAAAATCCAAAAATATCAAACCAAAAATATAATTGCAAAAAGATTCAAAGACCTGATCAGGTACTTCAAGGCGCTCCTTAATCTAAATAACCATTTTTTGCTCATCATCAAACAAGCCTCCATAAGGGTCCAAATTAACTTGTTCATTATCCAATTGAGGTGTAAAAGGAGACCCTTTGCCTCCTTCTCCTTTACCTTCATGGAGGCTGGCTTCTTTTTTAACTTGATATCCATTTGATCTCTTAACAAAATCACAGCTTTTATATCTAGTAACCATAGAAATAGCATAAAGCCTCTCCACCTCCCACTTTTACTTTGCTTCAACTCTTGACCATAATCCAAAGAGGCTACCAGAATTGCTGTATCTATAAAAGTCCATAAATCACCATCAGCTATTTCAAGAAATGATCGAAATCATCCCAGTCCATTATAATTCAATAAAAAGCTAATGATTTTATTGCAAATTCCAGGGCCTGCTTCCAGATGTCAAATCAAGATTTGAAAAGCTGAAATGGGTTTGGTTTTATTTTTGTTGGTTTTTGAAGAAAGTTGATGGTGTTGAGTTTGTTAATGGTATTGGATTTTTGGAAGAAATATACCAAAATGGAGCTTAATTTCTTTTGGTATCACAACAAAATAGAAACAGGGGACCTTACGGAGACAAAATCCAATCACTGCTCTTTCCATATCCTTCCTGTCACTCTAAGCATCAATTCTTTCCAGTCTCACCCTAAGAAGAACAAAGAGATGTTGCATTGGATAATGAGACCATCAAAACTGTCATGAACCTTTCGATGACAGTCCCTTATGCTCCTGGGCACCCCTTGCCAAATCATCTTCCGCCCGTTCCCACCCACCTCAAGGCTTTAGCTATAGTTCTTTGCGTCATTATCGTCACCCATAAACTGCAAGAAGGAATTATATACAGAGAGGTCCCAAGCTGGAAGGCTACAAAATGCGAGCAAAAGTACTCACCAAAGCAATTGAAAACCTAAAATTTGAGAAAAGAAATCCAACTATCGGCGCCATACCCCTCACAAAGTCTTCAAAAAGAAGAATAATATCCTAAGAATAACAACCTAACCAAAAGAAGAAATCAACTTAGCAACAGTCTTAAATTTTGTATAGTAAAGCCACGTTTATAGTTTTAGGTCCCGACTATGATTGTATTCACCACTAGAACAATGGGACAACCCCATTGAAAATTAACAAAGTATGTAATGTCCTAATTAACAATGGATTGGACATAGGAACTAAAATTTATTAAACAAGTAGCTAACGGAATATGGATGCAAGGAGGAGAATTTACAGTTCACTAATTAAACAGAAAGAGATATTGCACATAATGGAAGGGGAAACCAAATACCGTCAGGTCAGTTCAGACTGGGCTGAGTTAAGTTCGATTGACACCTCTAAATGCCAAATCCCAACTCAGCCCATCCAAGTCCACCTATTTAGATTCATTTATATTAAAATATTTTAAATTTTATATTAATATTTTAAGTACATTTTAAATTTAAAAATTAAATAGTATGTTTTTTAATTCATAAAATAATGTTTTGGGCCAAGACTGGACTTAAAAACTTCTATAAGAAGCCCAGCTCGCAGGCATGGTGGATAGGTCCAGGTCCATCGAATTGTCTTGGACCAAAACATGTACTAATACAAAACTAAACATCATTGAATCAAACTTGCCAACTGAGTAACATGGTTGCTGCCCTTCAAATTCACTGCAACAAACTGTTGCAGATTTCAGTAAAACATCCTCAAGGAACCCAACGCCAAAGCCACGAGACTTAAAGTGTGGATCATGTAACCATCACTTTTTTTTTGTTTTTTGTACTTGAGATTCCAGAATTTAAACCTTAATCACTGAGACTAAAACTCCAACACTCTACCAACAGACCACACAACTGTTGACCTAGCAATCATGATTGTTACTATAAGAAAAAAAAAAACAACTAGTACCATATTTGGCAGGATAGACTGAAAGAAAGCAATTTGGCAGGATAGACTGAAAGAAAGCAACTTGCCAAAAACTTCAGACAGTAAGCTCCACCGGAGTGTATAATTGTGTGCATGTGTGGCATGTATCATTGCATTAGACATATGATCAGAATGTCAATTCGTGCCGAATGTTTCAGAGAAACTGATAACCAAAAGAGAAAAAAAAGAATGCAGGTATTTGCTGGCAAGCCAAAACATAATACCCAAACAATAGAGAAACAGAATAGAAGCAAGAAAGCTAATGCCTAAATACTTCTCATACTTGATGATTCTCTCCAAATGCAAGTCAACTGCTAAGGAAGATATCTAGTTGCAAAATTGAGATCTTAGGGTTGTTTGTAATGACTTTGAAGGTACAAGATCTTGTTAGGGCAACCTGTACACATACTCTGGGAAAATTATCACCTGCCAAGCAGCCTAGCTCTGTGCATAGAGCAGTTCTTGGTCCAATCTGATTTTTGCTGTTTAGCTGATAGTCATGGTCTCAACTGCACAGGACTTGGAATTTTAAAAACCCAGTAAAGAAACTAAAACAAATGCAAGACTACACAGTTCAGAGTACTATCCTGAATCCACAGTATGCTCTATGCAAGAATAAGAGTGCTTTGATTCAAGGTCTAAGGCAAGCCCAAACCACACAGATAATTAATTAATAACCAAACAATTATATAACAGCTATCCAAGAAATTTTGGTATAATAAAATTACTTTATATCCAACCCTAAATTTCTATTTCACCCTTCCAGTCAATAGAAGCCTTGTTTCTCTGAAAACACTAAATGAATGCAATCCAACTTGTTGCAGGAGTTTCTTTTTATTTTTCCTTCTTCGTAAAAAGAACAAATTTGGCATTTCATACAGTTTTGATGATTTGCAGTTCTTTTCATGTTAAAACACTATTAAATTCTTCGGATAGAGATTCTGCCAAACACCTTTCGTTTTTTCAGCAACTGATTATGTAGTGCCTTCAATTTATCAATCTAATGGCATCTTTCTACAGTTTACTATTTTTTTGCATAATGTTCACAAGTTTAATGGTGCATATTATGGAGTAACCAAGTTCAAACTACATAATCTTCACCATTATCTACAATCAGAAAAATTATTATATTAAATAATCAAGGATTTCAAATCTGCACTTCTTGAAAGATTTTCACTGTTTAGTCATTGAGAAATCCCGGAAATTGTTTAGTTTTAGTCCTCGTTTCTTAAGTGTTAATGGTTCAACCCACAAACAATTAGTAATAGGTAAAAATCCAACTTGAATATCAAGCAACGACAAACTTCATAATTAACTAAATGGGATTACAAAACTGGACACCTCTTAACTAAATGGGATTACAAAACTGGACACCTCTGAAGGCCCAATGATAATAAGTCAATTAGGTGAGCCTTCCAAATAAGTAACAAATACAGGGCAATAAACAACAAAAGGAACAAATAACCAACTAGGCAACAAACAACCTAAGCTCTAGTATAATTGTAAGAATCCAACCTACAACCAGCTAATAATAAATGAAAATGTCCAATTTGAATATAATAGTTAATACCAGCAAACTCAAAACTTAACAGATGATGGCATCAATTCTACTTAACCAGTCCAAAAATATTTTTGTAGTCCAAACTTGAATAGATCTTAAACCAAATCCTTCGATTTTGTATTTATCCTTTTTGCGGAAAGAAATTATGAGTCAAAACAGAAAGAACTATGGCCCCTTTGAACCAGTTAGCCCATTATGGAGGTTCTGTATCCCCCTTAGAGCATCCAGTAATTCCAAATCCCATGCACCTAATAGTTTAGGATGTATAAACGCCATGTGGTATAGTAAATAACTCCTCTTGGTTACACCAAATTTGCTTCCCTGAGAATGTATAACGCTAAATTTAGAATTAAGTTATTTTTACAAGGAAGAGCATTACACCTCAAACGTTGGATCTCTACCCCACCACTCCACTCTTACTACTTGAGCTAAAGCCCAAGTAGCGAACATGGCTCGAGGCTTCTTTAACCCTCCTTCCAGATATCATTTGATATGCAAAGCTAGACTACGAGAAATTGCAACCAGTAATTAGTGAAGATAACTAAATGAGTGCATTGGCACATACCATCTCAATATACTTCAGTTGCTTCAAAACTTGATCTGTTTCCAGCTCCTGATGTAATAAACACAGCAACAAGTTCGATTAGAGTAAAAATACTGTCTAACTAGTAACAGTTATGTCAGACTAAATTTGAATTTTATATTAAAAGAAATTCAAACTTTCTTGTGGGTTTCTATCCTTTTTATTACTGACTAAAACTGCAGATACTTTCTATAATGACTTAAAATAAAAAAAAAAAAACTGGCATTTCTACAATACAATAGCAGAGACAATAGAAAGAAAATCCTGTAAGAAGAGGGTAGGACAGAAGTGGTTGCTGACAATATGTTATAAAACCTTAAATTGGGGACTTCTTGTTCTTCAGGTAAAACTACCACTTACATGATGACACTGTAGGTTCTGTTTTGGACAAATCAATGAATATAACCAAGATTCTTTCTGCTTCTAAAGATGGCATGGATTTGTTAAGTTTGAGTTTGTAATTGACATCCATGTAATAAATAGATACTTGTATTAAGTTAGCTACAAATTGATGACACATCAAACATGATCCGCCTTTAAGTTTGAGCTTCCAAATGAAACTTATTGACATGAATCCCAAACTAGTTTTTCTGTTTCGAAGGAACCAATTAAAATTCTAAAATGATTACTGCTCCATGAAAACATTCCCCATTAATGCAAAATCCCAAATTCTAAGTTGATTAATTCAAAAACCCAAGTCAGGTACCATAACCTGAAGGTTGCAATCAAAAAACAATGGCATAGGATAGAATAAAGTTGCTAAAAGGGTTATCACCTGTGGTACAGAACAATCAGCATGGATGGATGCCATTGGACAGAGCAGAAGCACTCCCAATCATCAGTTTGGACTTCAAAAAGAGGAGCCCTATAAAAGCAAGAACTTAAAAATTAAGCATCTAGCATGAGCAATACCAAAGCCAAAACAACACCAAAAAAGAAACTTAATTTATGTGCATGTTAAGTTAGTTACTAGTAATGGAGTATTAAAGCTCAAAAGCTCATGTAAGTAAGGCTTAGTACTTAGTCTAAACTGAATTCATCCAGCTCTTGAAAACAATGTAATCATTTTTGTCCTCAATTGTCATTATCTACAATATCTTAGGTGTATAGCACGACCAAATAACAGCTATATGAAATGTGCTACCCTGAACTTCCATCTCCTAAATTTTCAGTTTTTACTGTGAGAAACAGTATTATTAAGTAACCATTATGCATAAAATGATGAAAAGGAGGGTGATGTTGAAATCCTAACAAATCTCACTATATCTCTCTCCCTATATACACAGATTTGATTAGAGATTTGATTCCAAAGATCTCTGAGTCATATCCCTTAATCATATCAGTAAAGAATATATATTTGTACCTAGTAGTATCAGAAATATACAATAATATAAATTCTTATTCCTCCACATGGTATCAGAGTTGCCCCTTGGGATTCTTCACCATTACTGTTTTTGACCAGTTGCAATTTCTTACCATTTGGTTCCTGGATTGTTATTTTTCTAATTGATTGTGCCTTAATTGCCTATCACTTTACTGTTGTCTTTGACGCAGCCACTTCCCTTCTTTTCCTGCCTTAATTGTTATCATCTGTCTCCCCTTTTTCCAGTCTTAATTGCTGTCATCCTCTCTTGTCTCCTTTTTAAGCCTTAATAGTTGCTGTACATATTTCCAGTAGTGTTTTAATTGCCAACTGGTTTTCTTTTTGGCCTCAATTGCCTACAACTATTCCTAGGAGAATATGTCAGAATCGTCAGAAGCAGTTTATGGCAGTAAGGGTTCAGGGTCCTCACCATTTGACCTTCCTTCAAGTGGACCAAGCAATGAGCTGAAGAACATGCATCCAACCTACCAGCTGAATGGAAAAACCTACCTTCAATGGTCTCAGGTGGTCAGAACTTACCTAAAAGGAAAAAAGAAGTTAAGCCATTTGAATGGAACAGGACCAGATGTTAATGATCCACGATTTATGGCATGGGATGAAGAAGACTATGATCATGTCATGGCTATGGAGTACCATGCAGCCTGAAATCAGTAGAAATTGTATGCTCCTTCCTACAACAAGGATATTTGGGATACAGAGCATTGGTTTATGAGTTAAAGACCAAGATTTCTGCCTTAAAACAAGGTAAACTTTCTGTTAAATAATGTGAGAAAACACTCATTTACAGCTGGTTGTAATCTTGTAATATGTATATTTATTTTTGTATCTCTAGAATTAAGTATTTGTATCCCTAGAATTAAAGACAAAAAAATTAGGATAGACAATCTCTCAATTATAGGATCAGTTTTAAGAAGATTTAGTTTCTTAGTTTACCCACTAGTTAGTTGGATATAAACTTAGTGTGTTTGTATAATTCTTTATGAGCGGTTTTTCAATATAAATTCAATTTTACTCTTACTTTTTCACACAATTTTATTTCTTAGTTTTTCCACAAATACTATTATGACACAATGAAATGCTTGTGGTTGGAATTAAATCATTATCAAAGATCGTAAAATGAAGTGCAGTGAAGACACCCATATAGTGTTGAACTCTGTAGAGAAAAATGGAGTGTTTGAATTTCTTGCTGGCCTCAATACTGAATTTGATCAAGTGAGGATGCAGATAATTGGGAAGGAAAAATTGCCACCATTAAATGAAGTTTTTCTCTTTAGTTCAATATGAGGAAGTCGTAGGACTGTTATGTTGGAGCCACAACAGCCCGAAGGGTCAGCAATGGTCTAAAGGCTGGCTGAAAGTAGTGGAATGTTCAGTTCCATTAACCAAGGGGACAAAAAGCCAGAAGTTATGAAAAGGATTGCTTATGGTGTAGCTATTGCAAGAAGCCATGCCGTACAAAAGAGAATTCCTTTAAACTTCACGTGAAGACTCAAGTGCTGGCCAAGAATGTTGGATTTAAAGGACAGCAGAGTTGGGTGAATCTTACTAGCAATGAGAAGGCTCAGCCACAAGAGAAAATTACCCTAAGAGGAGAAGATCCCTGCAAACTAAATAAAGAGGAAATTGTAAAGCTAAAGTACTTCCACCAATCCCTCTCTAAGCCATCCTCTACGTGCTCTTTTACTCAATCGGGTAAGTGCCTAATTTCTGAAACTTTTATTGTCTCGGACAACTGATCATATGACACCAAACTCTATTGTTTTTTAGACTTATAAGCCTTGTTTAGGAAATAGAAAGATCACAGTTGCAGACGATTTTCCCATTACAATTGCTGGCCAAGGAAATATTAGTCTCACTCCCACTATTCCTCTTTAAAATGTCTTTTATGTTCCTAAACTATCAAATAACCTACTTTCTATTCATCAACTCACAAAGTCTTTAAACTCTAGCCAACTGTTCTTGACACTTACTGTATTTTTCAAGATCAGACTTTGAGAAGATGATTGATCTTGCTGTATTTTTCAAGATCAGACTTCGAGAAGATGATTGATCTTGCTATGGAAAGGAATGGGTTTTACTATCTTGATGCAGAAACTCCTAGTTCATCACGTGTCTTAAATTTGGCTTCAACATTTTAGATTTGGACATCCTCCATTTCAAATATTGAAATCTATGTTTCCTAAAACTTTTAGGAATGTTTCTATTGAGAACTTTCATTGTAATGTGTGTAAACTTTCAAAACACCATTGAGTGTCTTTTCCACCAATCAATAAAAGATCAGTCCTACCTTTTTCCCTAATCCATAGTGATGTGTGGGGGCCCTCCAAAATTTCAAATCTATCTGGAGCTAGATGGTTTGTGTCGTTTATTGATAATTGCACCCAATTGACATGGATCTACCTCTTGAGGGAGAAATCTAAAGTGGTAGAATCTTTCCAAATTTCCATCAAATGATAAAACTCAATTTGGGGTTTCTATAAAAACATTTTATTGGGACAATGCTCGAGATTATTTCAACGAAACCTTGATAACCTTTTTTAAGCAGGTTGGCATTATTCATGAATCTTCTTGTGTTGACACTCCCCAACAAAATGGGGTTGCAGAAAGAAAAAACAGTCACCTTCTAAATGTGACACGGGCACTTGTGTTTCAGTCTCATGTTCCTAAACATTTTTGGGGAGAAGCTCTCTTAACTGCTGCCTACTTAATTAATCAAGTTACACTCCAAACCTTAGGACACGAGTCCAGCTCAAATTCTGTTGGAAACCTATCCAAATGAGCCTGTCTCTCATTCTTTACCTCCAAAAATCTTCGGATGTGTATTCTATTTTCAAATTCATAAAAACAATTTGGACAAACTTGATCCTCGAGCCCTAAAGTGTGTCTTTATCTGGTATTCCAGTACACAAAAGGGTACAAATGCTTCCATCCTTTCAGTAAAAAATTCTGTCACCATGGATGCTAACTTCCATAAGCGAGTCTTACTTCCAAAACTGCTCTCAGTCAGATCTTTTGGGGGAGAATTTTAGTAAAGACAAGGACCTAGATCTAGACTTGAACTTTCTAACTTTCCTTGTCTTTCCTAATCTGATTTTATCCCTGAGAAACCAAATTTCATGCCTCAACCCCGAAGAGTCATTGAATTCTATAGGTAACTCAGAGTCTTTTCCTGTTGATGACTCAAATGAACCTAGTGCCACTCAACAACCACATTCAAATCTGAGAGAACTACTAATGTACTCAAGAAGAAATAAGCCTAGAACTGATCCACGGTGTGATCAGGAAGCCAACACAAATTCAGGTATTGTTTCTATTCCCTCTCTTGAAGAAAAGTCTTTTAACTTTCCTATCAAAGAACCTATGCCAGATGATCTAGATATTCCAATAGCTTTGAGGAAAGGACTAGTACTAAAAATCCCATATACCCAATTTCAGACTTTGTTTCTTGTCATAGAATATCGCCCCAACACCAGAGTTTTCTTCCTACCCTAGATGCCATAGAAATTCCCAAATCTGTCCAAGAGAAATTAAGATACAAGAAATGGGTGCAACCTATGAGAGAGGAGATGAGTGCTCTTAAGAAAAATAAGACTTGGGAAATTGTTGATCGACCTAGAGTTAAGAGACCAATTGGGTGCAAGTGGGTGTTTAGCGTGAAATATAAAGCTATCGGTACTCTTGAGAGGAACAAGGCAAGACTGGTAGCAAAGGGCTATACTGAAACCTATGGTATAGATTATGAAAAAACTTTTGCTCCAATAGCAAAAATTAACACAGCCAGAATTTTGATATCTCTTGCTGCTATGTTTAATTGGCCTTTGAATTACTTTGATTTAAAGAATGTTTTCTACACAGGGATCTAGAAGAAGAAGTTTTTATGGAACCACCACCTGGTTTTGATGAGAATTTCCGGGATAATAAAATTTGTAGATTAAAGAAGGCGCTGTATTACTTAAAGCAATCTCCTAGGGCCTGGTTTGGGAGATTTGTAAAGGCTATGACTCACGTGGGATAAAGGCAGAGTCAAGGGGATCACACCCTATTCATAAAACAAGGAAATATGGGAAAAATTACAGACTTACTGGTGTATGTTGATGATATCATAGTCACCAGGAATGATACTATAGAACAAGATTTGTTGCAAAGGTACCTTTCACAGGAATTTGAAATAAAAGAACTTGGGAGGCTAAAATACTTCTTGGGAATAGAAGTTGCTTGTTCTAAAGATGGAATATTTCTATCTCAAAGAAAGTATGTTCTTGACCTTCTTAAACATACTAGAAAGCTCAGTAAAGTTGCAAGTACACCCATTGATCAGAATCACAGAATCGGTGCCAATAAGAGAGGAGATGATGTCAATAAAGGAGGGTACCAGGGACTTGTTGGAGATTAATTTATCTCTTCCATAGAAGACCAGACATAGCTTATGCAATGAGTATAATAAGTCAGTTTACGCACAATCCCAAGTTGGAACATCTTCAAACATAGAATTCTCAACTACCTTAAAGCTAATCTAGGTCGAGGGATTATATTTAGAAAAGGAAGTAATCAAATTCAGTCTTGAGGCTTCCACAGATGCAGACTATGCTAGTTTTGTTGTCGATAAAAGGTCAACCTCAGGATATTTTTGTTTTTTAGGAGGAAATTTAGGCTCCATTTGTTTAGCGGAAAATGATTTCCACATTTTCAAATATTTGCTTGAAAGAAAACTGATTGACCAATGGAAAATGACTTACTGATCAATAGAAAATAAGGTCATTTTTCTAAAAATTGTCTCATGAATTTGAAAAAGAGAAGACATTTTCCGAAAAAGAATTATCTATAAGTAAAACTATTTATCAATGCTTTTAAGTATAATTTTACTTATAAATAATATTATAATATATTAATAAATAATATACTATTAATATAATATATTAATAAATAATATAAAGAATAATAAATAGTTTTATTTTAAGTATTTTTTATATTAACATAATATTTTAATATTAAATATTATTATTAAAATATAATTAGTTTTTAATATTAATAATTTTAATAATAAATAATTTCAATATACTTTAATACTAAATAATTTTTAATATTTTAATAGTTACATTAATATTATTTGAAAAAAAAAAGATTTTTAGAAAACAACCAAATAATGAAAAACATTTTTCATTAACTCATCCAAACAACAAAAAATCTCTTTCAATTCAAAAAATATAAACATTTTTCAGAAATCATTTTTCAGAAGTCATTTTTCACAAAACAAACAGGGCATTAGTGTCTTGGTGGAGTAAAAAGCAAAATGTTGTTGCATGGTCCAGTGTTTAGGCAGGATTTAGAGCTATGGCACAAGGTGTATGTGAACTTTTATGCGTAAACATCATATCTTTAATGATTTTTGAATAATGAGACAGGGTTCTATGAGGCTGTATTGTGAAACAAGTCAAAAATCAGCATTGCTTATAACCTAGTTCAGCATGACAAGACTAAACACATGTTCTTACCGTAGGGCTTCCTATGGCGAGATTTCAGGAGGTCATTAGCAAGCTGGGAATGCAAGACATCTATGCACCAACTTGAGGGGTAGTGTTGGAAATCCCATTAAGTCTTGCTATATCTCTATCCTTATTTTCTTAAATCTCTCTCCTTATTTTTCTCTCTTATCATTATTGGTTTTACTTGTATATAAGGATTTGATTAGAGATTTGATTCTTAAGATCTCTAAGTCATATCCCTGATGATATCACTCAACATTGTATATATTTGTACCTGGCAGTAAAGAAAATATAGAATAACAGAAATTCTTATTCTTTCACAGGTGATATGTGACACGTATCCTGGTTTGAATTCTATTTGAGTTTATTCTTTGTAAGTTTACAATTTATTTTCCGCTTACTACTAGACAAATGACTAAATCCAAATTTATCATATAACATTTTTATTTAAGGATATGATTCCCTAGGTTCAGCATTCAAGCTTTTAGAAATAGTGAATTGATATCATTTGAAGTTTCAACAATAATTCATCTATAGTTCAATCAGAAGTAATGATTACTATTCCCTAGACAAAAATGTCAAGAGTTTTAGCAAATACCAACTTGTGCTAACTTAAATAGCAAGAAGGAATGCAAAATATTGAAGCAGGCAGACTATACCCACGCCACTTTCCTCAGATGGCTCCATTACTGCCTCCTACACCTTCGATGAACTCTCTACATTGAAGCCAGTTCCCTATTGAGCTTAATTTAGATGACTTGTTGCAATTCAGTTCCCATAAAGAAAGATGTATCAATTCTCCCCAAACCAAATGGTCACTTATCTGCAAAATGAAAATGCTAACAAACACAAAAATTTGAAGCCTTACATAGAAATCAGTAAATTCTGAAGGATCCCATTCCAATGGTTCACCAATCATATCAACATCACTGCATCATAGAACAAGAAACTAATTTATCAACAACAAGACTGTAGATCAAGAAGGCATAAAATAGCACATAATTTTTTTCCATCTTTTACCTTTTCTAATGTGAAACAAAGTAAATTCATTGCAATTTATGCCTTAGGTGAAAGAAAATTGTATCCAAATAAGAAAGAAAGTTTACAGCATAGAGAAACAAAATTGAACAATAAACCAAACATCATTACTAACCAATCACTTAACTAACATGTAACTAAATTTTACTTTGTATGGGCAACCAATTGATAAATCATAATGTGCATAGTAGAAAACGGGAAAGTGAAAAGAGGGGAAAAAGTTTCATTAATTAAACTAGCATTCACAATAATAACCCCCACCCCAAACCTTGGTTCAGTGCTTTAAGTTATCCAACCTGGAAATTTTCATACGATGGATCAGAGATTAATTAAACAAACTTATTTTAAGGCAACATACAAGGCCAAGATATAAAGATGAATTATAAACAAGGCCAATAACATGACAAGACCCAGCAATAACAAATGTTGTTTAACCCAAGATTTTGTTCCAAAAATTAATTCTTTGCCCAACAGAAGTGCTCATTATTTGGCACAGAAAGGTAACTAGATTTCCCAATCGGAAAAATATCAGACTACTTCAAGGTTATTTAAACAATGATGAAAGATCTAATTCAGTTAAAACATTCAACTTAAACCAATCAGTAGCATAACCAGAATATATGAGAAGAATGAGCCTCAACCAAACTGGATGTAAAAATATGCCTAGCCTGTGAGTACAACACCTGGGGCACAAACAACTAAGACTCAACGACTAAATTAAAGCATCCAACCAATAGACAATTGCAAAGAGTTGGAAAAGCCCAACCAAAATATAGAGCCACAACCAACCCCAACCCCACCCCCACCCCCCACCCCCAAAAAAAAGGATGTCACATGTAAAAATACCGAATAAATTCCAACCCATTCACACCAAAACCACATCTTCTTTCTTCTTTGGTTTCTTTTTCAGGATAATCTATTGAAACATCAATGGGTATAGCTCAATAAATCTAGTTTATAATGATGCTTTGTCAAAACCTCAACACTGCTTCTTTCATACACAACTGTTCCAGCTGACTATATCTTACTCCAAAGCATTCGCTCACCTTGAAATTGCGACTTGCAAACTTAGTTCCATACACATATCCTGCCATTAAGATGTCCCCTTTGGACTAAACTTCATGGCATTTCCTGTCCATCCAATGATCTTTATCCTGGCACCCATTCCATATTAAAAGGTTTCGGATTTGATAATTGGCAGTAATGTGAAATACTTTCTTCAAAAAGAGAAAAATCAACAGAGCGTCATACCCAAAAAGACAACAGTTTCCCTTTTAGAAGCTGAAAATTATCACTTTTATTTCACCTACTAATTATGAAGTTGTGCAGGTTCCAAAACAAAATGATAGCGAAGCAGACCTCATCCAATCAGAATATACTTTTAAATCACTAAAAGCCCTTCAGAAAGGCCAAGCATGCCAATGTGCTCAGCCTTGGCAAGAAATTATAAAACATCTTAGCTATTGAAGGGAAACACGAAGACTAGTCTACCCTATATTTTTGGGAACACTGTATCAGTTCCTAGCTATATTTCATAAATTGGATATCTAGGATCTGACTGATTTTCTTCAGCAAGAAAAAGGCTTCGACATGATCACAGAAAAATACTTGTAATTTTTTGCATGATAAAAAGTGGTAATCCTTTTGCCATTGTTGCACAAAAATCTTTGCAACCATTCTGCAATTAGACTGGCAGCACTACAAGCCATCAAACAAAGCTTGAAAGCTTATTAGTCTAATAGAAAGAAACGCTAACAGTTGGCACTGGGTTTCTTCAAGGCCATTGCGATTAGCCTGCTACCAAAGTCAAATTTCTACATTTTTTTCCTCTAGAATTTATGTAGCCTCCCTCTATTTCATGTCCCTTGTCTTGGTCAAGACAGAACCTATCCCTAGGGTCTTTCTTACAAAAAGATAACTGTTTATAATAAATAAAACCTATTAGCATACTCTCCTTTGAGCTTCTCATATATAAAAGCATCAAACAATTTTGACTGCCTTGTTTCAGACAGATTTTCATCAGTCACAAAAGGGAGCCTCATTAAAATAACTTGGGAACATAAGAACATAATTGAAACCCCAAATGCAAAGGAGCATCATTCATATCGATGTTTCGTTATGCACAAAATTAGAGAACCTCTAAACTTATGCATTCCATATACACAATTAATTTAATAAACAGTTCATGGAACATACTCATCAATCAGACCGGATCAGTCAGGAACTTCTGCTTGAATACCCCTTCCAATTCAAATGCTTGTTCTAAAAGGCTCAGCATCTCTCAACATTAATTCTATTGGACTGAACTCCCCTTTAGATGATACATCTCTACATCTGCCCATTCCACCAGTGACATGATTGCACTAAAATTTTAGTATTTTCATGCTCATTTTTAGTGCAATTCTCCTTATATTTTAGCTTGTTCCTTAGGATTTTTGGCAAATTACTCCTAAATTCACATTTATCTCATGTGTAGGTACAAATATTGGAATTGAGGAATTTTTTACATTTTTTATACAAATTTAGAGGATTTTTTGCACAATTTATATAAATGACCTAAACTAGTGTCAATAGATCACATTGACACTTGGGGAGTTTTCTTGATTTTTCTTGAATAATTTGTTAGCATTATTTTCATAGGTTTTTTTTAGTGAATTATAGTATAAAAATGTTCATAAAGTGTTTTTTGCAAAAAAAAAAAAAAATGAAAGATGCAAGATACTTGGACGTGGTGCATAGACATGTGCAAGGGAATTGAGTTGAGCACCAAAATTGCAAGGTTTAAGAACACCAAGGCTAGAAGCTGATGTGGCATGTTAAGGAGCTGTGATTGGCTATTATGACTTTGTGAAGCAGCCATTACACATGAAAGCAAGTAGCAAACCTGTTGAGGAAACAACCAAGCAGTAGGAGCGACACCAATGTGCACCCAACCATGTGCACCAGAAGAAGAAGGCTTTAGGAGCCTAGCTGCTGGAAGATTTTTCTGGAATTTTTTTAGACCTTAAGCTCCTCCCCTCTCCCTTTAAGAGAGTTTAGGATTTAAATTTTTTTTTACTCTATTTTCCTGCACTTTCCTTTCTGCACTTTATATTTTCTTAGCTTCCAAACACTTTATTTCTAGCATTTTCGCTTTGATTTTCATTGCAATTTTATTGTTTCTTAAATCTTTTTCAGTGCTCTTTCAGAATCTTTCAACAAAATTTCCATTTGAATTCATTTTCTAGCTCAAATCTACTGAGTTCTCATTGATATGCAAAACTATTTTTCAATATGTCTGCTTTGACCTACCTACGATTTTTGGATCATATCTCCATCACATCTTGCTTGTTTTTGTTCAATTTTTTTAACACAGTTTCCTAATTCATTTAGCTACAACATAGTAAAAATTCAGCTTCAAACTCGTACCACAACGTTCCAGATTAAACTTGGAAGTTTTGGCTGGATGTAAGTAACACTGCAGTTTCAGTTTTGAGCAATCAGTTTGGAGTAGACTCCTCTCCACTTTGATAATTTGTTTGCATTCTTTTCTTCTTTAGATCTTAGTTTATACTTGTTACCTTGCTTACTTTAATTTTGTGCAATTTATTTCATGCTTTTCATTGCTGTTTGGTTAATTTTCTTTGATGAGGTTCTGTTTTTTCAGATTTTGCACTGTTTTTGAATTTGAGTTCATTGAGCTGATTTCTTTGTTGATCCATTTATTTTCTTGTTAATTTAGGTAGTTAACTTATAGATTTAGGTTGCTTTAGCTCAATTTTAGTTTATTCTCTCTAGAGAATTGTAAATCTAATTTTTTTCTATGAATTGTTAGTTTTCAGCTTTCCAATGCAATTTCTGTTTTCATATTTTTTAGCTTAAATCTTGCATTTATTCATTAGTACGGATACAAGCTGTAAATTGGAAGAACAATCAATGAACATAATGAGATTTCAAGTTGAAGACTTAAAAACTAATAAATAAATGCAAGATCTAAGCTAAAAAACATGAAAACAAAAATTGCATTTGAAAGCTGGAAAGTAACAATTCAACAACAACAACAACACACTAAGCTTTGTATCCCATACTTTGGGGTTGGCTGTATGAAAAACCAAATAAGAGAATCAAGTTAGGTTGTATTTTGAATCTTTTTGTGTCACTCATTTCTATTAACAATCACCTTTTCATTTAATTCCTTAACCATCATATCATTTTTTATTACTTGCATTCATACCTTTCGTTGTCTAGCTCTAGATGTTTTGATCTCTCCTAGATCTAGACACTCAATTCTCCTAACCGATGCACAACTAAGCCTACGTTTCACATGTCCAAACCATCGCAAATGGCCCTTTCTCATCTTCTCTTCAATTCGGACTACCCCTAATTTTTCTCGAATATCTTCATTTTTTATTTTATCTCTTCTAGTCTTACCACAAATCCATTTAAGCATCCTCCTCTCCGCTACATTCATTTTCTTCTCATGTTGTTTCTTAACAGCCCAACAATCAATTTCATATAATAATGCAAACCTTATGGTTGTTTTATACAACTTCACTTTAACTTTAAAGGCATGTTGCAATCACACATCACAACCAATACACTTCATCGCCTTGCCCATCCTGCTTGAATCTTATATTTGACATCTGCTTCTATCTTAGTATCACTCTAAATGATTGATCCCAAATATCAAAACTAGCTACTCTTTGGTACTCCCTCATTATCCAACTTAATCACACTAGTACCCACTTCCTTATGACCACAAAACTTGCATTTCATATATTCAATTTTAGATCTACTCAATTTAAAACCTCAAGACTCCAATGTACTCCTCTGTAATTATAGTTTCATGTTATGTGCATCACAAGTTTCAGCAACTAAAACTATATCGTCAGCAAATAACATATACCACGGCACTTTATCTTGGATACATGCAGTGAACTCGTCCATAACTAATGCAAAAAGGAAAAGACTTAGTGCTAAACTTTGATGTAATCTTGAGATAATAGGGAAGCTATTTGTCATGCTCCTGACCGTCCTCACATTCATTACCACTCCTTCATATATATCTTTAACTAAGTTGATGTCCTTTAAAGGGACTCCTTTCTTCATTAAGGCCCACAAAAGCACCTCTCGAGGAACTCTATAGTATGCTTTTTCCAAGTTAATAAATGCCATTTATAGATCTTTCTTTCTATCCTGAAAACCCTCAAATAAAAGTCTCAAAAGGTGGATCGCCTCTATTGTAGAGAGTCCTAACATAAACCCAAATTGGTTTTCAGAAATAATAACCTTACATCACAACCTACATTCAATTACTCGCTCTCAAAGTTTCATAGTATGACTCATAAGTTTTATTCCTCAATAATTTGAATAATCTTGTACATCAACTTTATTCTTGTATAGAAGTGTAAATGATATATTAGTACTCGTAAGCTACTAAGATTCTATTCAAATAAATCTCGAATTCAACTCAATTATTATCGAGTCAAGCTCGAGCTCGAGTAGTTTGACTTATCGATCAAGCCGAGTTTGAGCATTTTTATACTCAGCTCGAGTAGCTCACAAGCCTAATAGAGCTTTTATATTTTAATATGTTTTTTATTATTTTATTTAATAAAATATCTTGAACTCGATCTCAAGCACAAATAATTGAATTTTTGTCGAATATTAAAATTAAGCTTATTTTTACATGTTAATTGAGTCTAATCGAGCGAGCTCAAGTAGCTCGATTTCTATCTTGAGTTGAGTTCGAACTAAAAAAATAAAACTCGATTAAGTTTAAGTTGAGTTTTAAGCCTCAAATTTGGAGTCAAGCTCGAGCTCAAACTCGAGCTTAATACTATATCAGCTCAAACTCGATCGATTACACCCTTATTCTTGTATAAAGGCACAAGAGTGCTCTTCCTCCATTCTTTTGACACCTTTTGGATACCTCAAATTTTGTTGAAAAGATCCGTCAACCATTTTATCCCTATTTCACCCAAATATTTCCAGACTTCAATCGGGTGGTAGTTAATAATCCATAGAAGAAAAATTAGATCTACAATTCTCTAGAGAAAATAAACTAAAACTGAGCTAAAACAACCTAGATCTATGAATTAACTATCAAAATCAACAAGAAAATAACATGAATCAACAAAGAAATCAGCTCAATGAACACAAATTAAAAAATAGTGCAAAATTTGGAAAAACAAAACTTCATCAGAAAATTAACCAAACAACAATGACAAGTATGAAATAAATTGCATAAAATTAAACTAAGATAACAAGTAGAAACAAAGATATAAAGAAGAAAAGAATGCAAACAAATCGCCAAAGTGAAGAGAAATTCACGCCAACTAGTTGCTCAAAACTGGAACTGCATTATCACTTACATCTAGCCGGAACTTCCAAGCTTGATCTGAAATGCTACAGTGCGAATTTGAAGCTGAATTTTTACTATGTTGTAGCTAAATAAATTAGGAAACTATGTAAAAAATTGAATAAAAAAAAAAGCAAGATTTGACAGATATATGATCTAAAAACCGCAAGTAAGTCAAAGTAGACAAATTCAAAAACAATTTGGAATATCAATGAGAAATCAATAGATTTGAGCTAAAAAATGAATTCAAATGGAAATTTTATTGAAAGATTCTGAAAGAGCACTGAAAAACACTTATGGATATTAAAATTGCAATGAAAATCAAAGGGAAAATGATAGAAATAAAGTGTTTGGAAGCTAAGAAAATGTAAAGTGCAGAAATGTAGCCAAGAAAATATAAAGTGTAGAAAAGTAAAGGAAAAAAAATTTTAAATCCTAAACTAACTCTCTTTTATGACTTGCCCTCTCCCCTGCAAAGGGGAGGAGCTTAAGGTCTAAAAAACTTCTAGAAAAATCTCCCGACATGACACTTGAAGAATTTCTTGCAGTTGTCTCCATAAGCATTATTCGCTTCTTTTTCATACGCGAAATAGAATAGCACTCACCAACAAGTAGTTTCTTTACCTTGGGATTGCAACAACGTACATGAAATGTTTTTTCACAATTATCACAAATTAGCATCTTTTGTTCAGTTTTTGAACAACCACAAATTTTGCATAACCTAGAACAACTACGACCACCATTGGTCCCAGTTTCCTGATTAACAGGAGTCTTAGAAGGCCAAACTTCCTCAACATTACCCTACTTCTAAAGTATAAGGAGGCACATGTCTTTCTTAGATAGATCTTCCCTCACAATTTCAGCAGCTATTACACTAGAGGAGGAGCACTCACCATTTTCATCCATCTCACCTTTCGTAGAAGCTAATGCAAGTTCCATATTTGACTTCGGTGACGAGCAACCACCATTTATACTGTCAACATCTATAGTTTTCTGCAACAGTTTTATGTACATCATAAGAACTGTGGCCGTACGCACCTGAATATCCATTAGTAACTTCATCCCTTAAAATGTTAGGCTCTCTACTGCATACAAGCGGTGTCACAGGATCTCCAACAGTAACATTTTCATTTTCAACTAGAGAAACTACATTTCACTCCATGACTGCCACTGAAAGAAGAGCAGAACTGACAATAGAAAGGCAATCCACACCTCTCTTTGAATTCCAAGGGGCCTCAGCACAAAAGTTGGCCACAACAGCGCCAGCACTGCTACTGCTGCCTCGTCTATTCTTCCTCCTACTGTAAACAAAAGTAGGCACAGGACTTTCAGACATAACACTCACAGATGACTGTTGAGAACCAGTTCTTGGTAAGGGAAGGCATGAATACTCAGCCTCTTTACATCCACTCTGGGAAGGGTCATCACATTTTGGAGACATCTACTAATTTTCATTACCAGGCATCCAATCACACAGACTCTTGTATCCTGTGTTCAGATGCATAAAATAGCCATCTTGAATTGAAATAGAAATTGAAGTCTCTATCAGTATTTCACCTGATATAATTCAATAAAAAAAAAATGGGTCTTTTCCCTAACACAACTAAATTACTTCCAGTGATAAAAATGAACTCTTTCTTTCTCCAATTCCAAACTTGGGTTTAAGTGCATCAACCTTCCTGGCCATCAAATATTTGGTCTATTCAATTTCCAACAATATTTTTGAACAAACTATTTAATACAAACAATTCGCAGAAAATATATATCATGAGAATTTGACATACCCTTTTGCAAGAAAAAGAAATAAATCATAAAAGTTATCTTCTTCCTTCTCCAAAGAATTACAAAAAGGGATATTGGGCTTTGCACTTTTTACCAAGAAACAAAAACCTGGCACAAATGTTGCAAATAGAAGGTTGAGGCAGAAGCTGAAGACGGCAGAGGGCAGAGGCCAGAGAGGCAAGGGCTTCTGATTTTCTGGGTGCCTTGGTGAACCGGTGATCAGTGGAAGCTGCGCTCAGGGGCGGCTTTTGTACTCAGTACAAGACGTTTTTGGGGTTTGAATTTTAAATTTTGCACTTAATTTTCTTTAGATGCGTAAATTTTTGTAGGTCTTTTAATGTTGGTCAAATTCTTTCTCGGTTAATTTTACTTAATTAATCCTTTTTCATTTAAGTCTTAAAATAAAAAATTATGAATTTATTGGTTCATAAAATGATGAGACGACATCATATAAATTTAAATTTTAAATTTTTACATCTATAATTATTTTATTTTATTTTTAAGTCGAAAGGAGACAATTTTTGAATCTAATGGCTTAATATCTCACATTCAAGTTCAAATTCCAAATCCTTCTTAGGAAACCAGGGCATAAAGATAAAACAACATGCCAACAATAAGCAAATATTATGGTCAGAACCCGAGGAACGGCTGGTTAAAGTCAGCCGTGATGGTGCATTTTCTCCCCAAACTCAAATGACGCTGACATTGGTGGGGTGATCAGGAACAATAACGAGTTTACGGCTGAGGCTCTGGCTATGAAAGGTATTCGAGTGGCAAAACAGCAAAAGATCAAAAAAGTGGTCTTGAAAAGTTTGATGACTTCGAGTTAGCTTTGTGAGAAGAACATCCAATTTGCCTGCTGACTGAGTTGCAAGCCAATCCAAAGAGAAAATGTGCTCGTCTAATAGGGTCTTGTTAGCTCATTGTTCATGTTAAACATAGATGGTTTGTCATAGTACCAACTTCAAGGAGCGATTATTGATCACGTGATAAGTGATATCAAAGTCAATTTTTGACTTCTTCAACTCCATCTAACAAGAATAGATAGAGTAATTAATCTAACCACTTAACAAGATGTCAAAATAAAGCATGATGAAAAAGTTTGACCATGCCAAACATTCCAAAAGAAAGCAAGCAAGATGATAATCATAATGAAAACGTCACGAGACTGGTTGAAAAAGAATGTTACACTAAGTGCTCAAAATGAATAAGCAGGATACATCAATCCCCCGTTGGATAAGAAATATAAGAGATAACATTGCATATCCTAATAAATTGATTTTGCAGGAAAAGAATAATAGCCACATGACGAGCTACTTGTAATTAATCAAAAACTGTACATTAGTATTTATTCATCTGTTAAATGTGTTGCTTTTACAGCCAACTAAAATCAAGGCCAGAATAGAAAGAAGATTGTCATTGGTTTTTATGAGCTTCAAGAAACAAGCAATTTTATGGAATCTGTTTCAATCAAAGAAGCTGTTTCTGGCTTTAATTATAGTATCCAGGCTTCATGCCATCGTAAGCCATCCACTGTAAAACAAGAAAGGATTTAGCAATTTCAAGGCCATGAAAGCTAAAAACATGTTATCTTTTTCTCTTGTGGTAAATAAATGTAAAATTAAAAAATTTATTTGAAGCAAGGCTATGTCATGCATTCCTGCATCATATCAAGGATTCAGCACTAGTACTCCATAATGTCAAAAAAGCAATGTTTTATCATTCATCTAGTGAGTTTACAGGCAAATGTGGTATGAACAAATACAAAATCAACATTCATGGCATGTTGAAGAATATAAGGAACAGAAATTTGAACCTTTCAAGTTCCATCAGGCCTTTCAAAGCATTTGAGCTTACTTATCAGTTCGTCATAAGTGACGAACAAGGTTTGATGGAACACAAGCAAATGTAGAAGAACAGCAAGGAAGAAACTTATGCCCTATTTACAATGCCTGCAATCTCAGAAATCTCTTAATCCAGTAACTCAGATGGATCACAACTCATTCAGTAAGACTCAATGATTGGAGGGATCCAGGGAGTACATTTGCCATTTAAACCGAGCATGACTTAGCAGGACGGGACAAGCAAGAGCTAAAGTAAAATCCAAAAGTTCATAATATCAGGAATCTTAGATAAAATGCATAAGGATTAACACCGTCTAGATACAGTTCAAATTAACACCATCTAGATACAGTTCAACTCAAGTAGTTCCGGTGACCAAGATTACAAGTTTTTAGTCATTGACCTTAAGAATGTAGCATCAACATTATAACTCTAAAAAAATGATGTGAAACTACTCTTTGCATCTTCGTTGTTGAAAGTTTAATTTTCAAACTTATCCTGAAAAGCTTACCCTCATTGAATTCTAAGATTCAAAAGTAAAGTGTAATGGCATGCCATATGGATAGGTTAAGGTCAATAAAGCAGACCTGCACAATTTTGTGGGAGACTCAGCTTACTAATAAAAAGAATGGCACACACTTATAAACTGGTCAACAATTAAAATAGATTTATACCATGTTAGGATGTAAGAAAAGGTCCAGCCATGGACCAACTTAAGCAGGAGGTTTACAAGTGGTGATTATAGGCAATCAAGGGGGGGATTTTAAAGAAAGTATAAAACTTTACTCAATAGCGGGTTGACCTGCAAAAAATAAATCTATAATAAAGAAAAAAACAATAAAAACAAAACTGAACACAAAAATATGGAGCAGTATTTCGGGTAAAAGTTTAAGAACACGACCATTTGACATTATATTAGTAACTTTGAATTCTTAAGAAAGTCATAAGTCATAACATTTTGTTTGCAATGCAAAAACACCAGTTCAGCACAAGTTGCACTCATCAAAACCAGAAGGTAGACAAAAGAAGATCCAGAATTCATGTAGCAACAGAATCAAGTTCAAGATTTTCAACATTTTTATGCATTCTAATTTTACAACAGCTATAAATCACGGGTGCCACCTACAGGTTTCCCAACAAATCTCGCTCGTGCAACTTCAGTTTAAGAAATACATTGTATGAAACTGCTACCTTAAAACAAATCTAGAATTTAAAAAAAAAAAAAAAAACAAAAAAGTCTTTTGAGGTTATAGTGAATGTACCCATTAGCAGCAGAATCTGGCATAACAAGCTGAAGGCTACTTTCTCCCATCAGTTGGGGTCATTGCATAAAAGCTGAAGTGCAATTCAATAAAGATACGAACCACTTAAAAAGAACCTTATTACTCTCTTGCTCAGCTTCAACCATAAGAGATAGATGACCATTTAATTGCCACCACCTGCTGCCAAATTGACAATAAAAACAGTTAACATCATCTTAGAGAAGGAGAGGGAGGGAGAGAGAGAAAGAGGGATGTTTGATCTTTCTTCTTCTTTCTTCTTTTTTCTTTTTTTTCTTTTCTCTTTTGCTCGTGGGGAGGATTATGTACGGAGTTTGTGGGCGGGGAAGAGAGTCAAATTTTGCTAAACATTCAGCTTCAAGTAAGAAAAGTATCACAAAATGAAATGGCTTACAGCAAAAACTAGTCACCTTTAAAAAGAACATAATTGCACATAACAGAACAAAAGTACTAGGACAAGTGCAAAAGAACCTGCACTTAAAAGGGGTAAATGAAACTTGATTTGAGCATCTTTTAAAGTCAAGCAACTACTGGAAGAAAAGCAAAACTACAAGTCATCAACCACAAGGCATGAGCCAAAGCAAATAGAGGGATATATGATTGACCAACCTCACTTCTTTTATAGATCTCTATTAACTGCACAGAGTCTCCTTGACCCCACTTTACAGAAGCAATAAAGTTAAAAAGCCTTATCATATAAGCAGCAAAAATTAACAGTAAAATGAAATAAAACATCAGTCAGACTCTCAATAACCATAATCTGAGCTGGCTTCTGGTAGCAACTAGAATGAAAAATCACAGCTCTCAATATGGAAGCAAGGTAGTTTTCTGTCCTCTATCCAATGCCATTCTCATAATTCTTTTCATGACCAAGTCCAAAAATTTTCCCATGCCACATGAGGATCATAGCTCGGTATCACGCAAAAAATTCAAAACATAAACATGATGGCAGAGATTTATTTTTGGAATAATAATAATAAAAAAAAAAAGCTTCTCTGTGAACCCCACAATGTTCTTCTGTAAGGCAGATGGTATCTACCAATTAAATCAAAACCCTTATGGCTGGCTATCTTACAGAACATTTAAAAATGGTAGCGTGCAAAAAAAAAAATTTTTTAAATGTAAATTTTCCTCATAACCGTATCCCAAAAGGTACTCTACCAGTAGTATGCATTAACCTAAATAAGAGTTTGCCCGGTATGTCAATGCTTCTCTTCAAGGTAGAGCCAGCTTCCATTAAATAAAAAGAAGAAAGACACTAACATCCTTCCAAAACAAGGAGTTATCTTTTAAGAGAACTCACATATATTACATATAAAAAACATTGCACGTTTGGGTTAGGGGGAAAGGTAACATGTGTCAAACAAAAAATCATGGCACATCCCCATATTGAATGGTAACGGATGTCCATGGCCCTCAAGAATTTCAAATGATTGATAAATAATTCAGTACATCTCCATGAAAGAACATAGAAAGATAACCTATAAAAGATATGAAGAGTACTCCTAACTAATACAATGATCACAACAGAAAAATAGATATGAAAAACCTAAGATGCGATGACTTTAAGCCAAATTCATTCACCCAATCACCAGTGCCTTTGAGAACCACCTCCCTTGTTCTTTCCAAAGAAGGCGTTCTTGGGTTTTGGTAGCTCATGAATGTCCATCACTTGTATCGTTCTTTGCTTTTTGGCTTCAAAAAGCACACAAAAACCACAGACAGTCACATTTAGTATGACCCCAAAGTGAGGGACTCAAGTTTAAATACATTGTGGAAAAAGAGAAGAAAGCAAACCATTTTCAGCTTCTTTGTAACTTTCTTGAAGCCTTTTCCTTGCAGAAGCCAGCCTTTCAGAGTCAAAATTGCTTTCCTTTTGTTCTCTGTGTTTCTACCAAATCCCCACAAACGCAATTCAACAAATAGACATGACAAAGCTTATACTAAAAATCAACTCAGCCAAACTGAACTCTTTAGGCAATGTTAAAGTGGTTAAATTCTGTTTCTTGGCCTTTTTGCTAAGATAAAGCTATTGGCATAGTAACTTAAACTTCACATTCCTTGAGAATCAAAAGCCTCGGCATTATAGGAATTGTTCAAAATGCTAGTTTCAGAGCCAAAAAGAAATTTTTTGAAAGCATGTGCTTCTAAATTTGGCATCAAACCACCATGTCCATCAACAAAAGAATAATGCAATTAGAGACTGTAATTTGGTATGCACTGATACCTGTACAATTTGTGGTGTAGAGTGAGTAGGCCTAGGAGGAGGATCTTTTCGAGGTGGAGGGATTGGCTTTGGCTTCCTTTCAGGTTCTGAATTATTCTTGTCTGAACCAAAACTCCCATCTGTCAGTTGTCATCCAAAAAAGCATTAAAAAGAAGGCTGACTAATCAAAAGCACAAAAGAAATAAACAAATATCAAATCCAACTTTGAATCAGGATCTGTACTCACTGTGCGGATTAGGAGAGCATGCAAAATCAGGAACCTATAACAGAGCATAATCTTATAAAAAAAAAAGGCAGAATTTTCAAACAACTTTCACATGAAAAAGTAATTTCTTTCACCTGTTGACGACCATTTTGAGGAAGTTTTTGCTGTGGTGAATCTCCATCTACTGCCAGACAATATTTATTGTCATTTTAACTTTAATGACATGTCAATTTTCATTCACCTTTGAAATATTTCCTCACACAAACAAAAATTCTTCATGTTACAGTAGAAATAATAATTTTACCCATAAGTGCAGCAGATTCAAGCTCTCCAGGTTGATTCACCCTTACCCATTCATCTACAATCTCTTTCCATTTCCTGGAGAAACAAAGAACCAAATCATAAACAGACTTTCCTTGAATGGCTCTTTCAAACTTAATAAAAAAATAAAACATAAAACATAACGTTTATACACAGATGTAATTTCCATTAAAACCTGACAAGTTGCTTCACTAATCTCCTAACATCATTTGATGAATGCTTCCTAAATTTGTTCACATGTCTCCCAATATCAGTCTCCTGAAGATAGAATCACAACATCGAAATGGTCATGAATCAACCTAAACTGGAAATTAATCAAAAAAATTTTGTTCCACAAAATTATTACCTTGAGAGCTTGAAATGTTATATCCATATCTGCCAAGCTTTGAAGCAAATCAACCAAAGAATCTTCAGACTGTAAAAACAATCAAAAAACCAAATTCAAAACAAAATCCAAAAATATCAAACCAACAATACAATTGCAAAAAGATTCAAAGACCTGATCAGGTACTTCAAGAAGCTCCTTAATCTCAAGAACCCTTTTTTGCTCATCATCAAGCAAGCCTCCATAAGAGTCCAAATCATCATCTTCATTATCCAATTGAGGTGTAAAAGGTGACCCTTTGCCTACTTCTCCTCCTTTACCTTCATGGAGGCCGTCTTCTTTATTAACTTGATATCCATTTGATCTCTCAACAAAATCACAGCTTTTACATCTAGTAACCATAGAAGTAGCATAAAGCCTCTCCACAATCCCATCTCTCCTTCGCTTCAACTCTTGACCATAATCCAAAGAGGCTACCAGGATTGCCGTATCTATAAAAGTCCACACATCAACATCAGCTGTTTCAAGAACTGCTCTGAAATCATCCAAATCCATTATAACTCAACAAAAAAGCTAATGATTTATTGCAAATTCCAAGGCCTGCTTCCAGGTGTCAAATCAAGATTTGAACTTCAACATAATCAGATCCGATTGAAAACAAAATGACCCAAGACTTGAATTTTGCTAAAATTTTCAGCTGCAAAAAAAATAAAAATCTTTGAAGTCAGAGCTGAAATGGGCTTGGGTTTTTTTTTGTTGGTTTTTGAAGAATGTTAGATGATTTTGAGTTTGTTAATAGAATTGGATTTTTGGGTGGAATATACCAAAATGGACCTTAATATTTTTATGTAATATTTTTTTAAAGAAAATTGTTTGATTTTTGGTTATGATTGAGCTAAGTTTTATTGCTTTTTTTTTTTTGTTACAAATTTTTTCTTCAGGCTTTTTTTGGCTTCTTGTGATTTGGGTGATGAACAGACAGCGAAAAAGGAAACTTTTCTGAAATGAAAAGACAATGATTTTTCTATATTTGGAGGAGACTATCAGAAAAGTGTCTTCTTTCCCGTACAATTGGACAACCGTGTTTAAATAAAAGTAATTACCCATAAGTGATGTAAAACTTTATTCGCCTTCTTATGCAATTTTATAATTTATTATGGAATAGTTTTATTTCTTGGCTATTAATACTGTAAGTCTCAAATATAATTAATTGTATTATAAAAATAAATATTGCTAATTTAAGTAACGAAATGTTGATTTTTAATTGAATTTTGTATTAAATTAAGTTTTTTTTTCTTGAAAATGTGTTAAATTAAATTTAAAATATATAAAAATGTGTTTAAAGTACTAAAATAATATAAGTTAAGATCGTATGATTTTAAAATTATTTTTACGTTAACATCATAAGATTTAAATTTTAAAAAAAATTTAATATAAATAATTATTAAAATAATTATTTAATCTCATTAAACTTAAATTATAATTGAAAAATATAAATTTGATCAATTTGAATAAATTTTTTAACATGCATTATTCGAAATAAAAATTCAATATCTTTTTAAAATGAGTCATCATATCAGTTTATCCAATCATTGAATTGGTTAGCTTCCTTTTATAAACACAAATAAATGACAAATAACTCTAATTATAAATTTTTTTATTGTTTTTTAATTCTTCAAATTTTTAGATATAATTAATTTAAAAAAAAAAAAAGAAAATGCCCCCAATTTAAAAAAAGACTATGAATATCACCCCATCTGTCATTAGTTTTGGTTCAGCACCTCTAAGTGACGTTGATGGGCCGGAGACAGGTTCGTTGAAATTAAATATTGTATTATAATTTAAAAATTATTTATGAGATTAATCCAATAAAATAAAACGATTTTTTAAAATAACTTATTCCAAGAAAAAAAGGTATAACCATTTTTTTTAAAGTCCCGTAAAATATTTAATTAAAATGTTAACTTTATTTATATTTAATAAAAAATTTAAATTTTTATTCAAATAAAAATGAAAAAAGCATTATATTTTGGATATAAAAATGAAAATGAATTTAAATTTAAATTTTTAGTAGATATAAAAATAAAAATGAGTACTATTTTTTTGTATCCGTATACTACAAATATTGATATTTATTTAGTAAATAAAATTTTTAGTAAATAATATAAATTATTATTTTAGGTTAATTAAAATTAATATATTTTTATTAAAATATATATAATATGTTTATAAAATTTAACTAAATATATAAGATAAAAATTAAAAAAAATTAGAAAAATAAATTTTAGTTTATAATTTTTTTTAAGTTATAAATATGAACATTATCTATATTTGTTAAATATTCATAAAATAAAAATAAATTTAAATTTAAATTTAAAATACTTATTAAATAAAGACAAGAAGAGAAATATAACACAAAAATCTAAAAAATGAGTACTAAAATATTTTACTCTACTGATATACTACCCATTAACCTCTTTATGCTAAACAACAAAGGCTTGTTTCAAACTCCTTAGATTTTTCAATGCAAGTGCATATCTTGATTTCCACATCCACATGATCAAATGGGTTCAGACATTGACTAATTGACAAAATAAAGCTTAAAAGAAGGAAGATGATACTTCAATTTAGTTTTTTTTTTTTTTTTAATTCACTATTAAACTCTTTTACTTTTATATTTATTTAATTAAAAAAATATTTCGTACATAAAATTTTTTAAATTGTAATCTTCAAATACCAATTATCAACTGATTAAAAATCAGTCAATTACTTCAATTTAATTTTAATTCACCGTTTAGGATAAAATTCAATCTTAATATATATTTCGGATAGATCTTGTGGAGGTGACAAAATGATCCTTTGGTAATCACAATCATTACAAAATTAGGGTTAAAATAGATAACTTCAATAAAAGTTGGACTCATTAAAATTATGTTGGTAACATGCCACCATCTTATCTTTCTTCACATTATCCTGTTTTTTACAAAAAATAAAAATAAAAATTTCTATTTAACCACTCGCAGTTGCGGCTTCTATATCAAGATTTTTGGAAAATTCTGAAATTTTGAAGTAAAATGCAACACAGAACTACTTCCCCACCATCAAGTTTCAAGCCAAATGTATTGCAACAGTAGTTCAAGAATGATTTTTGATGCAGGATACAATGAGGAAATTTATGGCAATTGAAAAAATTACCTTCACTTGATTTCTCTGTTTCTCCCACTGCATTTCTGTTTCCTAAGCCCTATAACTCTTCACAATCACAAAAAAATTACTTTCTTCTGTTTCTCTGCAATTCGTCGAAGTCAATTTCACGAATCCATGCTGATGATTTAACTTTTAACTAGCTAATATTTACTCTTTCAATATTTATTTTAGTTATCGGATTAACTTATGATTTTTCAAAATTAGAATGAAAAAAATGAAATGATCTTTAATTTATTATGCGTTCAATAGAATCCTCTACATTTAAGGATCCTTTCATCCCCATTGCATCTCGATTAATGTTTAGATTTGAATTCTACAATGAAACCTTAATTTAATCTTTAATAATAATAAAATAAAATTTATTAATCTATTCTTTAATCAATGTCTCAATCTTTATTGACTTTAAGATTTGATTTTTTTCGTCGATAAATAAATATTTATCTAATTATTGATGAATATTTATTAATATTTTATTGCATTATTTTTTATAAAATATTTTATAAACCTTACATATTCAAATCATATATCATTTTGCTCTTCTAAGAATAACAATGTTTAGTGCGCTTTCATAATCTCCAACTAAAATTTCATAACTCCACCTACAGTTATCACAAATAATCGGAAAGTTGAGCTGAAGAAACATTTGATCAAGTTCTGGACGGACCAACTTTGAAGCTAAGCATATGTATTTACATTAAGCTATTATGCTATGTTTGAAAAAATGGATTTGAATTTAATTTACTATATTAATTGTGATAAAGAAATACACACGTTATGCATGAATTTCAAAAGATCAAAATATATCATAGATTCTTGTACTCTTCAATTTTTAAGAATTTAATTATTTTAATATTATTTACAAAATTTAATCTTTATAATATTATTTTGTAAAGATTTCAATTCAATGTGCGTAAACTAAATTTCTTAAAACATAATATTATAAGGATTAAATTATTTTTAAATAATATTATAAGAACTAAATTTTTAAAAATCAAAGAGTATAAAGACACATTTTAACAATTTCAAAATAACAATAAAGGTTATATTTGCATGTGCTTTATCACACAATTTATACTAATGTTAAATTCCAAATTGAAGCAATCTTTTTTTTTTTCTCTCTTTAGACCAAGATCAATTTGAAATTGGTAGCTAGAAATGAAAAGTAAACATCAAACATTTACATAATTACAGGAAGGATAGAAATTTTTACTTTCAAACTCCATACAGTCCAGTTGAACTTAAAAGAGACTAACAAGCTTTGGCGGCGCATAATGAAATGCTGGATTGATGACATGAAGAAGCAGGGCACCAATGCCACTTCCAAAATCCAAGCAATCTGAGAATTCTACAAAATCCAGCTACTCAAATGGGGACCGCAGTTCATTCAGTAAGACTTCGGGATTGTGTGGATGCAAGGGGCATGACTGTCATATAGACCACCAAAGAATTAACTAGAGACACGCAGGAGCTGAAGTAAAATTAAAAAATACAGGAACGACAACAGAAGCCATACTGTAATATTTGCATTAAAAGCATTAACACCATCTGGGATGCTGAGCGCGTTTCAATTATTAGGTCATTTCTCGGACTATCTTCGTATAGGGTTGGTAATCCAACCAAAATTCGGTTTTAACTCGATCTAATTTTAAATTTTTTTAAATTGAATTTTGAATTGAATTTTTTTTTAAAAAGTTGAGGTTGAATTTTAAATAAATTCGTCTTATCTCATCTTGATATATATATATATAAATGTATTTATTATTTATTTAATATTATATTTATATTAAAAAATATTTATTAATTTTGAGTTAAATCGATTTCAATTATATATATATATATATGAATTGAATTAGATTAGATATAAAAAATAATATTTTGATATCATGTTAAATTCGAATATTTATTATATAAAGTAAAGTCAACGAACAAAAATCTATCTTGCTCTAATTCATTACCATCTCTATCTTTAGTCGAGTAGCTTTTTTTTTTTTGGTTTATTGTTTATTTCTTTATAATGAAGCTCTCAAAAATCAATTAGCAACGATCTCCATAACTACACCCCAATACTTTTTCTCTTCAAGCTCATACTTACAATAAAAGCTTACCCTCACCACATGACTAGATTTAAAGAAAGGATGTAATAATGTCCTTGAAAAGCTTGTGAGCAGTCATGCAAAGTAACATGAGATCCTGGCTTGATAATGCGTTGACTGACATGAAAATCTATACATGTCAGATGCAGCACAATTAGATTAATAGCCTTGTTAACATACAAGAAACGAGCTAGGCATCACTTCAAATCACATTCGCTAGCACCTGATGGCTTACAAGAGGTAATAAAAGCTAGACAAAAGAAAAGAAATCAAATCTTATAACAAGTATAGGACTCCAACCTATGTTACAACACTCCTCATTCTTCTAAACCACATAAAAGGAAACATGAGCACCAAGGTACAATGACCGACTAAACATAAAGAAAACAAATGGAATGCAAAACATATTTGAAAGTGTAATTGATCAAATTCGAATTGATATAATATTAAGTTTGAATTCGAATTTAATTTCAAATTCGAAACTTGAAATTTGTGTTGATTGATAAAACAAATTACTCAAGTCGAGCTGAATTTAAATTTTATTCGAATTGAACTCGAATAATTTATAGATATTAATGTATTATTCATACCCCTAAACATACCTATATCTTTTTTTTTTTTAAATGAATGTCCCTATATATGGCTTAGACTTCAATTTTTGTTTCACACATAGGATACGTTCTTTTGAACTATTAGCCTCCATATATTATCCCATCCTTACCTCTTTTTATTAGGAATTTAGATCAAGTTAAGTGCATAAGATGGTAAATATGATAAAATGATAATCTTTATATATTATGTTTAGTTTGTGTCTAAAGAAAAAAATAGAAATATGTAGAGAATTAATTATTCTCTTAGTATATAATGATTCAATTATTTTAAAGTAAAAAAAATTATTTTTAATCTATAAGATTAAACTAATATGTTATGTTATATTCTTAAAAATTACATTAATAACTTAAATTATATAAATTTTGAGAAATAATAACTTTGACTAATAAATAAATTATCCTATTATAATTTTTATACATATCAAATATAAGTTAAAATAATATTATTTAATTTAATTCTATTTATAATATTATCTTATTTTATCTTATTTTATCATAAAATTTTAAACCAAATGCATGCTTAATACTTCTGCATCAACACCCTTCATGCTCAACCCATCTTTTGCACCATGAAGTGTGCTTGTACATATTTATCCTATGTACTAGCTGGCCCCATCAATTGAAATCCTATGCACTAATAGCTCTTCTTAGACCCCTCCCAAATTTCTATCCTATTATTCATGTGCATGACACCTCAAGTTATTGACATTGAATTATCTTAAAAAACAAGCAAAAACACATAAATTCTTACCATCATAGAGGCATAAATAAATGACACAAAATGTTAATTTAAGTTGAAATGATAAAAAAAAAAAGTGGTTTTATTTATTATTCCACTAGAACTTCTATAAGTTTTGCTGGTCAAGTAGTTATGCCAAAGTATCTTGTGACTGCCAGCAAGTACAACAGATGGAACAGCATGCTTTTAAGCAACAAGTGCAACCCTATTTCGTGTGTAATAGATTGAGTTTCAATTGATATGATATTAAATTTAAGTTTAAATTTAACTTTAAATTTGAAGTTTGAAATTTGATTTAAGTTTAATTAAAATTTATTTTTTTAACTCGATTTTGATTTGAGATATAAATTAATTTATTTTAAATTTACTTGATTAGACTTGATTCATATAAAAAAATAAATTCAATCTTAAGCTTGAGTTTAAAATATTTTATTAATTAAAATAATTAAAATATAAAAATTCGATTAAATTCGTGAACTATTTAAATTGAATATAAAATTGTTCGAATTTAACTCGATTAATAAGTTGAGATACTCAAATTTAAGCTTGATTCAATAATGATCAAACCGAATTTATATTTTATTTAAATTAAATTTGAATAGCTCGATAGTATTAATATCTTATTTATAACCTTAGTCCAACAGATGCTATGACCCCACTATTAGCCAAGACAGCACGAGTTCCCACAATAACTTTCACATTACAAATCTCAAGATAAAGCTGAAAACAGTGCAAGAAACCCGTTACTAAGTAGGAAAACATTAAAACATCGCATACTATGTTTACTCAGGAAATCATGGTAAAAACTGCAAGTCAGTAATAAGTGTGACTTGTAAACCTCTAGTGACCAATTCCTTAGCAAGAACATGCCCCTGATACCTAAGGTAACACCAAGTAATGGAAAAAAAATGTTACCAGGAGAATATCAAAATTGCAGCAGATTAAAAGAGTCTTTTCCTTATAAATATATTAGCTACTTGTACAAACCTTGGAGCACCTTCTGCAACAAATACCTGAAATGATCTTTCCTTCTTTTTTGCAAAGAAATTCCAGCACGGTTCTTGAGCTGCATGAAGTTAATATCACCTCACTGACAAAATATTTTAGCTATAATAAGTAAACGTGCAAGTTAATATGTGAAACAGTTAGAACAACATGAGAACACATAGAGATCAATGTGTTTCATAGTTGTAAGATAGATGAAGAATCCTAGACATAAATTTGTCCAGGTGTTTTATGAGTAAGAGCATACTAAAAGCAAATGAAGTTTAACGGGTAAAGTATATCAAATATCATTCGTGCCGAAACATGCTAAACAGAAGACATATGTGAGTCTCACTGGATATAAAAAATAATATTTTAATATCGGATTGGATTTGGATATCTATTATATAAAATCGGGTCCAGTTCGAAAATGATTCACTTCTCTCACCTCAATAGAAATCCAAGAATCATCCTGGAAACTCTGAAAATATTAACTCTAAGAATCATAAAACCTCAACATGTCAGAGAAAATGAAACAAAATAATCTACTAGAAACAGCAAGCATAAATATGAAAGCTTGGGAATGTGATAGACCATGATGTAGGGGGGTTGGTTGGATAGCGGGGTGGCATAAGACAGCGTTCTATAATGGAGAGAAATCCAAAGAGAATTTAAAAGCTTAAGACAGAAAAGATAATTTTGATGTTTATGCTCTACTGCTTGCTCAGCAATCTGTTCATGGCAAGTACTAATGTCTTGAATAAGCTCATTGACTGCTTCAATGAATCATGCTTCAGCTTCCGACTTCTTGAACTTTTGTCAGCAGCTGCAAGCCTGCAAAGGAAATAGAACCCTTAAATATCTCAAAATGCGACAAGATTTAACATCACATGATTATCACCGTTAAAAAAAAAAAAAACCAGTTTCACATAAACCAATATTTAACCACTTCCAGAGATATTAATCTCAGAAAATATCAGGGGAAACATAAAATTCTAATATCATCAAGTATAATGCAAATAGAAGAGGTGCCTCAAGTAAAGAGTTTACATTTGCTTTTTCCTTCAGTATCTCCACCAGAAGAAGTATGAGGAATTGCCGCAGACTCAGGCACATTCTCAAGTAGTGTTTGCAAGGAAGGTGGACTCAAGGTGCTTCTAGAAGAGCAGCAATGGCAGAGGCTGATAATACTACGTGGTCATCTCGATCAACATCATCTTCATCATCACTTCCAACTGATAAGTTCAGTCCAGCCATTGCAGCTGTTGTCAGAGAAAGATCCACCTCTCTGGTAATGTGCAAATCACGCCTCACAATATTACCCACAGCAAGCTCTGCCAGCACATCCATGCATTATTACATAGAATATCAAAGGAAAACTATCAACAATCTCCATATAAAAGTTATATTGCATGCTGGCCCAGCTTCTGGAGCAATATTCTCTACTCCAGAAAGCTAAAGCTAGACCAACCAGGGGTTTTCCAGAATAACTTTTATCTTACCTAGAAGGTGAAAATAAAAATGTAAAAATGCTACAAAGAGAATCCAATAGTTCTATTTCAATGCAAATTTTAAACAAAGAAAAGTATTCTTAGTTATTACAAAATCCTTTTAGTTGGACATAACAGTTTCTCTTTAACAGCACTTTTTCTTGCAGCTTCCTCAGCCTGACCGAACACACTCATAAAATGCAAGACATTGCTAAGCAAACATTATTAAAAATTATTAGACTACTTACATTCTGAACTTCTACAAGTAGATATGAAGTTTCCTCTCCATTAAGCATCTTCTGAATTTGAGTGACAATCAATTTTGAACTTGAAAATGATGTAATACTTGGTCCACAAAATGATAAAAAAAATGTCGATAAACAACACTTTCTTTAGGTATAAAAATAGATGTATTTTTTTATGAAAATAATGAGCCATAACAATTTTTCTGCAAATATATATATTTATTTATTTATAAACATACCATCACTATTATGATCTTGCTCAAAATCTTGGGAAAAAATGAAAAAAAAATTATGAACTTGAAAATGATGTAATATTTGGTCCACAAAATGATAAAAAAAAATGATCAACAATACTTTCTTTAGCTTAAAGATATAAATTAGATGTATTTTTTAATGAAAATGATGAGCCATAGCAAATTTTCCCTTTTAATGATTGTAATATATATATATATATATATATATATATATATAAACATACAATCACCATTATGATTTTGCTCAAAATCTTGGGAAAAAATGAAAAAAAAAACATATATAATAATATATATTATATTTTATAAAGAAACACAAAATATATTGTTGAATAATAAACTAAATCATAAAATAAAAATTCACATTGACTCATGTGTTTTTAATATAAGGATGAATCAAATATGAAATAAATTCTAATCTAGAGTTGCATACTTGAATGCCCCTAATCGCAAATGAAGACTTTTTAAAGGGTCTTTCGTTCCCTTGGTAGGGTTAAGATCAAGATCATACTTTTCGTTTCGACCTGAAATTTTTAAAAATTATAACAAAACGTGAAATTTTTATTTTGAAAATTTTAGATATTTTTGAGAAATTAAAATTATCTTAAAAATTAAATATTCGTAAATCAAACGTAAAAATTATATTTTTAAAAGTACAAAATTTGGCAAAAATATTTTAAATTCCTCTTAATCAAACGATGTCTAAAAAAAGCTCTTAACCGAAGTACCAAATTTTCATCTTTACAGACATTTTTATCGATTTAGTTTGTAATTCTTTCAGTTTCAAAATTTTATTACAAGTTAATTTTGATATTTATTCAAAATTCAAGTATAATTGTCAAATTTATCTTGAAATTTGAATAATTTACTATAATATAAATTGAAGTTTTTTTCAAAATTTAAATTTAAAGATTTGATTTTTTAAAATTATTTAATTTTATATATTATCTTATATGTTAAAAATATAAATTATCTACTTAAATATTCATGTGACAAGCTATATAAAATATTTATTTATTTTGTAATATAATATTATAAATAATTATGTATTGTAATTTAGATTAATATAAAAATATATAATATATTTTTTATTTTATTAAATTTATATATTTTTTATTAAAATTTAAAATGTATTATTCTTATTTCATATTATTTTATATTTTTAAATTGACTATATTTTTTTTTTATAAGAAAAAAATTCGGGGATAAATTAACTAAATTGACTATATTTATTTCTTCGGCTTTGATTCTTTCTGTTTCATTTCAAAAATAAAATCTCTCTTTTCTCTCTCGCCACGCGCCATCTCAATCACGCTCAAGTGTGCGTAGCAGCCACGTATAAATTTCCCTCCCGACTCCCCCAACATTTTCGACCTTTTTATTAAAAAAAATGAAAACAAAAGCCAGGTAACGGGCCCTTTCTTAACTTCGAACACTTTTTTTTTCCCATCTTTTTGTATTATCTCGAGAAATTTCTCTCTCCCAATCCTATTCCGAAGCTCTCTCTCTCTTTAATTTGAAATTCTCCGCTCCATAAAACCCCCAAAAACATAACAAAAGGAAAAATCCACCCATTTCCTTATAAAAATTTCCTCTTCTTCTCTTCTTCATTTTTGGCCGCCGTCTGCCCTTTTTTTAAAGGATTTGTTTTTTTTTTTTTTTTTTTTTGGATTCAAATGGGTTTTTGAGTTTGTATTGAAGGCGGATTTTCTGGGTTTTCTTGGTTGTATTTTTTTTTCTTTGGATTCAAATGGGTTTTTGAGTTTGCATTGAAGGTGGGTTTTCTTTGTTTTTTGTTGGGAGTTTGGTTTTCTGGTTTTTCTTTGGTTGGTTATAAAGTTTCCTTTTTTGGATTATTCTAGATCTATTTGATTCTTTTAGGTAGTTTCATTTTTGGAAATTTTGGATTTGTATCTCTTTTTTAGGGTTTTTTAATGTTTATTTGGTTCAGTAAGTTACAATTACATTGTCTAATTTTTTACTTTGATTTTTTTCCACCTACATTGTTGTAATCTCCACAATTATGAATTTATAGTTTTTTTTAAATGAAAGAATCTGATTTTCTGATGATTTTTTTTGTAGGTTAAGGTGGATTTGAGAGAGAAAAGGGAAAGGATTGAGGGTTTAAAAAAAGTGGGTCGTAAGAATATTTTGTCCCTATGATTATTTTTTTTTTCAGATTTTTTGTTGTTAAGTGTAAACTAATTTTGATTATATGCATTGAGGGACCTTAGCTATTATTATTGAATGATTGATAGGTTGGTTTGACTCAAATAATCAACACTGAGTATTTCATGCTGTTGATTTTTAAGTGACTTGTTCAAAAGTAAAATGTCAGTGTTGATCTTTGTATTTGGTTATCCTTGCATATTGATTTCGGATAAAGGATTGTGTGAAACGATTACTACATGTAAACAAATATTAGTTTCGTGTAATTCTTACTATTAATTATTTTTTAAGCAAGTAAAATGTTTTCTACCCTTATAAGTAGTGGAATATTGTTTCATGAGGGTTGTGATGATGGGTAGAAAAACAAGCTGATGTGTTGAAATTATCATTTTCTGACTTGGAGTAACCTTAATTCATTAACTTGACAAATTTGATACAGATCATTAGTTTTAAATTGTTTGTATCTGTTAAGTGGAATTTTATCTGATTTTCTGGTTTTTGTGTGCGCGCGCGCTCGTGTGTGTGTGTGTGTGTGTATTTTCAGTCTAGACTGAGCATAGATACTAGCATGGCATCTGCAAATCCCTTTTTTGATGACTTGCGGATCAAGCCTGAGGTTATTGATCCTCCACAAAATGAAGACATTATGGATAGTGAATCTGTGAATGATCCTACTCAAGCTGCTATAAAACCTAATGTGACGGTGTCTAGCAGTGTTCGTGAGCTGTTGGAGTGCCCTGTTTGCTTAAATGCAATGTACCCACCAATTCATCAGGTTTGTTCATATGACACCTTTTAGTTGATTTACTTTGATGAAATTTTCTGACATGTATGTTCTATAATTTGTATCTGCTGGACTCTCTTGCCATCCACTGAAATCTTCTGGGAATCATATTGATTCAAAATCACCTTCTACTAAATTATCCTAAAGGTATCTTTGGCAAACCATATCTATATACAAGATGATATATATTTTGCACACTCTTGCCATTCGGCAGGTAGATTTAACCTAGCGCATTAATATGGCCACAAAGGCTGAATTTGTTTTGTTTTGATTATCTTGTAAAGTTGTTTTTCTTGTTGTTTTGCTTATAGCCTTTAAGCTATTAGTAATTTTGAATTATTTAATTAATTATTTTATAGAATCATTGATGTCTCAAAAGTAGGTTGGTTTAATAAGGGGAAAGGGGAAAAAATCAATCAATATCCATATTAATACACCCAAAAAATAGAAGCATCACACTGGCTCTATAACTTATACTTGGCAGGGCGATGGCATGAAGTACCTGTGTCAGGATGCTCTTTATTGGCTTGTGATACTATTTTTGTATTGTGTTGTCATTTTTTCTTTGTCTGCTATATGGTCATCCTCATAAATTAATGGTGAATATTAATACTGAAACTAAATGCTGGTGCTCTTTCTTTGTGCAGTGTTCAAATGGACACACATTGTGTTCTGGTTGCAAGCCAAGGGTGCACAACCGGTGCCCCACTTGCAGGCATGAACTTGGTAATATTAGGTGTCTTGCATTGGAGAAGGTTGCTGCATCTCTCGAGCTTCCCTGTAAATATCAGAGTTTTGGGTGCATCGGCATATATCCATATTACAGCAAGCTAAAGCATGAGTCACAATGTTCTTATAGACCATATAGCTGCCCCTATGCTGGGTCAGAATGCACTGTCATTGGTGATATTCCTTATCTTGTGTCCCATCTGAAAGATGATCACAAAGTTGACATGCACAATGGCAGCACCTTCAACCATCGTTATGTCAAATCAAATCCACATGAGGTTGAGAATGCTACATGGATGCTAACGGTATTGTTGCTTTGTTCTTGCTTCATATTTCTTGTCATATTTTTGTTTCTCCAACCCTCTAGACTGTTTCTGCAAATTCAGTAGCTAAAAGTTTGTTGTGTGCATGTTGATCTAGTTCATAATGGGTGATGAATTGTGTAAAGTCTATTGCCAATGGGGTTTTCCTATTGTTCTACCAGTGAATACAATCATAGAGGGGACCTAAAACTATAAGAATGGCTTAGCCATACAAAATTGAAGACTGTTGCTAAGTTGATTTCTACTTTTGGATAAGAGATTATTATTCTTTTTGTTATTTGACATGGGACAATGATATTCAATAGACTGAAACTTGCTATTTTAGATTTTATTTGAAGATTTTGTGAGGGTTATGGCACTAATCGTTGGATTTTTTTTTTCTCAATTTTTAGGTTTTCAGTTGCTTTGGTCAGTACTTTTGCTTGCATTTTGAAGCCTTCCAAGTTGGGATCTCTCCTGTTTATATTGCATTCTTACGGTTTATGGGTGATGATAATGAGGCAAAGAACTATAGCTACAGCCTTGAGGTGGGTGGGAACGGGAGGAAGATGGTTTGGCAAGGGGTACCCAGGAGCATAAGGGACAGTCATCGAAAGGTTCGTGACAGTTTTGATGGTCTCATTATCCAACGCAACATGGCTTTGTTCTTCTCAGGTGGGGACCGGAAAGAATTGAAGCTTAGAGTGACAGGAAGGATATGGAAAGAGCAGTGATGGGATTCTATTTTGTTGTAATAGCAAGTAGATTGGTTTCTTTTGGTAGTTTTACCGGGTGTTCCGGTCATGTATTTTTTGGTTTATAGGGGGCAAACTCTCTTTGCTTATCCATGCATCAAAAACATGAATGGGAAGATGTAACATTTATGCCTACAAATCTAGTATCTACCTATAGTGATTTTAGATTGTCATATATGCAGATTTACATCTTACAAAGTACCTTATTTTTATTCTCTTTGTTGCTGGTGATGCTGATTCTGAGCAAATGTGCTTCCTAATTATCAGTATTTAATAGAATTGGTGCCCATGGGCCATGGCATGGCATCTCTGGTATTTTTATGGCTACAAATTTACCTACAGTAGCTGTTGAGCTGAATGGAATCTGCATCAAACAGTGTATTTTAATGCAGAACAGGTCAGTAGGATAAACATCTGCTCTTACTCTCATCTTTCCCTGTCAAGTATAAAATATTTGCTCTCATTTGTCTGAGCATATGACTGAAATGATCATCATATGCTCAGATTTGACTGATCCTAAACCAGACTGCTCTGAAGATTTGAAAGAAAATTAACATGGTGGTGGTAGGGCAAGGAGTCAGGGATTTGAGCTAAGAATCCTAGTTTAGGATCTTTTATGTTACAAAAGGCAAAAAAAAAAGCCAAACAAATGGGAAGAAAAGTAAGTTGATCATTGATCAACTTGACTCAAACACAGCACAATTAACATTTTTGGATGTAATCATAGCTTTTGACTAAAAAATTAATTCAATTATAATAACTGAAAATAAATCCTCTGTTGGTTTTCGAGACGATAGGCTAAAAGCAATCTTTGCAGCTATAACTTGGAAAGAAATGGAAGACTCAAGTTGAATAAGGAGTATAAACAGCAAGCAACAGCCAGCACCTGCGCTGCGATCTCTTTCTCTGTTCTTATGTTGCGACCTCTAAAGCTCTAATGTTTTCTCTTTACCAATACCATTAGAGAAGCAAACAACCATGGTGCGAGAATTGGTCTTTGTGTTTCTCAGTGAGGTCATTTTGTCCAATATATATTATCTTGAGGGAAGCCAAGTTGCCTGTAGATAACATCCATTCCAACAAATCACCACATTTTACATTATCACAGTCACGTATATATAAGTATTTCATAGTTGAGATGTTTTTGACGATTTGCTTTATGCCCTCAGCCGTTATTTTCTTACAGTAACGAAAATCAAAAACCATCAATCGAGGACATCTCTTTGCTATTGCTGCAAGTCCTTCATCATCAATCTGTGATCTTGACAGTATTAAACTCTCCATATTCACTTCTGGAAGCTCTGAATTATTTGCCTCAATGATCTTTGCATTAAAGTATTCTTGTGCTATGAGTTTTCTAATAAACTTGCAACTTTTCAAAAAAGCTTCAATGCCACTGCTTGTGAGTTGGTAACAGTAGCTCAAATCTAAAACCTTTAAGTTGGAGAAAATGAGTCCCAATTGTTTGGCCAACTCATCACTGATTTTGCAACGTGTCAGACAAAGATTTTGGACTCTATGGTTTTTGAGCAATGGAAAATTATTGTAGCCATTATTAATCTGTCCATCCAGGGCTATCTGGTTCATTCTGATTTCTACAAGTGAAGGACACCTAGTTGAAAGTAGGAACAATGTTGAGTTTGTCACCTGGCATTTGCTGATTTCTATGTGGGTGAGCTTGCTTACATCTCTGCTTAAAACAAGTTCCATATCTACATCTGCAATATTAGCTTCAACAATGGCCAACTCAGTGAGCTGGTAGTTAGATAAAACCTTAAGTAAACCCAAAACAGTAAATTGCTTGCAATATTTGAGCAAAAATTTGGTTAACCGAAGCTCTGCCTTTGCAATTGCGTTCATAAGCATGTCAGAAACATCCATTTGGTAAAACTCAAGAGAAGTTAAAGCTTTGGCATGGCTAATTGAATTTTCAATAGTGATTGAAGACCCTGAAGAATCCATCTTGATATATCCAATCGAAAGAGCTTCCAAGTTTGGCCTATTCCGAAGGAGAAAACCAATGGCATGTTCTGTCACCCCATTGTTTCTGGAACACCACATAGTCAAAGTTTGTAGAAAAACACAATTTGATGCCAAAGCAACAACAGATCGATCTGAAACATAATGTTCTCCATAGATACAAATTTTTGTCAACAGCTTAAGCTTAGATGCCAGGATTTCAACCCCAAAATCAGTAGGCAACTGTGGAGAAGAACTGTCTTCAGCCAAAGAATTCTTGGGAAAAATTTTACAATTTCCAATATAAAGTTGTTCCAAATTCGGAAACGAATTTGCTATTACCACAAGATCATTGTCATGCAAATTACCCTTTAGAGAGCAACAGCTCAAAACCTCTAAATTGGAACCCAAGTCTTTGAGACTCTCAGACTTGAACTCATCCTCCCTATGCCAAATATCAAGAACTTGAAGACTAATGTCAGAGCGGCCAATCTCAACAATGGCCTTATTTATATCACCTCTAAAACACTTAAAATGGATCCTTTTGAGTTGTTTGAATCTCTTGAGTTGTTCAGAAAGCACTCCAACTCCAGGGTGAAAAACTTGTAAACTCTCTTTGCAAGTATTTGAGATTGCCAAGAAATCCTTGCAGACTAAAGATACAGCTTTCAACCCCTGGTTGTCAAGATGATTAAATATAGATTGCCAGCAGTCAATTGGCAAAATTTCAACAGCCTCCATTGGTATAGGCTTCAGCTCTGACATCTTCAATTTTACAATCTCCTTTGAATAGCTACTATAGAGTTTTTCGAATTCAAGGACTTGTTTAAGAGAGCACTGTGACTATTTATACAACACATGTATAATAAAACCCTAAAAATTTCATAAAATAATTTCTTTATTATGAAAAGTTTTTTAATAATATATAATAGGATTTGAATCTTATTAGAAATAGAATTCTAATTCAATTGGTAATAGTAGTTACATAATTTTTGTGTGAATGTACTAATATTTTTGGATTTATTTTATCAACTGACCTATATATTTCAAGATAATTCAATCCCCCACAATAAAGTTATTTATGAATTTAGTCGAATCAAGTTCGATTCAAGATTGAATCCAGACATACATCAATAATTTACGTAATTATTTAGATTTAATTTTATTAAAATATTTAAATCTTAAAACTCGATATCTTTCTTAAGTAAACTTAATAATTTTGTTTAAATTTGTTTAATAAATTTAATAATTTTACTAAAATTCTCTCAAAAATTGAGCAAACATATGAATTTAAATTAACCTAACTCTTGAATATGTCTATACCGTAAATTTTTTTTTTTTTTTTAGAACGAAGACCTTTCCCTTTTTTAGATAAAGTCTTTTATAGTTTAGTGTCTCTAATCAAGAGAAACCAAATCAAATGAAAAAATTACTAAAAAATAAAATAAATTATAATAAATATATACAATAAAAAAATAGAAATATGAAATTTATTTTCCATATACAATTACAAAAATTTACCCATTTATTTTATCGTGTAACTCCCTCCAAATTTCACTTTTTTTTCACACTTTTTTCCTTTTTTGCTTATTTAATTGTGCGAAATTTTAATATAAAACAAACTCCAAATAATAGTATTTTAAAAAAAGTTTTATAGTTTTATGAACATAATTTTTTTTTTTAAAATAAAAAAATTTGGGCTTTTTTTGGTCTGACCACATATTTTGGGCCACGCCATAATTGTTGATTGATAATCAAAACCGTAAGGGCCCAGTACTTATAAAATAAAATAAAAAAAACCCTAATTTTCCTTTTAATCAATTTCCTCCCAAAATCCCAATTTCAAAGCTCTACGAAATCCCCTTTTAAAATTAAAATTTAACCCCAGACGTGCCATCACATCCAATTCATCAAAGAAGTAGAGTAAAAGCGAAAGTCACGTGCGTAAAAATGGCGGCCTTATCGCCAGCCTCGACGAAAAGCGCCACGGAAACAACCACGAGGACAAGTACGACGGCTACAGCTGCTGCTGCGGCGGCGACGCCTCCTCCTCCTATTCCGCCTTTTCAGCGCATGGACAATCCGCCTAAGACACAGCGTGGGCTTAATAAGCCCAAATGTATTCAGTGTGGCAATGTTGCCCGCTCCAGGTAAAAGAAATTCTGTCTCTGTGGTTTTTACTCTCAGGGCTTTTTTAATTTCGTGTGTAGTTATGATTTTTTAGTTTTTTTTTTTTTTTTTGGTGGCAATTGGTGTTTAGGTTTATTTGTTCAGCTATTTGGAAGTTATTTTTTTTAAAGAAAAAAATAATTTAATAACCCAATGAAACAGCAAGATACTTAAAGTTACTTTGAATTTTAAGACTTCGGATTGATTTAAGGTTGTTTGTCAATTTTGATCTGGTTTGTATTTGGTTAGAATTTGATAAAAAGTAAAATCAGGTAAAATTTTTAAATTTCCCAAAAGAGTTCAGATATTTGATACTTGTCTTCTGAATTGTATATAAGGAACTCATTAAGTTGATGTAATTACTTGAATGAATAAGTGTCTGATTAGTTAAATCCATTTGGGAGTTTAAAAGCTTCAGTGCTGGTGTTTGAAAATTTTTTTCTTTAAGTAGTTTATAGAGCGGAGGGGAGCTTGGCACGGTTTGTAAGGTTGCTGCCATGTGACCTGGTTGTCACGGGATCGAGACATGGAAACAGTCTCTTGCAAAAAAATGCAAGGAAAGACTGCATATAATAGACCGTTTCCTGGACCCTCACTTAGCGGGAGCTTTATGCACCGGACTGCCCTTTTTTTTAGTATATAGAGCTTGAAAAAATTTTCCCAGCAAACCATTCTTATTACTTGGATTTCTTGTGCAGGTGCCCGTATCGTTCGTGCAAGAGTTGTTGCTCAAAAGCACAAAATCCATGCCATATTCACGGTATGCCAATCAAGAAAACTTCAAAAATGAGTATACTTTGCTTATTGTTCAATGTTAGTCGTTTTATTACAGGATGATATCAAATTTCTTTTTTACTTATCAAAATGAAGAAGTGGGAGATTTAGGATCACTGAGCGATATAAAGTAAAATCATTGTTTGGAAAGGTTATAATGCGTATTATCTTGACCACATTATAATGATCTGAGGATTCTTCTTGGCAGTAATCTACCTTGATTCACTTTCTTTTGTCCACTTTGCAATTGCATATGGTGACTTTATATCACAAGATTAAATGCTTTAATTTATGGTTGAGTGATTATATATTCTATTGAAAGGCTAACAATATGCTGAGCTTATGTTCAAGTTTATTTCTAAAAGCATGCTTAGTTAAGGTGTTGTCTGAAGGGGTTATCAAAGTCTGCCTTTTTTTTATTTTAGGAAACTGGGGAAATTTTTGACATGGGCATTGTTCTTGTCTACTCAATATGAAACTGCAAATATCCATTTGGTGATGGATTCTTTTAACATTGGGATGATTTGTTTCCTTATATCCTCAGCAAAATCTAAAACTGCCTACTTGGATAATCCGATACTGTATAAACTTCCAAGAGAAAACAAATTCTTATTCACATTCTTAAACATGTGGAAGCTTGGCTAAATTTTTATTTACAAAAGGTTATCAAATAGTTCTGAGAACTCATTGGTTTAATAGTTTTTAGACTTTTCATTTTAAATCAATCATCAATTATGTGTGATACACACGTGTGCTTATATAGAGTGACAACAGCATCATACTAAGGTTGTAGCCATTTTTATCATTCTCTGAATTATTACATAGATGAAAAAGAAAGAACACTCTGAAGTCTGGTCTCTACAGTTGGAGATGTTCATTAAAAATGAGGAATGTCCAATTCGTTCAACTTTGGAGATGTTTGTTTTATGGTTGGTAAAGTACTTCTGTTTCTGATTGGGCTGAAAGTAGTGTAAATTGAAGGAGGTATGGGTATTTAGAGATTTTGTGTTCTCCATTAATTTGGGGGAAACTGGGAATGTATTCAGAATACTTGAAAGTATCTATATATTGTAAACGAATGAAGCAATGAACATACTAAGTAACTCACTTCCAAATTTATATTGTAATTGCAGTTTTAAAGTCAAATTCAGCTTTTCCAGAGAAGACACCAACTTCAAGCACTCCTTCATCAGACCAGAAGTCAACTCAGGCTTCTTCTCAAGCGTAAGTTGCAAAAATCATCTGCTCAAAATGTGCATCTGGCTTTTATATTTGATTTGGGTAAAAAATTCAGTGTGACTTTGTTTAGCTGTCAGAAATGGAAGAATGAGACAAAAGCAGAGAAGCATATTTCTGTCTGAGCAACTTCACTTTATATGTGAATAAACAGATAATTCTGGAACTTTGTTAGGCATGCATGTTATTTTCTTCTTGTACAGATGTGGCTGTGTCATGTTGGTCAAAATGGGCATACCTGGAAACATACATACGATTTGATCTTTCATATATTGCTTTTCTACCATCACCGATACTGTTTCCAGAATTTTTAATTAGCATAGGTTCTTGAAGGCCACTGATAATTGATTATTTAAAGCCTCCTGGAAATGTAATTGGCTCTAGAATTCCTTATGTTATCCTCTTAAGTTCTTTCATTTTCTTTTCCTCTCCATAGCCAACTTAATTTCCTAAAATCTTCAGGGCTGATCTACCATTTTGTTTTCCACTTTTTGCATTCTGGACTTCATTATTTTGGTTGTCTACATGAGTTGTTCAGCCCTATCTTTCTGGAGTTTTTATTGATTTTTGAGTTTGCCATTTGACATGTGGCTGATGCCTTTGTTGCTGAACGTTATTCAGGACTCCCTTAAGGGTTCCCTCATTTAAGCAACTTTCCAATGCTTTTGCACAATTTGACAATCTGCAGGTCCGCTCAAAGAAACACCTGACAATAAAGGTGTGGTATAGTATACAGAAAACAGATACTCTTGTTCAAGTTTGTTATATATCTGTATAAGCCTTAACTTGTGTGCTATTTCAGGATGCTGTAGCCTTAAATGAATGGAGGTTTTCCAAGTTGAAGGAATTCAAGGACAGAAATATTGAAATTGAAAATGATGCTTTTGACCGGTACATGCAGAATATTAGTTTACTTGAGGAAGTCTTTTCTCCAAAATCTATACATGAAGGGTCCGATGGGGATGAAGTGTCCAATGAGGGTGAAGGGTCTAAGCCTAGCCCCATTGCAAAGGAAGATGAGTTTTTGATGATGACTTCGGGTCTTAAGTTGAAACTAAGGTTGGACCCAGTGAGAACCGATAACTGCAGAAAAAGGATACAACAAATTGTTGATCAGGGAATAAAAAAGCTGCGGACAAGTGAAACAAATGACGGTGCTAATGATCCAGATGACCAAAATAAACAGGATAGTAGGTTGAACAAGGTAAAAAGCTTGTGCGTTGAGAGAGCTTCAGTTTTAAGTGATCTTGTTGACAAGTTGAACAAAGCTCGAAACGAAGACGATCTAAAATCTTGTTTGGAGATGAAAGCACAGCTTTATAATCAGAGCACAATGTCTACTGAGACAGAAATTAAAGATCCTGAAGCATTGAACGAGCAGAGTGCAGACAGAGACGTAACTCCCGGTAAAATACCACATCATCCATTGCCAAAATTGTTTACATCAATTGAAATTGATCAAGAAACACTCAACAAAGTTGATGTACATTTCTCTTCCCTAGAGCAGATTGAAGACTTATAACTGTAAGCGGGATTATTCACTCAAAGACTGACTAGTCTTAGTTTGAGCAATGATTAATGGTGATGTTTTGAAATTGCCCTCCTTTTTTGGCTGATTAACAGTTGCTTAAATTTATTGTTGTAATTTAGTCCATGCTTAGCAGCTTAGTGGAGAAATTAGTGTTGTTGATATTGCAGTTACAATAGCGTGATCAATTTGAATGTAACATTAGAAATTTATTACCTGCATTCTTAATTGTTCGAAGTGAGTTTTTACTTATTTTGAATTCGATTTGATTTTATATCAATAATATCCAAACTTGATATTGTATAAAATTGTATTCGATTTGAAATTAATAAAATATTATTTTTTAAAATATAAAATATTATTTTTTAATGTAAAATATTATTTTAATGCAAATATAAAATTAAATAAATAATTTAAAATTAATTATATATATTCGGTCAGTATAGGTTTACTTAAAATTGGATTTTGAAATGATTTTAATTTGTTATTATTATTATTTAATTTGATCCAAAATTTAATTATATATAAAAAAATATCGATCTTAGATCGGATTAAAACTTGTCAAATATGGATTAAGCTGTATCTCTAATTATGTAGTTATCTTGGAGGGCTAGATCATACTTTGCTTTGGTTAAAACTTATGAAAAGGAGTTTGTTCATTTTCCAAGCCGTTGGGTTGAGGAAAAGACTAACCATAGTTTGGGGCGAAGGATAAAATGATTCCGCGGATAAATGTCTGTTGAGTGGATAAAAATAGAATATTTCACTTCTAAAGTTTAAGTTCGATATCTGCTAATTTCTCTTGGTGGTTGATCTTTAAATTCAATGTAAATCCTTCCTAAGATCTCATGCAATAGTGCAAAAGCCTCTGTTGCCCTCCATGGAAACCAGGCCTACAGCACAGATTCGAAGACACTTTTTTAAGTTCTTAAAAGCGAAATCCTAATTGGCCACTGAATTAATTAAGTGGTTGCCTTCAGCATAGGAATCACCCAACAACCTTAAAGAAACAATTGTAAGCTTTGCCTGGATCATGTTCATAGTAGGGGTATGATTTCATCATCAGTCAGTGCAATAAAAAGAATCAAAGTGATATCTGTAGGAACAAAATTACAATGTCAAAAGTCAAGGGCAAAAAGATGTTAGATCACATGTAAATAGAACAGTGAAACATACTGTTTGACCAATCAGAGTGATGCCTTTAAGAGTAAGATTTACTTACTTTCAACAAGATAGAAACAGCAGAGCATGTAAATCCTGCACAGGAATAGAAATAAGGAATCCAGTACTAGAAACTTCATCAAAGCATCAACGTAAGAAATCCGTGTTTCCACTCAAAAAGTTTCCCATACAAAATAACCAACAAAAATAGAATACAAAACTCTTTCATTACATTCCACCCTTAGTCATATGGAATTTGGATGTATGCAGCATCACAAAAAAAAGGAATGTCAGCATACTTGCCAGCAAGAGCACACCGTATGCACTCCAAAACAGTAAATAGATGGGCAAATGCTGCAGCTGTCCAAAAGTGCATACCCAGCTTACCCCAGTAGACTGCACGCGGCATCCGGCGACTCACAATCCCTGTCATCTGCAGGGCAATTTCCAATAGCATTCCAGTCGTCACGTGAAATCTGAAAAAGTGAGGCCATTCCTTTCTCCGTACGACTCCGAGATATGCAACAATGAAATATGCGATCAGGAACCATCTTGGAAGCATCCCAATGACTCCAAGGAATGGGTAGGTCAAAAGCTCCAAGGTTTCCAAGAAGGGGTGTAAATGATATGCTGTCTCTGCATACATCCATGTTTCATGGAGAGGCATTAAGTAAGGGAGACATGCTAAAGTTCTCCACCACCATTTAGGCTTCTTAGTCATTGGAGGATAGCGGAAACTGAATGGCACATCCTTTGATGCGCGTGGCACCAAAGCAGAGCTCCTACGCCTAGGAAATGAGGGTACTGTATGAGATAAACCACCTAAATTCCCACTTAAGAATGGGGTTGATGCAGCAGAAAGGTGCAAAGGAGGCAAACCTATAAAATTGAAGACCATAAATTAGAGAAATAGAAGAATATTTGAGGCAATTCTGAAGCAATGCAGAAAAACAGAATGAGCACATATATGCTGATGCTTGTACGCAAACATAGTTTGGTTTAGTCATAAGCCTAATTAAGAACATTCTACTAATCATATCTATGCCCAATGATGCATTTTAAAAGCAAAAAAGGCAATTCTGAAGCAATGCAGAAGAACCAGAATGAACACATATATGCTGAGGCTTGTAGAAAAACATAATTCGGTTTAGTCATAAGCCTAATTAAGAACATTCTACTAATCATATGCATGCCCAATGATGCATTTTAAAAGCAAAAAAGGATCTTCATATACCTTTAACCAGCAGGGACTTTGAATCCTGATCTTGCCTCCAAGAACTCGTGATACTTAATAACGCATTTATTGTAGGCAATCGGGGAGTTGAGGCATAAACAGAAGTACATGGCATGGGCTTAGACAACCTTGAACTCATTGAAACACCCGCAGAGGGCATGGTGAATCCATGCAGAATCATGGCCAGCTACTTTTAAGAATAATGTAGGAAAATGATTAATGAAAATGGCAAATCATCACTGAAATTAGGCAACTACTCTGTTTCTCTCACTAAAAAATGTCTCCATTACAGATATGCATTTCAATTTTCAAGCCAATCAAAATTTAGCTGATGCGACTATCAAGATAGGAATAGCGGGAAAAGTGCCCTTGGCAAAGAATACCAATACAATCATCTGACTTTTTTTACCTTATAAATAGAATGGTAGAAGCAACAGGCTAATATTGGTGAAACAATAACCTAATACCTCCTAAAAAAGAAAATACAAAAGCTCTCTCACCTAAATCATTTTTGCACCTAGGGAAAAGGAAATTTGTTTGACGTAATTTTAGGCTATAAAATGGGAGGTAACCCTAGCTAGAGGTATAAATGATACACCAGTGCTCGCAAGCTATTTGAGCTTGACTCAGATAAAACTCAAAATATGGCACAATCATTATTGAGTTGAGCTCAAGCTTGAGTAGCTTGACTTATTGAGCAAGCCGAACTCGAGCTTCCTAATGTCCGGCTCGAGCAGCTCGCGACTTTCATCGAGCTTTTATATTTTAATATATATTTTTATTATTTTAATTAGAAATTACTATTTTACCTTTATATATATATATATATATATATATATATATATATATATATATATATATATGAATTCAAGTTGAACTTGAGTTCAAATACATATAATTGAGTTTGAAGTTGAGCACGGGAATTGAACTTTCTTTTTTATTTGATAAACGATCCTTGAGTAGCTTGATTTTTATCTCGATTCGAGCTCGCACTTGAAATTCAAAACTAGATTGAGCTTGAGCTGAATTTCAAGCCGCGAATTTCAAGTAAAGCTAGCTAGAGCTTCTCACTGTATTGACTTGACTCCGCTCAATTACACCCCTAACCCTAGCTCAAAGTCCCCATATCAAGATTCCAACTCAGACCTCCAAGATGGAATTTCAAGTTATAGCAGATGGGTCAAAGGTATTCTTAGTATATGGGCAAGTCCATCTCTTTCCAGTAATCAAATCATCATCTGCTTTTGACCGCCAAAGAACAATTTAATAGATTTTCAAAGCATATACTAGGAATTACGGTTAGACAATAATACTTCCAAATGATATCATCAACAAACCATTCCAATATAAAGCATTTCGATTCCTCAAGAACTATCATTCAATATACAAGTAACAATTAAACGCCTGAAAATAATAATAATTGCATAAAATTAAACCATACCGTTGTTTTATCGGGTGATTTTCCGATAGCAAATCAAACCTACGAATCGGAAGGGCGAGGCCACCGGTGAGGTCCACCGTACTACGGAGGGCGTTCCTCCACTGGATTGTCCGGCTACTGAAATGCTGTCGTTTGAGGGGATAAAAGAGGAAGAAGAAAATGGAGACAATGGATATGGGCGATTCGGGTTTAGTGGGGTTCGCCTTTTGAGGATGTGAAGGTAAATCACGTTATCCTTGAGGATTTATTACAATTTCATCCTCAATCTTTATCTTAATCATATATTTTACCAACATGTTTTTAAAATAACAATATTACCCCTATACTTATGGAGTTAGTACAAATTTGTACTCTTTATCTTAATCATACAATTTAAATCCAATTTATAAATAAATACTTTCTAAACAAAATAATTCATGTATTTATATTTATTATTTTATATTTAAAACATATAAAATATTAAAATTATCATATTAAAATTTATATTTATTTGTTAAATATAATATGCATTTTTTATTTTTACTAATTTTATAAATATTTTTGTTAAAATTTAAAATTCTATATCATTTATTTTTTTATTGTATTTATATTTTTATATATATTTATTTTATAATAATTTTATTTTTTCTATTAACCCACGTGTTTAAAATTATAAATTTGTTGCCTTATTTAATTTCCCTTTAAAATTGCTTTTTCAACCCTTTTAATTCAATAGTTTTTGGTTTTTTTTACTTCGTTCTCATTCAAACAAGTAAAATGCAAATTAAGTTACGGGGAAAATTTTTTCTTTTTTATTATCATAATAATAACGATGATATGAGTTCTTTTTGGGCCAAACGATGATATGATTTAGTCTAAGCTTTTTATTTTTGGTTTATTTTCCTTTATAAAGTTATAAACAGGGAAAGAGACAGATGAGCGGGTGCCTTCACGCGCTAGAAGTGCGCGTTGAACCATGAGTTCTCTAGCATTCCTGTGTCTGGTAAGAAACCAACGACCAAAAAAGGCTTTTAACTCCCAGAATTCCGACTTTGACTTTTCTGGAGGGTATTTTTCTTCGCATTCTATTATTAAAAAAATTAATAATTTTTGTGTAAAATAATTGAAAAAAAAAAAGACAAATTCAGACAACAATTTCATCTTTTCTTGTCGAATTCCTATGATCCTTTGATTTGATTTTTTTAATTAAAAAAATAAAAAATAAAAAATTGTGCATTTGTTCCAATTTTGCCAAACCTTTAATTTACTTTAAAATTTGGTTTTTCCTAGAATGTAAGAACAACCCTTTTCAATTCTTGTCTTTAGCATTAGTTTTTTTTTTTTTTTTATTTCAATGTTTGATTAATCTTTTGGAATTCTTTTATTGGTCAACAACATTTTGATGCAGTAGAAAGTTTGATCAAAGATCAATTTCTTCATTGAGATGACCTCATTTTCAACTGAAATGCCTAATATTTTCAATGTAAGAATCGTTTTCTGAATTCAAATTTTTGTTCTTTGTTTCCTTGTTAATGGAAGTTTATGTTCTTTTATTGCAGACTTAGGAGCTGATAAATGGGATTTTCCAGATGATAGCAGTGATTAATGATTAGGGTCTTTAATTTGGACGCTGGAGATGTCAACCCAGCATGGAAAATCTGATCCCAAACCTTCTTCTGGTAATGATTTATGTATACAATTTAAAGACAAAGGCTGTCTTTTTTATGTTCTTTATTTGTCAGTAGTTTCTTCCATGGATGACATACACAAGAAGGAAATGAAAGCAATGAAAGCTGCCTGATATGTGCTACTTTTTAGAGCATTTTTGTTGAAATGAAGGACAGATGATGCATGATGTCATCTCCTTATGTTTTTATGGTTTAAAACAGACTGATATGTGCTAAAAAAACCATCATGGAAACAATGGTTGCTTATTGTTACAAGAGCTTGGGAGGAACGGAAATTAAAACTATTGAGCTCCATATGCTAAATAATATGGTAGATACTTTAACTTCTCAATTCATTGAATGTTCCCCATCTGCTATTTTGGATTGATTTTGACAAGTAACGATCCCTTTGGTTGCACCGAAGCAAAGAGCCCTTCTGTTTAATTTTATTTATGTTTTGTGAACTTGTCAGCTGGTAATTAATTGTTTTCTTATCACAACGTGTTGAACTTCCTATGGTATCCCCAAAGTATGGTCATAGCAGACAGTATCGGGATTTAGTGGTTCACCGATTAGCATTTTGCCTTGCATGTTTCAGAAAACTTATGTTTTTTAATAATATGTTTGGTTTATTTAATACGTTGTGTTTGTAGGATCAGGCTCTTGCTTATCTGATCTCTTAAGTTCAGAAACGCCACATTGGAATCAAGGAAGTGATGCAGGGAGTACATCTTGGATTCAGAGAAAGGACAAATGGAAATCTGCAGGTATTATGCCGTTAACTCAAATTTTGTGTTTGAAGCATCATTTCCCAAGTTATTAAATAGACATTGCAAAATAGCAATTGCAACATAAAATGTGTTTGATCAGAATGTCAGTTGTTAGATTTATGAGTTCTGACAATGAATACCTTCATGTTTTGGTTTATTGTGACAAATGCGCCTGCCTAAATTATATGAATTATGAAATCCTAAATAACTAATGAAACCATTTCCAGATATTTCTTTCCCAATCAGCTTTTCATGTTCTTAAGTCGGTCAGAATCCATGCCATGAATCATTTGTTTGGTATTTATCAAATTAAATCACCAGACTAGTGATTTTTTACAATCAAATGCGCACATTTGTTTTCCTTTGTGCATTCAAAGTACTGCCTCAGTTTATCCCCTGGAGGTCCTTGGCTAGTTTTCTAGCAGTCTAACAAATTACTTTGCTCGTGTTCAGATAAGGAACCTACAGTGCTTCTAATACTCATTTTCGAATGATAGTTCACTATTTTGGAAAATTTTTGCAATTCATAATGTTTTTCCGCATTGATGCTTTGAGTTATAAGCAACTAAAAGAAAAAAATTAACAGTAGTAGCAGTAATCTCTCATTTGGCTTCCTCTAAAGGTATAACTAGATTGAAGATGAGTATCCTGATTCATTCCTTAAGTTTTAACTTGGATTATTCGTAAACAGGTCCACGAGGAAGGCTGGAGAGATTGTTGAAGGAGTCTGGGAATAGAGTTTGTGCAGATTGTGGATCCCCAGATCCAAAATGGGTGTAAGTACCATATTTTGACTTATTAGAAAGTTTTCTTGTCTCAGTTTGTTTGTTTCTAGGAAGAAATTTAGATTGCTCTAGAGTTCGGTTTTGGTATCTCTCTTTCTGCAACAGCATCTCGAGTATAATACTCTTTTGAGTGATGTGAATGTGTCTTGAGTTGATTTTATGTCCCAATGTTTGGGCAGTGAATTGAGGTGCCAAAACTGAATATGAACATTCTGTCTACTTCTGGATAGGGTGCAAGGAAAGAAAAAGTTGTAATGGTAAAAAAGACTGTCTGACAGTGGCAGATCCAGTATTCTTTTAGGGGGTGTCCACTTATAATATATATAAAATTATTGGCGGATTTACCAATTTTATCGATGGAAAGGGTGTCTGGGGAAAATTTTTCTTCAAATGTTCTTATTTTCCAATCTTTGGGAGTGTCCATGGACACCCCAACTTCAAGCATGGATCCACCATTGCTGTCTGACCTTCTCTTTTTAGCTCTACTAATAAATTTGGGTTTCACTGTCTCATTGATTCCTTGAGAAATACTTTTCTAATACCACTATATGAATGTGTAATTGTTCGACTTTTCGACTGTGCCTGAAAAGATATAGTGCAGTCTACACCTGTAAGGCAAGTTACCAATATCATGACGAAGTATTTTGTCCTTTTTTCTTCCAAATAAGAGATATAAATGCAAAGAAAATGATTTCTTAGTTGAGCTGGAGGAGTTTGAATACTGTAGCTTCTTCATTAATAATGCTTTGAATCAAAAGTATGCCACGATATCTGTCATAGTGACAATAATTAATTTTTTTCGCCTTTTCCACTGTTTTTCCATTTTATTTGTTCTTAAGTTTACATGAGATTGGCTGCCTTTCTTTTTGACTATTTTTGCTGTGTGTATCAGATCTTTAAGTCTTGGAGTATTTATTTGTATCAAATGCTCTGGTGTTCATAGAAGCCTGGGAGTTCATATATCAAAGGTATGGTTCTCAGACTATGCTTCTATTTTCCTTAAATGAAGTTTTCCATAGCCAATTATATTACCTTGTGCGGTCATTATCTGGTTTTGTGAGACATCTTAAAACTTGCTGGTATAAAACTTTGATAGTTGCATGAATGCACCTTGAATCTTCGATCACTATGTCCGCTCCCTTCAGTCATCATTAGGGAAAACTATAGGTTGAGAATATTTCACAACGAGGATTTGGACAAATGAACCATCTTTATTGATTTAATGTTGTCATCTAAAGCAGTTAGATAGAAGAAAAAGCTATTAGGAGAAAGAAATTTAGTAGCTAGTAGTTACCGATGCGATAAAAATATATAAAGGAATAAGCAAATTACTGGCCTTCTGAAAATTTTTTTCATGTTTTTGTTTGTGTTATGTAATAACTAAATAGGAAATCAGGTGAGGGAGCTGAATACCTGTGGTAAAGGATGTTGAAGTTTGCCAAATAGCCTATTCAATTACTTCCTGGTCACTGCTTTCTGGCCATGGTGTAGTATTCTGATTATAGTTCTTATAACGATTGAGCTTAAAGATATTGAGGACTGTTCTCTCTCGCACTCGCACACATACTACGCATGAAAAACACATGCATAGATGCACAGGCATGCTTTTATCTGCTAATTTTCTAATTTGATAAGCAAATGTACTAGGTTTTATCAGTGAAGCTAGATGAATGGACAGATGAACAAGTTGATTCTTTGGTAAATTTGGGTGGCAATATTGTAGCAAACAATAAGTATGAAGCTTTCCTTCCTGATAACCTCAAAAAGCCCGGACCAGATTCCTCCATTGAGGAGCGCTCCGATTTCATTAGGTAATGCCGAAATAATACCTTTTCTTATTAGCTAGAACACTTAATCCATTTTACTCAGTACTCTATTTCTTGAATGCTCAGGAGAAAATATGAGATGCTGCAATTTTTAGAAGGAAATGAACAAATAATCTGCCCCCATCAACCTCATCAGAGGACTTCATCTTCCACTCCACAGAGTTCTTCAGGCCACCAGGTTACCCAAGAGAAAAAACAGTATGAGAAACAACCAACCCGGCACCGTAGTGGACACAAGTTTAGAAACAGCTGGGGCAGAAAAGATTCTGATAATCACAAGTCCACTAAGAAGAGCAACTCATTGGTAATTTTTTTTTTGTTTGATCAGTGCTTATTATCACTTGCTGGTTTTGGAAGCATTTCTTCCCTATACAGCAAGCTATTTGAAACATACCTGCTATTCTAATAAATACATTGTCTTTCTGATGCTGCTTTATTAAAGAAAGACAAATAGATATTCCAAACTTGTTTTTAACAACACTAGTAGCAACTAAACATTTGGTTCACTTCGAAGTTTGTGACCAAATAAGGCTTACATGAGATAATTCTAACTTGTGTCACTTATAATTGTGGATAGGCCATGGATGCACATTGCTTACTGTTCTGGCTCCCCTCTGTTACTTCTACATACCGATATTATTCTACACCTATCATTACCATTCATATGCATGAGATCCACAAATCATGAGTGTGTTCCACAAACATGGCTGGCGATGATAGGTGTGTTTGGCAAGTCTTGTTTAAATAGGGATTGGAGGGAATTACAATCCCAAAGTAGAATCTGAAGCTTACCTCAGTTTGTTTATGTAGCCACCGTTGAGAGATGGCATTCAGCAGGTCTAGAATTTGAATCCCAACACTTGAGATCCTTTCCCCTATTCCCAGATTACGGCCTCCTATGTGCCAAAAAAAATTAAGTTATAGGAAGTAAAATGAAGATCTCTAAACGAGATACAATCTTCCATAGCACTGAACCATGCAAAGTAGCTGGCACTGCAGCACAGTTATTCCATGTAAGGTTGTTTGAAATATCAATGTGCTCTTAGAAAAAGCTTCAAAGAATTTATTTCTTGGAGGTTATGAAGGTGTCAACAAGGTGTGCGTGTGCATAGAGTATGCACAAATGTGCTTAGAACTGATAATAATGAAAAATCTGGATTTTGTAGTTAAAATCCTTATTGAAGGTAAAGAAAAGGAAATGTATAGAAATTTTATACATGACTAATTATTAGCTAAGAGATGTTATATGTGTAGTCCGGAGAGTAACTGCAGCATTGTCAATGATGGCATATACATACTGCATGGACAATATGTAGTTTTTTAGTTGAAGGCTATTTATTATAATTTATATGAATAAATGAAGCAGCAAATACTATCACATCTTAGCTTTTTTAATAGCAGGACGGAAGTTATATTAAAATGTGTTACTGAATGTTGTTTTTTCTTTAAATGTACTGTTTATAGGCAGGAATGGTTGAATTTGTTGGGCTGGTTAAGGTGAATGTGGTTAAAGGCACCAACCTAGCTGTCCGGGATGTGTTGTCTAGCGATCCATATGTCATTCTTGCATTGGGCCAACAAGTATGATTCGTTTTTCCAAATATGGTGACCTTATTATATATTGAGCTGAAATGGACAAATCTAGTGAAGCAAGATATGTTGGTAATCTGAAATCTTCATAATTTCCTTTTTGCAGTCAGTCAAGACCCGTGTCATAAAGAACAACCTAAATCCTGTGTGGAATGAAAGGCTAATGTTGTCAATTCCAGAAAACATTCCTCCTCTAAAAGTGGTGAGTTGGATTCTTTTACACAAAAAAGAAATGTAAAATTTGTTGTTTTGAATTACATATAGAAACAAGAAAGTAAAAACTATACTTTGTTTGACACTTTGCAGCATGAGTTTCATCACACTGATAATCCTATGTTTGACTGTAAATCATGAATAATACCTTTACTTGATTGCATGAACATCTAGAGAAGATGATTAATCTCTAGAAACTGAAGACATTATAAGCTCTGATTGATGTCGAGAAATGAAAGCAAGGAAATGTGGGACTCTTAAAACTGCTTCGGGTTAGATAGCCGTAGTGAGCATGTATTTACCTTGTCCTTCTACTTGTCAAATAGGTAAATCGAATGTTTCATTGAATATCATCAGCAATTCTATTTTGATTCATTTGTATCTAGCTATCCATATAAAATAAGGCATCACAAGCACCCTTGCACTCATGAAAATGCTGATTATGGCTTGTATCCGGGCCTTTATATGCAGCTCGTGTATGATAAAGATACTTTCACAACTGATGATTTTATGGGGGATGCCGAGATTGACATTCAACCACTGGTAGCTGCGGCCAAAGCCTACGAGAAATCTGAGATTCAGGAATCAATGCAACTAGGGAAATGGGTAGCAAGCAAAGACAACACCCTAGTAAAAGATGGTGTTATCACCTTAATAGATGGGAAAGTAAAACAGGAGATCTCACTTAGGCTACAAAATGTTGAGAGAGGGGTGCTGGAGATTGAGCTTGAATGTGTTCCTCTCACTCAATAGCTGTCAAAAAGACTCAGGCACATATTGAGATGTCATTTCTTGCTTCTATCCACTTGGAATGGACAATGTAATGTAGGAAACATCATCTCGGCAGGTTAAGTATTCCTTCTCTGAGGTTCTTGTCCCACTTTGAGTGTTCAAGGTGATATATGCATATGCATTTTGAATATTTACTGCTCTGACGTTGAGTAAAATAAAATGGTGCTTGCATTAAGGGGGAACCTAGCTGGAGGACTATGAACTATTCGAGAGAGTAAGCTTGAGCGAGTGAGCTTGTTTGTCCTCAGTGGTGAGCCAGCAACCCCCATTTATGAATTAGGCAATGGTGGGTGGTTGTAGGTAGAATTTGTAGCACCCCGCACTCTCAGCTTTGCTCCCTATAATGGTTTTTCTCTTCCTTCTTTCTTTCTTTTGTCTTTCCCTTTTCCCCAATCAATTTTTCAAACCGAAGAAATATGTTTATATTCCAATCTAACAAGTGCTAAGACTTCTCGGAAAAACTCTAGTCCTACGTTTGGAAATATGGGCGAATTCGAACAAATTCAAATGTTTTGAAGAAATTGCAAAAGTACAAAGAGGCCGCATGCTAGAGATAAGAGAAGAGGTTGCAGGAGTTGGGATTTGAACCCTCACATTGCTAGATGCTATCTTTTAAGGGTAATTGCATGAACTGACTTTTAAAGATAATTGCATTATTCGACACTATAATAGTATTTTAATGAAATAAAAGATAGTTATCTATTTTAGTTTGAGTTGAGCTAATAATGTGACTCCTAATATTAATTGAGTTAAAAATCCTAATGACTAGCTAGTAACCTAATTCATATAAACAAGAAAAAGCAAGCAAATCAATAAAGGTTCACAAAATACAAATCTAGAATGTTTGAAGCTATCATTTTGGTCCTGAACATTCACATCATCAAGAAAAAAAATACTCTTTACACAATTTGCCTATAGGAAGGAAGGATTTGAAGGAGTGAAATTGGATGCAATCTCTTGTAAAAGTTGTTACAATGAAAGTGGAAAATAGATAAGAATACAGTGGAAAATAGATAAGAATACACAACAAAATCATATGTATATTGATGCTTTGCAGCTGCAAAACTTAGAAGCAAACATTTTTAGCTCACAACTTTAACTTAATGTGTTAATGTGAAGGATGTTACTACAATCAAAAAGTAGATTTGTAGCCAACACCTGCATCTGAGATCCACTTTTCCCCTTTGAGGAATTTCTCGACTGTAAACTTTTTGGCTTCTTCATCATTAATATTTCTCAAACCTTTCCATTTAACTCTACCCTTGGTTGAAGAACCAGGGCCAATATTCTTATATTCGGAGTAAAATATGGTATTTGGTGCAGTAGTGCCACTCCATGGCAGCCACCCTGCAGGATCTATCAAGCTCCCAATATTTGTATGGATGTAAATGGTGGTTGAGTAATCCTTCCATGGTCGACCAAGGTATGTTTGAACAGAATTACTCAAATTCCCATAAGGCAAAATGGTGCAATTCTGAATGGTAATCCCAGTATTCTGGTTCGGATCAACTTTCCCTTGAGCAGTGATTGTGTTCTGTTGGTAAGGCATAGGCTGCCTTGGGAGTATGTTACAATTTTGGAAGACTACAGCTGAGTTTCCAAATATGAAATCTATTGTTCCGGTAATGTTGCATTCGCGGTAGAATTGGCGGTTGGAATGTGCATATAGAGTGTCCTGAAAGGCATCGAATTGGCATTTGTAGAACACTGAATGATCAGCAGAAGAAATTAAGGCCACTGCCTGATGTTTTTCCGGTCCAGCAGTGTTGACAAATCCCATATCTCGAGCAACAAAGCCTTTCCCGAACACAGCTGCAGAGAAAGCAAATTTACACTGTCAAACATCCATTAATCACACTATAAACTTCATAAACTACTAGTAAATTACAAGCCTATCTCATCAAACTTGTTTCATAATTGTCAATTTTAATGAGATTTCTAGCTAAGATGTAATACTCATTTGCTGCCTACTAACTACATCACTTAGCAGTTGAAGAACTCAGAGTTTAGCTTAATTGGTTCATGCAACCAATTCAGCAGATTCAGAGTTCGAATTTCGACACCTGCAATCTTTTCCCCTCTGCAACCTCCTATCTATAAAAGAAAAAAAAAATAGCAGTTGAAAACTTACTAAATGTTGCAGTGGAAAATGTGGGAGTCCCATCAGCGTAATTGAGGCTTCCAGATACAATTGTCGATTCCATCCCATCACCAATCATCATGACATTCCATTTATTTTTGTCAACCCTTACATTTTCATTATAAACTCCCTTTTGCACATAGATCACAGTCCTCTTCTTGCTTTTGTCAGGGACTGCCTCAAGGGCAGCACTGACAGTCTTATACTTCCCAGAGCCATCTTTTGCTACAATAATATCAGCTTTCTTCTTCAATTTATCCGAACTTTCAAGTAATATCCTGTCTTTTTGATGCAACCATCCTGGATTTTCATGGTCAGGAGGAAAATTCATTAATCGCCTTAAATTAAACGTGCTTGCAACCTTTGAAAGCCATGTTACAATGGCGAGGCTGTTGCTAGTTAGTTCAGAAGAATACTTCAGATGGTCCTGAACAATGGTCTTGATATCTCCGTTGAGCTCTTCAAAACCATCAATGCAGGTCTGCTGGTAAGTACCAGCTGCACTTAGCCATGTCCTAAGATCATCAGCAGCTTGAATAACCGAAGCTTCACCTGATGATGATAAGGAGCTATTAAGATGATCAATTGCTAGACTCAAAAGTTCACGACAATTCTCCAAGGCTGCAATTGACATCTTGTTGACATCGCCTTTAAAAATCCCATTCTCAGAGACATCCTGGGATGCTTTTGATAGCTCAGTGATTGCTACTTTCATTGAGAATTTGAAGATGTCTTCAGGTTTGAACTGGCTGGAGTTAGCTGAAGGAGCAAGACTATTGTAACATGTAGCTTTATACAAGGTCACATCACATACAGCTTTGATGGAAGTAGAGATGGACTGAACTTGACCATTGCCACTACTTTCGGAGTCTCCTTTTCTACTTCCTAAAACAGCAGCACCAACTATAGCAGCAAGAACTATCAAAGACAGGGAAATGATGGCCATTCTCCTCCTGGTTTTTCAACGAGCCTCAAACTCCGCTTGATCAACCTCATTTACTTTGCCATAAGCTCTAAAAAATGACATGTTCGAAAGCCTTTTTCTATCGGATTGTGGTTTAGAACTTGGACAACAGCTTTATGTAAGTTTAGTGGTGGAATTGGCATTAGGATTACGTGCCAGCCACTATCATTACTCCTTGTGTTTGTCAAAGCAAAGCTGTTTTGTAAGTTAGAAGTTGTGCTGCTCATGTTAATGTCTGCACGTTCAAATGCAAAATTTGGGTTTGACTTTGGACTTGGTCAACCGAAAAAATTAATTAATTTATGATAATTTATAAATTTAAACTAGAATCAAAAGAATTTCACATTAACCCTTCTATTTCATAAGGGATTTTCTAGCTTTAAAATTCAATTCCATGAGTTTTAAAAATGGCGATTACCCTTTCATGCACCGAAGGACTGCAAGTTGGCCTGGCCTATGAAGTTTGGCAATAAATTAAAGTGGAAATGAAGGGGCATTGGCTAGAGACACCAATTCAGTCATGGATTTCAATTGTGTGTTCCTCCACCTTAAAAAGGATGTTTTCATGAAATTTATTGTGATAATTAGATGTGGCAAATGGGCAGGTCGGCTCGGGTTTGGTTGTGAGGAAAACACTCATTCCTGGCATTCCATATATACTACTTAACAAACCTGAATGCAGGTTCGGCAGGAATGACTTTGTAACAAGACGTGCAATACACACAACCAAATCAAGGTATGTTTAAAGTTTAACTTTGAGGCAGTAATGTCTGTTCAGGGATACTAAATATCAGAGAACTATCAAAGGAGAAGTGATTGCTATGCTGTCTGCAAGGAAATGGCAAAAGGCATATCCTTTTGTGGCATTGAGTCTAATCTATAATGCCAAACAGGAAATTCATTTTGGGATAATCAATTCAAGGATCTGGATAACATTTTGGCAAATCTAGTTCTAAATGCAACATCCATAAAATTTGATTGACAAGGCACTGCATCCACAAGCAATAGTGCAAGAATTTGTTTCTCTTCCAAAGAAACAAAACTATGTTATGAAAACAACATGATACATTAAAAAAAAATGTAATTTCATGTATGATCATTGCATCTTTATTGACTGATACCTGGAATATTATAGTGATAGAAAAAAAGGAAAGCATTGAAGATGAAGTGATTAATGCGTGATTAATGCTTACTCCATCAACTGCCTAAGGAGATTTGATGGTGACTAGTCACCTGAATTATGATGGAGACAGATTCCCCCGGCCAAACCAAGGGAAGAATTCCGGTTAGAAGAATCCCAAATTCATGTGTAGTTTCAGAAACTGGAAACTAAAACAGGAAATAGTCCTGACATATATGCTAGATTCATATGGCCAATATACCACATAATCAAAAGAAAACAGATTCATAGCCCTGATATCAGTCATTTTTCAGTAATAGAGATTCTAGAGTTAACCATACAGTAGATAAAAGAACAATATAACTTGGGGAAAAGAGGAACAGCCTTATAGGGATAACCGGCTTGTCATAAATCAATCCAAAATGATGAGCAAAATCCTATAAATTAAATTTAAAGAAATTAACATCAAAGAAATGGAAAATTTTCGACCAACTGAAATGTGGTTAGCACTGCTCATGTAATTCATGGTTCCTAAAGAAATAAAAAAAGTTGTCTCACGTCATTGACATATTAGTACAATAACTCTTTAAAAATAGGAAGAAGAAGAAGAAGAAGAAGAAGAAGAAATGGAACTATGATAACAAAAGTGGCATTTTTCACCATCCAGTTGTAATTTGTTAACAATTCTAGACTCCTTAGACCCAAAATAATATGTCAGAGCATCTCTAAATTCTTAATATATCAAGATAGAGGCACCGAGAGCTGAGTTGCATTGATAGAATAGAAATTGGGACAAAGTGAGGTAGTTAGGACATCAGATCAATACAATCTGAAAGATAGTTGACATTGGCAGCATCTGTGCATAAATCTGTATAAAATCTCAGAATACTATAAATTTTGTATACTACCGTACTCTCCTATGAATGGGACCACAAATGGACTCAATATTTAAACCAGCTTTTGTATGTTGTTTACCCTTTCCTTAAATTAACAACAATTCTACAGTGAATAGCAATTAGATGTGCTTAAGGGCTGAAACAAACCCCAAATCATATTCACGTTCTTGGTTCCATATGAAAGAATGAAAATTCAGGTATGTATGCACTAAAAGTTTCTTTGATTACAAAGAGGATTCAAGAAAGAAGTAAAGCATAAATAGTCTATTGATTCTCATTGCAATCTCTCATTTGCAACATAGCGAGTAAATTACATTAAGATGACACTAAATATTTACAATACCATATAGGAGAAATAAATGTTCCCCTTGACAATCAAAATGCTCAAACCAAATATGGCATTTTGATCACATTACACTATTATCATCAACATCCAGTTGAACAAGACAACAAACAGTCATCAGCTCCATGCTAATGAATTGTTTCATACCAAACACATTAAAGCATCATCCGCATCATGGATGTTAACAAAGGATAAAATGAGCTTCTGAATATACCTTAACAACCTGTAGCAATCAAAGTTTTAAGAGCAGCAATCTGGGCACCGAATCAAGCCATTTTCATTGCATTCCAAGCATCTTTTAAGCAACCCTTCATCTTCATCAAACAGATTTCGACTCCCACTACAATTCCCACATGGCACAAATCTGATATCCCCACAACCTTCACAAACAAACCCAGGTTGTCTCCTTGGAAACCCATCAAGAATCTTAGCCAATTCCCCAACTTCAAACATGCTTTTAATCACATCAGCACCACCAACATGCTTTCCCTTGATAAAAACCTGAGGCAAACTCACATTCTTGGCTTTCAAAACGCTTTGCAACTCTTTTTTATAAGCTGCATCCATGGAAATATCTCTTTCGTCAACCCAAACTCTAAACCCTCTAAAAATCATCCTAACAGCATAACAATCCTCGTAAGTCCTTCGAATACCTCGTAAACTAGTTAAATAAACAACAATTCGATCTTCAGTTCCAGGTAATCTTATCAAAGGGTTATTAAAGCTCGAAGAAAACGAAGAACAATACCCAATTGATTTCGTGGGTCTTAAAACAACATGGGAAGGTTCTTTCGGACTGGTTAAGTTCGATGACGATGATGAAGATTTTGAGGATTCAAATAAACTACGAAGCTTTTTAACTTTACCTGTGACGGAATCGATTGAATTGTAAATTTTGGAAATGGAAGCAGCTCGATTAAGAGACGATGGATTGTTGAGAAGAAGATGAACTTTGGGGGGATTGGATTCAGCTGTGGTTGCATGCATCCTAAACGACCGATTGAAGGACATCAACCCAGATGATGATTTCGTCTTATTATTTCCCGATTCCGCCATCGACCCAGATCAGAAAAGCTCACAAATCAACAAGAAAACTCAAACTTTTTCTCTTTTTTTCTTCTTTTACAAAGAAAAAACTCAAGATTTTAACAAATAGGTATGTGTTTTTGTTAGAGTTCTTGTTATTGTTGATGATGATGATAATTATTGTTGAATTTTACTTTAAAAAAGAGATAAAGAAAAGTCGTTTCGTCGGTTGAAGGAAATGGAGGCCTTTATTTGTTAGCTTTTTATCTTGTTTTGGATACAGAAATGGAGAGGAGGAGCTGTGCTTTTGGCAGAAGTGCCATCAAAGCAAGAAATTTGTTTCTATGTTGTTTAAATTAAAATATTATTATATTTTATAAATTATTTTAATATTTTTTACAAATAAAAGTTACACGTTAAAAATGATAAATTAAATATATTTTTTTAATATAAATAAAAGTGTTTCCAATTTTTATTTGCTCATTTCTCATTTTATTTCAAATTGATAATAAAATTTTAGTATTTAAATTTTTTATTAATAAGATTAATTTGTGCAAAAAATTAAATATTACTAGATCAAGACTTCTTACATTCATAGAAAAAATGAAAGAAAATGCTAATTATTGCTTAAGTAATACTAAAAAATTTTAATTTTCAATTATCTTTAATTATAATCACTTATTTTTATATTATAGACCATTTATTTTATAAAAGAAAGCTAAAAAATAAATTAAAAAATTATTATATCATCACAACACAAAAAAAAATCAACTTTTTAAAAATTTAAATGAGATTATAAATATTAAATATATAGCAATTATTTTTTTTTGAGTAATGATATATTAAATTACAGAACATTTTAAAATTTTTATAAAAAAGGAAAATACTAAAAAGGAAACAAAAAGGTTTTTATTATTATTTTTTATTTGAGAGAGAATAATTACATTTTAGGTGAAGAAAAAACAAAAAAAGAAACGGCCACCAACTCACCGCCTTTTTTGAAAAAGGCGGTTTGGCTTTGTTTGAATTTGGGTGTGTTTTCGAAAGAAAGTGTATGTTTATTTATATTTTAAATTTCTAATTTTTTTAATTGTTTTTAAATTACTAACAATTATAGATATATAGGAAAATTAATAATGATATCCGAAAATTATTTTTCAGTGGGCTCTCTTATTTTCTTTTTGTTGTTTTTTTTACATATTTTACTATGTGCTTTAAATTTATACCCACCACCAATGAATTTAAAATTAAATTGTAGATTTTCTAAAATAAAGTAAATTGTAGATAAAAGTTTTTGAGAAATTATTTTATTTATTGTAGTGAAGTTTTTAGATTTTATACGTAAAATTAATAAGATGACATATATCTTTTAAGATATATTAAAATAATAAATTAAATATATGTTTTTAATATAAGTTAAAAATAGATATTTTACAAGTTAAAAATGATAAATTAAATATATATTTTTAATATATTCCAAAGTGTTTCAAATTTTTTTATTTATAATTTTATTTCGAATTGATAAAAAATAAAATTTTTTATATTTAAGGTTATCAAAAATTGATTTTGACTTACTAAAATTTAAATTTTAGTATTTAAAATTTTTTATTAATGATATTAATTTATGTATTTACTATTTTATTGCTAGTGAAATTTTTAAATTTTACAAAAAAATTTGATAAAATAACATATATGTTTTAAGATATATTAAAAATAAAAAAATATGTGTCAACCTTTTAACTCTACTTTTGAAATTAAAAAAAAATTTAATGATAATGTGTAAAAAATAAACTCAAAAGTTTTTGTTAAAATCATCTAAATAATATTTCATTTTATTTATAAAATAATTAAAAGAGTAAATGCAATATTTTTCTAACTTAATTAGAAAAATATGCCTGCCATATTGGCATCATTAATTTCAACCAATGATTCCATTTTGTTTACTTTTGTTGGTCTCCCAAAGACTCAAAAAACTTATAAACCAATTTTGTGGTTTTCAATGTGAAAAACTTACGGGCATTAAACTTTACTTGGGGCACCAATACTATAGGTGATATAAATTTGTTGTCTAAATTTTGAAAATATTTTTTACTTTTCTTCTATTTTTTTGCACTTGACATGCATTTCAAGTTTGTTTTTCAATGATTGATTATTTTTTAGATTAGTTGGTATATAATTGAAGTTAAAATTTGGAAGTCGTAAATTCGAAAAAGTTTAAATGCATAATATTCTCTTCAATTATATATATAGTTAGATACGAGGGTTTAAGGTAGATTAGAAATTTTGAAAAAAAAAAAAAGGTTTGCTTTTCACTAGAATAAATTGATCATTTTACAATGTGCCATGATGATCTTGTACTAATGACAAAGAATGGAAAAAAAATTGCTAAAATAGAGAGAATTTTAATAAAATAAATACATTTGTAGCTAAGTTTTATTTTTATATTTTTGATTAAAATAGTCCAATAATATTTTTTTAAAATAAATAATCTAATTCTATAATAAGTAAAACTAATAAAATTGACTAGAATGAAAAAAAGAAACTCATTCAATTTGTTCAAATTCAAGCTTAATCTGATTTTATCCAAACCTACCCATTATAAACCATAACAAATTCGAAAGAAAAAAAAAGAGCAAAGATATCATTAAAAAAAAGAAATATGATGGGAAGAAAGGATTTTTACTGAACCTAAAGTGTTCAATTGTTGAACGAAAGTATAGTATGATGAAATTACTTTAATTGTACTCCATCATGACATTCAAATGAGTACCCAATGGTTTTTTAGTACCAATCAAATTTCATCATGAGTGAGATCATATTCAAATGAAGCATTAACGATCAAATATGGGTTTCTTCCTCAAATAATTAGGTCATGTTGATATTGTCCAATGCCTTCACATCTTGGAAATTCTCACAAGTTTTATCTTTTTATTATTCTTACACAATGTTTCTTACTTGGACAAAGTAGCCATGCAATTTAGCTAGGCTTTTATGTAGTTGATTTTTATCTTCCTAACTAGGCGTAAATTGTAAACCATATCAATAACATAGAACTTGATCTTAATAGGTTCAAATTCAATCATACCTTGAAGTGTGTTCCTTAATCTTGCTTCTGAAAAATATTCCATTGATTTTGTGATATTGGTAACTAAAAGATTACCATAAAATTGAAATATAAAAATATTTCTTTAATCACAACAATACTAAATCTTTAGCATGATATTTGAACAGTTTGGTGAGTATTCTTCACCAAAGCAAGCCCATAAGTTTCCTCTTCAATTTTAGAAATATTTTTAAAATATTAAAACAATTCGATTAAGAGAATTTAATCATAAAAAGAATTATATTAAGTTTTGCAATAGTTTAAGAAAGGAATTCCATAATCTAAGAGACATAAAGAAATTTAAGTTAGAAGACTATCTAAGAAAGTAGTTGACTGCTATATCATAAGGAGTCAATTGCTTTAGGCTACTAAGGATAGAAGTCGATTGCTAGCTAAAGCAATCAACTGCTATACTTATATATACTTATACAAAACTAAGCAAAGTAGTGACAATTAAACATACAAGTGAGTAATTAATTGCCTATGTTAGGCAATCAACTGTCACAACTGAAAATTAATACCAATCGATTCTTATTTTTAAAGAAGTTAAGTGCTATTGCATATGGAGTCTTTTAGTGATTAAAAGGTTCAAGGCAGTTGATTACTAGAATGGGAAATCGACTACCCTAATAATAAACACTTTTTGTAAAATTAAGAATAAACTATCACTTAATTATTATGAACCTACTGGATTAAAGGTGGAATCAACTACCTTATGATAAATGTAGACTACCCTTCTTTTTGTGATATTCTAGAAACAGAAAAAACAAAGGAACAATCGACTACTCTACATCAAAAGTTATAATTTTCAAAAAAATAAAAAAAGTGATTTCTCTTGAAATGAAAAGATTAAACTACTCAAATGAATCATTTTGTTCTTAATTATTTAGAAAGATATCTTTCTAATCAAATGAAGTTATGCTTGATTAAAATAATATAATCAAAGAGTTACAACTTTTGGATTCAATCTCTATAAATAGAGATGTTGTGAGTTCATTTAAGATGGTGAAGAATTAATAAGAAGTTGGACACTCAAAATTTTCCCTTCTCTTACCCATACTTTAATAAACAAAAGCTTGTTAATTTGACATTATTTTTTATCAAATTAAGTTTAAAGCAAGATATTTTTGTTTCTTATCAAAAGGTGTTAGTGGTTTGATTTCACAAGTGCAAGCTGACATCAAACAAGGTTTTATTAAATCTTGGATGCATTTCAATTATATCCTTTTTGCATACCATGACTGGTAATAATGAAATAAGCTTTAAGAAAAGTGGTATTTGCAGCACTTTTTGTAGCTATTTCATTTTTTTCTTTAAAAGCTTCATATTTGGATCGAATAAGGCTTAGATGGAAAGACAACAACCAAAGTTACAAGTGAAAGATCATCATCAACTACAAGTTCATGAAAAAATAAATCCTGAAAATAACATCCATGAAGAGTTAACAACTTGCTATACTTCTATGTTCTCACAGTTTGGTGTATTTACGAAGTCTTGAAGATAAACAGATAACCATTTTAGTTATTATTTAAAGTTTCATGTTTCTTATATTTAAAATGTTCAATTGAATCATTAAATCTTAAAAATTTTTGGTATTGCATATTGTCAAAATTAGATTTGATAATTTTAAAAACAACACAATAACATGATATGAAAATCATATGAAAAAGATTAAAAAAATGATATAGTTTAAAATTTTAGTAAAAACTATATTTTTTTCGTATTTTTTGTTATATCACCATTTTATCTTTTGTGTTTATTTAGTAATCTTTATCTCTTTCTTTATTTAATTGAAAGGTCATTTTTATTTATTTTGGTCAAGCTTATGTTATGCCTTTTTTGTAATTGACCATTATTGGCATCCCTTGTTGGCCACAATATTTTCATTGATGCTTCAACTTATGATATTTTCTTCATGTGAATTAGTTTGTGCTTTTGGCCCATGATATTTCTTATAGGAATAGTAGCAGCAGTTGTATGCACAATAGCTATTAGTTTAAACACTAGTTTTGCTTAGAAAACCACGTCATGTTTTTTTTCAACCTTAAAATTGGCAATTGGGTACCTATATAAATGTAAATGCTAATCATACCCAATTTTATGGCAAAAAAGAAAAGAAAAGAAAAAAAATTTTAAAAATTTTAATTTTTACTATTTTATTCTAAAAAAAAAAACATCTTTATGATTTTGCTCCTTATGGTGCTATCCCTTCTATTTTTGCAT